ATCAAATTGGGATTAAAAAACAATTAAAATTTTGCAAATGTGGCGTATATTACATTTTTAAATTCTTGCCAGTCAAGGTCCTTGTGTTCGCCGAAAGGTGCTTGTTTTATTTCGATATCTACTAGCGGAAACTCGCTAGCAATAACCTTATGGTCGGACGACAGATTATCAAATTCTTCTAGCTCTCGTCGCCATACAATGTTTTTCGTGTGCAAGATATAATCATACCTTGCAACGACTCCATCCTTACCAAAATAAGTGTTCTCTAAATTCACTGGCAACAAATCGAACTCTGCTATTAAATTTTTCAAATAACGGTCGTTCCCAAATAATTTATTCTCAATACTTGCGTTGAGATCTCCCACGATAACCAGACATTTGACTGCATCAAAATGTCGATTGTCTTTATCCTTTCCGCCATGGAGTAAGCGAGAAACTGAACATCGCATTGTCGCCCAGTATGTTTTCGCAGCACCTCTATTCATATTCGGGGACCTGTGGGTGTTTATAAGGGCAATTCCTTCGGGAAGCACGACTGCTTGAATCATGTTGTGAAAAGTATTGTACAAACAGGCACAATCCCTAATTGATAATGTTCAATCTTATACTGTTGGTGTTTTGTTGTCACAGCACTATCATAAAACTCATTTTGAGCGTTCCAAACACTTTGGGGCACCTCTTGTAATCCAACAAATAGGTGGCCTTGATTAGCATACTTTAGAGCATAATTTTTTACACAGTAAAAATATGTTAAATTTTGGCGTACATTGAAAATTATGACAAAAACCTTATTAATGTTTGATGCAGCCATTGAAAAAGAACAATAGAGTTACATAGAACTACATTTCGTGCCTAATCAGGATGTTTAAGAAAAAAAGTAAACAAAAGAAAGAAGTCATTGTTTCATTGGTTCATTTGTTTATTATTCGCTTATTGGTCTTATTGTGAACCAGTTTCACATAGTGTTAGAAATTTTAAGGTGTGGTACTACAGATTGTAGTTGATCCCAATCGTCCATTAGCGATGGTATACAATTGCACGTAAAATTAGGATTAGCAATCATTAAATCTGTGAAATTGCTGAAGTCCTCATTCATTTTATTTATTCGATGCCAAGAGCTCAGTCCGTCCAGATAATTTCTGTATTTCGGTGATTTTATGGCTCTTATCCACTGAAAAAATAGATAAACCAGTATGTTAATCACTTCTTTCATTTCATCCAATTTTTTATTGAATTATAATGAAAACTCGAAAACAACTTACTTTAGCAGCAGCATGGTCAACACACTCTTCACCAATAGATACATAAGGATCAAATCTACGTCGCTTCTGTAGATCGCTAGAGTACATTGATGTGTATATGTATATTAAGTTTCAGCACTCTAGCTTGATTGGTTTACGAAAAATCTCCCGAAATTGTTTCAACTTTGAAGCGCGATTGTGGCCAAACACGTCATCCTAAAAGACTTTCGACAAAAGTTAACAGTGTTTTTTTGTACGCCCTATCATAATATCAAATTAATTTCAAAATCAAATAAGGTCGATTTTTGGTGGCAGATACCCCCTTGCTCAAAAAATTGCTCAGACTACGCCGACATGCAGTTGTTCTAATGAACGAAAGCAGTTCCAAGTACAATCTCGGAAACTGATGGACGGGAAGCCATCTTTAGATAGCACTAATGGTCGCAGTTTTACTGCCCCTAAAACTCAAGAAGAACAAACTGTTCCCTCGACAGCAAACTATACAATTTATACAAAATCCCTCGTTTATACAAAATGTACACAACTTTATCAACTATTAAAGTAATAGCTTTTCCAAGATCTTTCCGAGTTTTCTTGCTGATGTACTTGATGGATCAATGTTGATCTCTTAGCTTTCCATGCAATCTTATGATAGCAGCAAAGAAACTACTAGTTGACATTTTGTTGAAGTTCTTGCTCAAGATCAAATGTTGTTGATGACAAGCTCGCAAGAAACTTTGTTTCATTTTGTAAATAATAAATATTGTTATTTTTCATTCAACAAATTTTTTCACTCGTTTTTTAATAGAAGTATCAGGATTGTATCAGGATTTTATAGTTTATTGGATCATTTGGAAGGGAACAAGAATAATATAAAATTTTCAAAAAAACACATCATGTTTATTCACCTTCTAATATGGATTTTTCAATTTTGTCTGTTGACTCCAAAAGCATATTCATTTAAAACACCCAAACATGATTCATCGTTTTATTACAAAACACATGACAGTGTTTTCTTGACGAATCCCCATCATCACACAACATCTTATGGTATTTATGTGGCTGGTCAAACAATAACAATTGATATACCAACAAGTGTTGTTAGTGTGTCTGAGATCCTCGATTGGAAAGTGGTCAATACCAATAAAAAACGATTGTTGTTCGTCCATAATAATAAACCTAAAATTCTGATTGATCAACAGAGAATCAAAGAAATTGAATATTCTGGTAAATTGAGTGATTCAATAATAGCTTTTGGTGACAATGAAGCTCTTCATGTTCCAACAATAAAGAATCCAGGTTTAACTAAACCAGCGGTTGATTGGAATTATCTTGAGTTGTTGCATTTCGATGATGAAAATGAAAAAGTTTCTGTGAAGCGATCCTTACCTTGGCTTAAAGATGATTACAAGTTCATTATAGAATGGAAAATGACAGATTATGTTCATTTCGATAATAAATTGTACCTTCTAATATATCGAAGTATTTGGAATGAAAAGTATGCAAATTTTACTCAAGAGATATCAATAATTCAATTGTGTCTCGACCAAGGAAGTGAACTTATTTCAAGTGCAGTTGAGATTCATTTCACTCAACCAGAATTGCAGACTAATCTGATAAGCGATTTGATTTTCGTTTTCATTTTTGGACCTTGGGATAATGAGACCAGTCGTTACCAATTGCATACAATACAATTAGGACCGACAAGTGATTTTGAAATGTATCATATCTATCATTTTAGCGATATTGTTTCATTGTTTGAACAAACTGCAAATGAATCGTCCACATGTTCTCATAATATAACTTTATTACGATACCATTTAAGATCAGAAGTTGGTGAATGTAAAAAAAGTTATAATAAAAGTTGTTCAACCAGGGAAAATATTGTCCCTTCAAGAAATGTCAGCCCCATCTTAAATATAATGTTTCCAATTTATCAGCAATTTGTTTTCCGTAAATTTTATTTTATTACGCTGCCATATCCTCATTTCAAAAGGCTCCTATTAATACACCCAAATCCAATAATGTACTCTGCTATTTGTGACTATCATCCTGAACAGCAATGCTTAAATCTTACTACAATAAATTCAAATTTGCTCACGAAGTCTTCAGAAGTAAATGTTCATATTAATAAAAGTCCATTTGGATTTTTTTACGTTGATACATCTGACAATGAAAATCTTTTCCTTCCCATTGAAGTGTGTTCAAATCTAAAAACTTGTGCTCAATGTATTATGTATGGACTTTATTACAACTGCATTTGGTCAAACTTTATTTGTGTTCATGATACTCAACCTAAGAACAAGGTTGCACTAACAGTCGACTATTGCTTCAAAATCATCAACATTTCACCCTTAATCTTCAACTCTTCTTTACCGACAAAACTAACTATTCAACTTGATAGACCACTGATTAAGGATGATCAAGAGCAACTAGTTATCCAAGCTGGTGACAATCATTGCACTAACATAACAACAAATGAAGTATTCATCAATTGCTCTATGAATGCAACAAAATCGGGCCAATTCAAGATCGATGTTAGTCTACGAAGTGATAGATATGCAGATGCTTCAATCATTAGTGCTGTATCTATTGACAAGGTTAATATTTCTGAGCCTGATGTAATTATTGTAAATGTATTACCACCTGAGAATCAGCACCCCACCATCTCAGGTGGTAATACATTTACAATAATTATTATATTATTGTTTGGCTTACTTATTGGTGCATTTGTATTTATAATTTATACAAATCATGATAAAAATCTTAAGATGAATTTGAACAAGTTTCTCAAATTTGCAAGATCAACTGCAATTATGCAAATTGCTGCAAAAACTATGAAATCAAAAAAGGTTTCTCTTCAAATGAAAAGTCTGTTTTCAAAGAAGTCGACATCCGAAATCGCTGTCACCAAAGAAATGAAAATCGATACAAAAACTAAGGAATCAAAAAAGGTTTCTCTTACGAAGGAAAATTTGCCTTCAATGAAGAAGTTGACCTCAAAAAGCACAGTCATCAGCCAAAAGAAAATGCAAGCAAAAACTATGAAAGCAAAAAACGTTTCTCTTAAGATGAAACGTCTGCCTTCGAAGAAGAAGTTGACATCCAAAAGCGCTGTCACCAAACAATCGAAAGTTGCTTCGAAAAGTATGAAATCAAAAAAGCCTTCTCTTTCAATGAAAAGCCCGCCTTCAAAGAAGAAGTTGACATCGAAAAGCAATGTCACCAAAGAAATGAAAATCGATACAAAAACTAAAGAATCAAAAAATGTTTCTCTTACTAAGGAAAATTTGCCTTCAATGAAGAAGTGGACCTCAAAAAGCACAGTCATCAGCAAAAAGAAGATCCAAGCAAAAACTATGAAAGCAAAAAACGTTTCTCTTAAGATGAAACGTCTGCCTTCGAAGAAGAAGTTGACATCGAAAAGCAATGCCATCAAACAAATGAAAATATCTTCGAAAAGTGGGAAATCAAAAAAGATCTCTAAGCCTCCCAAGAAAAGTTCAACCTTAGCGATGAAATCAAAAACTGTAACCAAACATCCTAAATGAAGGACTTGACGACCAAGAACATATGAGATATTGTCTCATTTAAACATACAAGTAACTTTCGTTTCTAATTAAATGGTTCATTGTTGCGATTCAATTTAAATTTTGTAACTTCTCAACTAAGCTCTTTCTTTTCACTCGCTTGTTTAATAAAAGTAACGGGATTTGATAGTTTATTTTAATTGCAAATAAAACAAGAATTATATAAAACTTCTGTCAAAAATTTGTCATGTTTATTCAGCTTCCAATATGGATCTTTCAATTTTGCCTTTTAATTGTTATGACGAATTCATTTAGAACACCAAAACATGATTCATTGTTTTACTATAAAACACAAAACAGTGTTTTCTTGACGAATCCCAAAGAGCACACATCTTATGGTATTTATGTGGCTGGTGAAACAACAAAGATTAACAATAGTAAACTGAGTAAACATTTAAAATATTATTAGTATTCAATAACTACGACTACGCCGACTTCCAGTTGATCTAGTTAATGAAAGAAGTTCCAAGTTCCAAGTTTGGTCTCGGCAAATGACGATCGGAGAAGCCATCGTTTGATAATACTAATGGAGTCAGTTCACTGCTTCTAAAAACCCACGAAGTCCAAACTCTTCACTCGACAGCAAACTCTCGTTTATACAAAATGTACACAACTTCATCAGCTATTAAAGGTGTTAATTGTAGCTTTTTCAAAATCATTTTGTTTACAATAAAAAAATAATCTAAACAACATAAATTTAAACAATGAATTATTCAATCTTGTTCCATCTCTTTACTTTCTTTTCCGTTTTTCCAGTTTTATCCGTCTGTGGCATCAGGAAATCTAAAGAACTGCAACAAACTCAGCTTTAAATTATTACACATGTTGCACAGCTTAATCATCATCTTGAAGTTTAGTCAATTATATTGAGTGAACTATTTAAATGTAATTTGAGGCTTGATTCCAGGATTCATAATCTTCAAAATTATATTTTTCAGTTTCTTTGGCTTCGTATTTGTCATTGACAGTATCTTTGGTTATCTTCGGTTTCTCAGTCACGTCAATTTCATTGTCCATTTCATCGTCTTTTCTATTTATCCTGATATCAGCACAGGCTCTGAAAGTTTCATTCTCCATGTCAGTGGTTCCTTGGTTACCACAAGTATAATCCCATTGAAGCACACATCGAGCACAGGTTAAATTACCAGGAAGAATCAGTGTAAAGTTGTACATTCCTGATCCTTGGTTACCTAAATTATACTTGAAGCGATTTCCAGGCGACCCATTTACTATCTCTAATGGATATTGGTTAAGACACTTTTGAGTCACTTCAACCTCATCAGTCACAGCTGGACACAAACGGAACACAAAATATCCTTTATGGGCAGCGGTTAGGTTAACAGTCACATTAATCCAATCACCTTGAACATAATCTCCAGTGAGCGTTGGTGGTTTGGTTACCCATTGACCGTTCGGTACTTCACTTGATCGGGTTCCATTAAAAGGATCACCACAAACACCGCATTTCCCTCCACTGGCTCGTTTAGCTGCTAATCCTCCGCACCACATTTCCATGTCATTGTAATTGATTGGTGTTTTATAGCCAACACGCCAAGCTGATACTCGACCTGCTGGTTTAATCAACATACCATGAGCTGAGGCCAACAGTGGACCATCACAGGTTAAAATTAGTTTAATAGCAACCCAGGTTGTCAAGTGAATGGTGATAAGAAACTTCATGATTGAGATTCACAATCAATAAATAAATAAATTTCAATTGCTTCACATTTTTATTCCGTTAAAAATGAAACATTCATTTTTACTCATAAAAATACATAAATGTTGATTTTTGCTTAAACATGACCTTATGGGAAAACATGACTGTGATAAAAATTAAACAACAAAAGGTAAATCTATCAACATCATTTACATTATTGGGCCTAATAATCATTAATGATTAATCTTGAAACAAGGTTTATTCATACTTGTTGTTAACGTTCAATGAACAAATTGATAACCTTCCATACTGAACCCTGCTGATGAATTTAGAGCTGAATCAAAATAAGCATTTTTAGGTTGTTATTGTTTATTGGGGAATATCCTCTTCTGTTTTTGATTACAATTGAACCTTGATTAACTAGAGACAAAACAAACACAATAGTTGACTAACAATTACAACCTTGTGATTTGATTAATTTGCACAATCAACCGGTGTTTAGTTAACTTGAGACTCATTTCTTCTGCTATTCTATTACACTGTTCAGGTCATAAATATGAAGTAAATTTTACGACTAAAAATTTACTTACACGCAGAGTACATGAAAACATACAATTTGATGAAAATTGTATGTATCTTGATTTTAGCTGGTAATTTATCGGAGGGGAAAACATAATATTACTGATTCAATAAGTTCAAGGTTGATCCTATCATGAGTTTCCATCTGAGGCACGAATCAAAGCTAATAAAAGCTTTCGGAAATCGCCTCTCATTGATGTCCGGATTTCATCTTTCAATTGCTTTCTGAATAAGCTTGTGTATCGACGACTAATTTCTGGTAAGTCAATCTAAATAGAAAAAAGAGAAAAATGAAGTTTGATCAGTTTAATTCCACTAGAACAGTTTGATTCTTTTCATTTCTTGATTAGAGTAATAAAGTTCATGAAATAAATTGATAATTTTAACCATTGGAAATTTCATGTTATCTCATCTAATCGCAATGAAGTATGTCTTATAAAAGTTGAAGTAACTATAGAAATAAGAAGCAGATTTTTCCATCTTACCTCTGAGCGAGTGACGAAGATGTTGATAATATTTTGATCATTGTTCCCTGCCTTTAAACAGCCGCGAATCCTTTCAGCAAAGTAATCAACCGGGCATCGAATACAAGAGACTATGGAAAAGAAATAGATAAAACAGAAATCAGAGTTAAATCGATCGTTTAGTCAGATATTTTTTTCTGATCATCTTGATTTTTTATCAAAACCAGTCATGTTTATACCGATTGCTGAGAAAATGTCATGGAGATCACCATCAAAGTAACGTCTGATATCATCTTCAAGTTTATCACCAGTAACTCGTTCATAAATTTGTAAAGTCAATTGAAGTTGGTTGAAATTGCGAGTACAGAGTAGATCCAAAAATTCATTTTGACGAGTCCAAGAAAGTCCAAGGCCTGACTGGAAAATAGAAACAACATTAATTATAATTAATAACACATAAATACAATTGAATATAATAAATAAAAAAGCTAACACAATTAAAAATACTTACAGAGTTCAATTGATCAACTTCTTCATAAGCCAAATACAAATCAACATGGTCAGTTGTTTCCCTCTCAATATTCAATATGCGAGCGGTTATTTTGAATAAGTTAGCATCAGGAATATTAATCAAATATTCATTCATATCGTCACCATATTCTGTCAAATAGATAAAATAAAATTAATCGATAAAGCAAATGAATAAAATTTTTAATGAACAAGTTATCTGAGAAAATCAATTTCCAACGTTAAATATACTGAATTGAAATTTGGTTCATCTTCACATCTCCCAAGGACTCAAAAATATTTCCTTTTTGAACACTTTACTGATTCAATCGAAATGCTTTCAGCTCTCATTCATAGTGGACAAAAGGACAGTCCAATAGTGAAAGTCCATCTAATAGACTACAGTTATTTTGAAGATGACCTCGACATGATTACGTGACTTATCAGATCGTTGATTTCTGTGGAAAACTTGACAAGGTAATGTTAAGCATATAGCAACATGCAGCAAAGAAGCTAGTTAATTAATCCAAGTTTATACTTGTAATTAAGATAATATTATAAACAATAAACTTGGACATTTAGCAATTAATATTTCACTAATCGATGCCATTGTAATTGGCAGTATATCAAGAAACAAATTAATCCAAAATACAAAAATAAGACATAATTGCATGCAAGTAATTAGTACCACTTGTATGGCCAGTTATTACCTAAATTATTGTCTAAATATATTTTTCGCCTTTCCTGACTCAAAATTAATGTTGGAAATTTTTATTGAAATATACATGCAATGCTTTACTTAATCATTAAACTACTGAAGAAAGATAATTTCTGAAGGTGACCAACAATTTAACTATTAAACTATTATATTAACTGTTTAAAATTTAAAGTCTCAACCAAAAATGAATGACAATACTTACTTTGAATGAATTGTTGCCGAATCAAGTTTAGCTGGTCATTATTGTGGGTGAAGAAGACATCAATGATAGGCAATAGAGTAAATTTATCTCCCTGAAGCAAACAAATTATGGATAAGAATGATTGGATATTTTTTGAGCCATTTCATGACTTACCACGAGTGATTGATAAATTATATCACAAGCTAATTCGGTGTAAGGTTTGAGCAGAGCGACACAAGCATCTTCAAATAATCCACCAAGTTCAGCTTGAATGTCTTCGATTAGGTCATGATGAAAAATTTGTCTATAACTTGAGTTGAGAATCAAACGTTGGTTTGAGTTTAATCTAGTCAAGATATCAACAATGAGATGGTTATTGTTACCTAGTGGAGAAGACATAAAATAATTAAAATTAGATTAATAATAAAATCATAAGAAATTAAAAAGATTCAACTAACCACTTTGAAATAAAGCCTTTTCCAGACAACGAGCTTCTTCAATGAGAGACATCTTGGATTGAATTGTGAATAAACCAGAATTAAAAACAAATCAACAGTAATGGAAGGAAACTTTGAAATGAAATAATAATGGAACATAATTCAAGTTCATTCCGAATGGATGATTTCAAAGGCTTTTCATGCGTAGTTGAGTGACCAATGGAGTTGCAGGGTCAGTAAAATACATCACAGATATGTGTATAATATTGGATCCCATAAGACAAAAAGTAATGAAAGAGTAAAATTTGTATGATTTAAGCTATCATTTAATATTAATATTTCATTATTTTGCGATTCAGTTTTCAAGACACAAATTGATTCTGGTGAAAACGGGAAGCATAATGATACGTAACAAAATTAGTCAAAGTGTGAATTAGCTTTTTGTTAAAAAAATTGTAATCAAGTGTGATTACTGATATAAAGTCATTTTGAAAGATTCAATGGTCCTATTGATGAGATCAAAAGCCAAACAGATCGACTTCAGCAGGAACTTGAATCCAATCGCCAAGATTTTGCTCGGCGAATGATTGAACAGCTAAAAGACGAGCTTGAAGATAGTTGGTAGCTGAGGTTTTAGCATCCCGATAAATTGTTGGAATTGCTAAGCCTAAAGGTGATGTACAAAGCTTTGGAGTATTACGTCCTAAAAGTGTTCGGAAAGATTGGAAAAATGTCTTCTTGGATAATCTTGAATATTGTTCCTCATTTTGGTATATTTTACCAGTATCACAGGATATAATTTCTGGAAAAGTATCACCTTTGATCCAATTAATTGCGTAATTAGGAGATTTTGTCAACGTTCGTGTGTACTCTTGTTGTTTGGATAGGGATTTGGCCACTTTATGTTGGTTCACTTTATAAGGATTAGGTAATTTTTTAAGAGATTCAGAGTCAAAGTTCATATTCAAACGACCATGTACCGCTCGAGTAAGATGTGAAAAGTTAAAAAGAGATCCAAGAATTAAACTGTCGAGGTAGATTGGTTCGATGAAATGAGATAAAAGAGATCCTTGAATTCCAACAACATTCCAAACGGCAATTTTATCAGAACAAGACATAAATTGGAGTCTTTGTTCACCAAGCAGTACACCATCCCAGGTTAATGTAGAGCAGCCTCTCCTGACTGGAATAGTTCCCTCTCCAGCTTCTATTTTGGCCCTTAGTAAACCTCGAGACACACGATTTGCATGAGGATCATCATCCTGTTCAGGAGAAAGTAATCGAATTTTTTAATTACATTGTTAAAATTATAATTATCATAGTGGCTCGTTTAACCCCGAATTTCCATGATTTTCAAAACAGTCAGTTGAATGAAAGAAAATTTTGAAAAATCTGAAACTGGGGATAAAGTGCCGCATTACGAGTCTATCCGAAATAAATAAGAGCAAATTTACGGCAACTTACACTGGAGTCGTTTGGCATGAAAACTCTCGCGTCTCCACATGGAGCTGTCGATATAAATAAGTTAATTTTGATTCCTGGTTTTAAACAAAATCCATAACCATCGTCTCGAACTTTTAAAATAAATTCAGCTCGATCTGAAAGTTTAAATGAGAAAAAATCAACAGATAAATTTTTTACATGGTGAATGTTATTTTCTGACGGTTAAAGTTGTGAGTTGCTAAAATTTATGAGCCTACATTCATCATAGCAGGTGCTATTTGAAGTTATCTTTATACAACATAATTGGCGATAAATCAAATCATTAAATAGGTAATTAAGATAGGTGTTCATTTGAAACTGTAAGCTGTGAAAAATGTACAAACCTTGATAGTTATTATCAATTATCACTTGTATCTGTTGATATAGAAATGCGATGAAACATCTTCTAGATAAAATTTCGGCATGAGAATCATGAATAGTTGTTCCTGTCATACTTAGACGATCACCTTTAATACATTTGGTACCGGTAGTTATACATATAATATCAAACCAATTTGGATCATATTCACTTGTGAGGATAATAGATGAGAGAACATTCCACTTTTTGATATCACCAAGATGTTCAAAAATTAATTGTGCCATGTTTAATACTTCAAAACCAAGCATGTCGGCAATTTTTTGGTCAAGCATAAGATTGTCATTTGTTTCTATAACAACATTGTTTGGTTCTGGGTTTGAGTTAGCACAATTTATTCCAAAAAGTTCACGTAAAGCTTCACGAGCAGCTGCATATTTGGCTAATTTTTTAGTCTTTCCCAGACCGGTATAACGTTTATCACCAACCAAGAGTTCCATACGAAATGAAACGACTACTTTTCCTTTTGTCTCTGATCCACCAAATTCCCAGATCAAATCCGGCCTCAACTCATTAATCAATGCAAGAGGATTGTTATGGGGAGCATCTTGAGTCATCACACGAATCATTATCTTTTGCTTATTTGATTTTCTAGGTTTGACATCACAAGGTTCTTCTTTTGGTTCATTTTCGATCAGTTCACTGAATTTGACAAATCCACTGTACTTATCAAAATTGTCACTAGCAAAATCGTCAGAAAACATGGTAAGATGATAAGATAATACTAAAAGAAACAATCATTTACAAAAAAAGAGTATTTTAATAGCAAAAAATACAAATTATGTGATGAGCAAAAGGTAAATAAGCAAAAGGTAAATAAAAATACTGTGTTTACATATTATTTTGATACTCATGTGATAGTTCAGGGACCGTTAAAAAAGTTACAAAAATTTTATTATAAAAAATTATTGCTCGATAAAAAGCGAAACTTATTCAGATAAATTATTCTTAATAATCTGAACCATTAATTGTTTTAAAATCTTAATAATAAGGCGAAAGCAACTTGCAAATAAAAACGGTTAAAATAAGGACGTAACTTTTTTGAATATCATTTTACAGTTAGGAGAAAGAGCATAAGAATAGCTTGTGAAATCAATTCTTTTCTGGTTAAAGTTAAACTTCAAAATAACCATTAATCAGTGGATAATCTGTTGATGATGGAAGTGATAAAAACAAGAGGATTCTATGTAAGTAAGTCAACAATATATATTCATTAACTTAACCCCAGTATTATTCAATGTTCATCTTGGTTCATCTCTTTTCCCTTCTTCATTACAGTATTCTCTTGTTCCTTATATTTCTTTGTCCTGGTTACATTCAAATCTAAAAATATGTTACCAACTGTAACTTTTGCAACCAAACGTATCTCATAGTCTTCTCATGGTTTCATCTTTTTTCTCAATTATATTCATTGTACAGTTGAAATACAATTGTAATTGGAGGTTTGTATTTTTTTTATTTATTTTTGAAGTTATCTTGCCTCAGTTTTCATATGCCATTTTCATCTTTCCCTGGCTCCTGTTTTTTTCTCGAGTACCCTTTTCATCATTATGATTATGTATTTTTATATAGGAATGTTAAACAGAGGCAAAGCAAAGATACAAAATCAAGCAAGATCAAAGACTGATTAGACACAATTGACTTGGCAACAAATCATATTGCTGAATGATTCAAGATTACATTTCAACTTTTGGATTTCAAATAGTTTTCCGGGCAAACGCAATTCCATGGCAATTATTTTGGAGGACTTTTTATATCCACAAGAATTGAGAGACCCTGGAATAGAGTCCGAACCATTTGATTTAAACAATAGAAACAATCATCAACCATCAGATAAGGAACCACACTTCTGGTCTACATTAAGAAGCTACAAATAAGCTTATTTCAAATTGAATAGACAACAAAGTGACTAATTGTTGGTAAAATATCTCAAAGCTGCTGTTGTAACTATTGATGGTTATACAATTGATGCAACAGATGATAGCAATTGTATTAAGATGAAGATGCCAAAATAATCCAACCTTTATTCAAGAAAAGACTGTGACTTTGAAAATGAGTTATTTCCATCATCTGAAGCTAATTTTTCAGCAATCAACCTTTTGTTTCTACCATTTGAACTATGTAAATCTTGTTGGGTTGTTTATTTAATTGGGAAAAGTATTCTGTCTCAGTGTTGATTTGCTCATTTCACTGTTAAATTGAGATTCAATTACACTGTCAAGTTAAAATTATCTTCAACATAAAACCTTTTTTCTTGGCTTCGCCAACTATTCCCAGTTAATCAATCATGATCATGTAATTGTGCCCATCGATAACTTACACCAATCCTTCAACCAAAAGACAATCACATTATCTTATATAATCAGATTGACATAAACTCTGTGACATAAAATTAACCCCAATTTACTCATAAATCATTTATTGTACAACTTGTTTCAACTTGTTGCAAGAAAACAAACTCAATTTTCACATTGAACAAAGATTGTCAAATTTTTAATTAAAATCAACATATTTCTTATATAATTAGTCAAATTCAAATTTTACATATTAGCAATGCAACTGCTAACCATTTTACATAATAATTAGAACAATTAAGACAGCTATTGATGGGTGAAATGTTCATTCCTAGGCAATTTTGATAGGAAACCTTCGTTAACATTTAACAAATGAAGAGATTCGAGATTTTCAAAGCTTAATCATGGACGGTGGGCACACAATTATGGCAGTTTTCATTTAGAATCAGAAGGTTCTGGACATCTTTAAAAAGGGCATATGAATTTAAACTGATCAATACAAAAATTTGGATTACAAATTTGGATTACAAATTTGGCAGGACAAGAAGGCTGACAAGTAGCTTTTTGGTAAGTGAGGCAAGCTCAAGTTAGAGAATGATCAATGACCAGAATAAATGACTGAGAAAATTGAAATTACAAAAGCAAAAGGTTCAGCTGATGGACCAAAAGTGACTTCCAGTAAAAGCAAACGAGTTAAATTAAAATCAGTTTGAGGCACATTATGAGAAACAAATGGACACAATTGGTTGAAATATATACACATGGATCCTTGGGTGAAATTAAAATTAAAAGATATCATCGGATGGATATTCAAATTGAATAAAAACAATTTCAGTTTATATAAAAAGTAGTCATAAGGCTGATGGTAACTTGAGGCCAGAAAATTTCAAATTTCAACGGGATTGGTTAATTGTAAAGGCACATATATTAAGACCACTTGAAGGTTTACCAATGGACGGTTAGTATCATGGGCAAGGATGATAGAAATGGTACAAAGATGAAAACAATTTATCAGCTGAGTGATGATTCTTTAGGCTGGGAGTCACTGGATGTTGCCAAGTCTTCAAGAACCTCTTTAAACACGACTGGGTCAATATTTTGTCCCAGCATATACAACAGAAACCAATCACCAATTGATGTTCGTCTCACAATTGTATGAAGATGGTCAAGTTGGGATAAACGGAATTGCATATTAAGTAGATAAACTCTAACTGGTGGACAGGCAATTACAATTAGATGCACCAAAATCATGCTTCCAGTTAAAAAGGTGAGTGTAAAAAACCAGAACCAAATGAAGATGTAAATCTTTTCGTTAATGATATTTAAAGGTAAAAGACAGAGGGCATCAATTGAAATTAATCCAGCTGATGGTCCGTATTTATAGAAACGGCATTTGGTCACTTTAGGGAATATTCGGGTCATAGGATCAACCCGGTCTTCTTGATCCATTTGGAAAAATTGAATCACTTCGATACCATATCGAAGGAATTCACCTTCAAAAAATTTGTCCAACATATACATTTGACCAGCTACGTTTGCAAAAAATAATATTTCACAAAAGAAAAACCTAAATGAAGAGAAAAAGAAAATGAAAATCAGTAAATTTTGAAATAAACAAGAGTTGAGTGTTTAGGTTTGCCAAAAAAATATTGAAAAATGATTTTCATGATAAATGGTGAAGTAAGGGTTGAAACCACAAATAAATTGATACATAAACAAGATAACGCCAGTTACTCACCTAGCAGCATACCAGTCATGATAGCCTTTACTTGACGTAAGATAATCCACTAAGAGTTTCTTTTTTTGGCGCTTTGCTGGAAATAAAACAAAATTAATTTTAATTTTATAATGAAATAGATATTTAGGGAAATAATGAGCTAGAAATAGCAGTTAAATTACCTGTATCGGTACATATACCAACATCTAAATCCATCATTAAGGTAGCTATTTTTCCGCCTTCCCACATTTTCCAAAGCCATCTTGGAATGTAAAACAGAGCTGCTTGGATGAATAACACAAAACATACCTAATAATAAATGACGGAAAAATCAAATTTTTAGCATTAATAGAAACAGAAAACACTGGAAACAAATCATGAAATCAGGGAAACTCTCATTATTCAGCAACTTGGTGCTTTCGGTGATACTGAATTGGTAAAGATGAAATTTAACTGTACAGAAGTGCTTTCAATATTATAGTTTGAGATTGATATCTGAGAGGCTAGAAATTAAAGTTGTTGGTCATTTTTCAGTGTTACAAATTTATGACCAATTATTTCAACAAAGTGAAATAGATCAAAAATTGTAAACAGAAATGACGCTTGAGAAAAAATTGGTTCTTGGTTTTTCATACGATCTGGTTAAACTAGTGGTTTAATGACTTACCCATTGATAATACTTATGGTATCTGAATTCAGCTTCATCCTGAGTGCTGTCAATACCTGGATGAGGAAGTCCTCTGGATCCAGTTCGAGCCAAAGCTCTGGGAATAGTGTAAGTTGTATGGATCCAACAATAGGTGTTAATCACTGATTGAGGAATATTTTCATCCTTAATACAATCAATTGGATCACCAACATATTGTTTAGTTGTAACAACAACACAAAAGGCAAGTAAAAGTGTAACTGTTAATGAATAGTGAAGTCGCAATAGACTGTTATCAATGTGAACTCGACTTATTTTAAACAAAGTTCGTAGTGATTTGAAAACATCAATCATAATGATACTCGTGATTAGTTGACTATCCAAAGGCCAAGAAATGAAAGATCTGAAAAGTGAACCAATGGGTGAACCTAAATGTGCTTTGGTTCGATGGACGGAAGATGCTACGGTAGTAACTGAGGTTGACAATGGATTCACTGGAAATTGATTTGATGACAGTAAAACTGGTTTTGTTGATTGTAGTGACAATGGTGTTGAGGATGTTGAGGGTGATGGTTGAACATGAGGATGAATATGATAATGGCCTGATCCTTGGCACACTGAAGGATTACTCGAATTACTGGATAAACAAAGATGATTATGATGAGAATGGTGAAGATGGTGAAGATGATGAAGGTGAATATCTTCTCTTGTCTTTCTTTCCGATACTGTAAAAGTGTAAGCAGAATAAGCAATTAGAAAAATTGATTTAATCAAAAAAAGTAAAAGGTTTCAAGCCAAGCTTAATGGCAACATTTACTGTTTCACTTAAACAAACCCAACAGTTGAACAGAGAGATTGAACAGTTTGGAATCAGCTTGATGTTATATTGTTAAATTAGTGACCACAATCATTTCAAGTTTAAGTTACACAGATAATTATTATAATGTTGATGATGAAATGAGGAATTGCTTCAACTCTCAATTATACATTATCAAGTTTCAAATGAATTTTTAAGGGTCAATCTTTTACTTAAAAAGGATCATTCAACTGATGCAATTAGAAGTAAATCAATTGGTTATTGGACTATTTTGCCGTTTTGTTTGAGCTTTTTGTAAAATCCTTTTACATATTGCAATGGGATTTGGCTAACGCCTTTGAAATATGAATTGAAAACCGGGATTGGCTTTCATTTGCGATTCAATTAACACTCTAATGATAACCAGAGATAGCTATGACTTGAGAGGCTTAACATTACTCTGTGAAAAAGTTAGTGGCGACAGTCTAATTAACATTGTTTAACACGTAAAGCAGAAGATCAAATTGCCAACGTTTGATTAACAGAGTAATTAGATTTTCTTAGTAACCAATGTTGGGATAACAATACAATTGGCGAGCAATCGTTAAACTTAAAGGAAATGTAATCTTACTTTCAACGTATTCATCCATGTAAATCAGTTTCCATGGTGTGTTTTGTTAAATAAACAACTAGGACAATTCAAGAAACCATGATTTTGATTAAACATGAATACAAAAAGCGAGTAAAAATGAACTGAAAAAGGATTGATTGAGAGGAAAGTGTCAAGTTGTAAGTTGACCAAAAACTGGTACTAAATGTTGATTAGCGAAAGTAAATAGTAACACCAAATTATAAGATAGCGCATAATTTGTCTCATAATCATGATTTCAAATGATTCACAAGGTGTAAAATGAAATAATGAAATCAAACCAGAAATGGTCGAAGGTAATTTGTCTGGTTCAAGATGTTGAGGGTTGAAAGAAACGGTTGATACCAGGGAAAGTAACTAACTGGTTATTACACTGAAACTAATGTTTTTTTAAAAAAATGAAAAATTGAGGGAAGATGAAGAGGGCGAGGATAAGTCAGCTTAAGAGGTTAACTATGAAACTCTGTATCAGCTAAATTGTTGGGGCAAAGATGAAAAGGATAAAGATTGAAGGAAAAGGTGTTAAATGGTTGAAAATGGCTGAGAGTGAGTTGAAGTTGGGTAAAGATGGAAATGGGTTGAAAATTATGAAATTGTTTAAATTTATTGGAAAAGAGATGAGCATGGTTAAGGGTAAAGATGATTATGGATGATTTTGTGTATTTATTGATGATAACTTGATAGCAAACAGTCATTGGAGTTGGTTAAACATTGCGGGAAACTTTGGCTAACTCACTAATTTACATCAAGCTGATTGTCTTACAAATTTTACATGCATTTTAACGGTTTTTTTTTTGCTTCTTGCTTCCGCCAATTTCAGCTAAGAAAAGATGATGATCATGATGATCATGATGAGAGGTACTTTCACTCTATCATCACTGTTATCTTTCTTTTCTTCTCCAAATGTCCTTGTTATCTCTCTGTTGTTGCGGGATAATTTAGCACAATTTGTTTATTGAAAGTGTTGGCCTAAAATATACAAATGCAATACTTACATTGATTGAGTGATTTGAAACCAAAATAATAGACAATCACAATTTTATAAACCTTTATGATACTAATCTTGGTAATATTCAAATCAGTCCACTTGAAGTCAACAATTTAACTGCATTTAAGTTGCCAAATTCATGTAATCTATCAAACAATGGTTGACGATCATTTCACTGCTATTATATTGTCCACAGCAATCACTAAACCATTATTTCTTTGAATATTAATGTTAGACAATTGATCCTTTTGGGTTAGCATACATTGTCGTTGGGAAATTTAGTTAATTTCAAATTGTAGTCAATATAGATTGGGTTTAAGATGGTTAATTACGGCGGTAAGGATTGTATAGAGGAACCAATGATTTCCATCCTTTTGTACAATTGTTTTGCGTCTCTGGCCCAATGGTAAAAAGTGTATCTTTAAACATATCGAAACTTGGCGTATCTTTTATGCGTCTCCGTAAGGTTCAAGCTAATTATTAACCATTTGGTGTTAAACTGGTTAACTATCACTGGACTGTATCAAAATTAACTGGTTAACTTTAAAATGGTCTTCATCATCCTCCTCATCCATTGCTAGTCATCTTGGCTTGTTCCATATTCTTGCCACAATCTAACATTTGTGTATTTGATTTCATCTACCAAAATTAACGGTGTAATGAATTTAAATGGTTTGCCATGTAAAAGTCTGTTTCGTTTATTAACTTTTCAACATAGATGATATTGTTCAAGGCGGTTTCAAAAGGCTGTGTGAAGGGCTACGATTGATTCCAATGAAGCAAAGTGAAGGCTTGCTTTGAAAGGTTTACTCTTGAAAAAATGAAAGGTTGGTAAGGCTTGAATAATAAACGGACAGTCAATTTGGTAAACAGAATTAACGTTTTAAATTAACTTTTAAGAAAAATAAACGGAAAAAATGGTTTTCCTAGCAAAGTTCAATTGAAGACAGATTTTTAGAGTAAAAGTAAACTTGGATATAACATTGATGATGAAAATAATGTTGTTGTTGTTGTTGTTGATGGCGATGATTATGATGATAGTAATGGTGAAGATGATGGTAAAGATGAAGTCGTTTGGCTCTGATTTATATTTTACTATAAAGATGATTGTTTAACCATGAAAAAACTGAAGCCTTGTTTTTTTCTTACTGGTAAGGCAAGTGGAGTTTGGTGAATAACGTAAACACTGGTCATGATTTATAAATCAATTGTTGGCGATGAGTATAAACCTTTGATAATTGTTAACACTATCATTATTGACTACTTAATGACAATTAAAGTGAAATATAAAACAAAAATATAAAAACAATTGGAAAAAAAGGAAGACAATTAAATTAAAATTATATAACTGGATTGACTTTTTGAAGGTAAAGACAAAGCTATAAACAATCTTATTGAAGTTGCCATTTCACCCGATGGCGTTGCTGTTGTTATAAATATTGGACTTGGTTGTCACCCAATGAACACAATGATAAATTGAACCTGTTAATTGTAACTACAATTTAAATAATATGTAATATGTTGATTAATTACTGATGATAATGAAGATGTTGACTATTAAATATAATATTATTAAAAAAAGGCGAAAAGTAAAACAAAACAAGTTGAAATGATTAAGGAAATGACTGAGATGCAGATGAAGACTGACAGTGGTTAAATTTGGTTTGAGTGGAGAGGCAAAAAAATTGATGTGAATTATATCTTACTTGGCCCGATTTCACTCAAAATAATTGCGTCTTTACACAAAGATTATCTTCTTCTTCTGTCTTCCTTACCTTTTCATCTTCTCTTTCCTTCTCATCTTCGTCATCAACTGAAGATTCGTCCTCATTCACGACTACATTGAGACATTACCGCCTTTCGGATACACAGAGAGTAAGTGGAAGATGATGATGATGACGAGATGAGCTCGATTTGAATTTAAAGTGATGAATCTGAAACTAAATTTAGTTTTGAATTTTTCAGGGAAAGACTTTTTTTCACAATTATCACTTTCTTTCCTCTGTCTTCATCTATCTTTGACTTTGCATGATGATGATGATGATCGAGATGAAAGGGGATGAGAGAGGCTAGAGGTTGAGATTTTGGACTAAATTTAGGTTCATTTGTGTTTACCAACAAAACCAAGAATTAAATTGTTGTTAAAAGATTCCTTTTGTTACCTGTTTACATCTTCCATCATCTTCTGACTTTCCCTGAAATCGTCTTCATCTCTTACCTGTTGCTCAGTCAAATAGCTACTTTGATTATGAATTAAACAGTTCAATAATCGAAGCAAAATGAAAACAATTTTCTTGACTAACTGAGAAACTCACACTGAGAGGTTAACATTGTTTTTCAATCAATCTAACATTTTCACAGTTATTGTAACCATAAATCACTAATCACTTGTAAATCAAGAGTTAACCAACTCTACCAAATTAACCATTAAACTGGTCTTTCCTCAAGTACTGAACCTTGCAATCTAACTCCAGGTTTGATCATTTTGAATCATTGATTCCTTTGATTTCCCAATTTTAAACTCATATTTCAATTTTCGGCAATTCCATCTCTTATATCATTTCAATCATGGTAATATCAACAATTAATTTCTTGGTAAATCAATTGAGTTTGAAGCAAATAAAGTGTTAACCAAATTCAATGTTAAAATGAAATCAAAAAATACATCAACCTGAAGGAAACGCAAAAATGAACATTTTTTAATTTCTCTCTGATTGTCAGTCGATTTTTTGGAAGAAACATTTGAAAGTCAAATTTTGGTCCCAAGAATAAATTGAAATCTAATTTCTTATCTAATTGTTTATTGAAATGAAACAATTGCTAATTCACACGGAGCTTGGGTGAATCTTATGATGAAAACTGGATCAGGCTAAAATTATTTACTGAAATGAATGTTGAAGATAAATCGTTCGGAAGGTTAGCATTGGAAAGCAAACTGTTGATTTATTATTAGATTTAGACGATTATTGATACATTCTGGAATCAAATAATCAATTGGCAAACAGATATAATCGGATAACTATAATTGTCATTTCAAATTACCAGAAAACTGGTAAAAATTAATCCTGAAATTTGATCATCAACTTATTGCTTATTGACATTTTCAATTGCTTCAAAGTCATTTCAATTGTTACAGCAACTTGTTGATCAACAATTTAGATTATTCAATTGCTGCTATTGACAGGAGAAATTTAAATCTCAATCCGTTTCAATTTAATTGTAAAAATTTGATTTATTTTCAGCTTTTTGCTTCTTCTCTTGAAAATCTCACATTTTCAACATTTCATTTTTGCTTTAACAATCAAGTTTTACCAAATTTTCTGGTTTTTAATTTATTGGTTGGTAAATATGAAAATTGATTAAACAAATGTTATTGTATTTAATGATTGATTAGTTTTAACCAACAGATGAATTACATTATTTAAATTGTTCAAAATAAATAGACTTCAATTGATTTATCATTTTACTTCAGCTTTACAAGCTTCTGTATTTTCTGGTTTGGTAAACAATCCAACTTTAGGTTCATCAATTTTTGGTTTGTTTTGGGTTAATCGACTGTTGAAGTTTGCTTTTAATTTTTTGACAAATATGTTTTACCTTAAAAAGTCTCATTATTTAATTAACTTGCATTCGATTTAATAAACTGTAACTTTTGTAAGATTGGGTTTTAAATTGTTTATTGGCTCACATCCAATACAAACATCGCTACTATTTGTAACAATTTTAATCATGTAAACCAATGACAACAATCAAAGAATCACTATTAACAGTATTCTGCTCTTAAAGGATAATTACTGTCAATAATTTATATTGATGAGACATTAAGTCATTGAACACAAAAATAAAAGGTACATCAATCAGGGCCTATTAAGACAAATATCCCAGACAGTTGTGTTAATATCTGGTCACAATTTCACATCTGTTTGGGTTTCCAGGTTATTAAGAAAGATTTAGTAATAACTAATAAGAATAATGATTAGAAAAATATAATTAAAGGTGAAGTCATTTAAGGGAGTTTATTTTGATTGTAAACACAATAAATGTTGAATATCATTTTGACACAATGAAAAAAAAACGTTGATAGACTTCACTCATTTAAAGTAAACTGTTGGGATAATATGTACAACTTTTGATAAGGAATTAAAATGATTTATTTTAGATGAAATATTAGGGCTTTGATTTTTTGATTTGCTGATTTGTTAATCAAAACAATCAATTTTCAGGTTTCATTGGAAGTGAAAAAGTTTCGTTTTTCCTTTTTTTATTGTTTTTATTTTATAGCTTGTAAATAATCTGTTAGATGGCGACACATACTTAGCTGCTTTCTTACTTCCGCTTGTGTTGATAGATTTGAGTTTTTCTGCTTCACAGTTGTGACGTGTTCCTGTATTTTAACTTGTTTTATTTAATTTCATTTCAATTTAATATAATAATATAATTAATTAATTGGTTTAGACATTAAAAATGGTGAGTGAATAACAATTTGTTTACATTGTTTTATCCTGTTTTAAACTAAATAGCTGTCGCTGTCGATGTTTACTTGTCCACTATGCCAACTGTCACGATTCATCAATATTTTGATGACTTTTCATTAAATTTTCATTCATTAAATGGTCATTTTATCTCTTTCAGCCTGCTCCAGCTAGTGCTACCTCTGTGGGGAGTGGAAGCCGATCACCCCGTGCAATCACATCTCGAACCACTAATGGCAGTGGTGCAAGATTAAGGAAAACTGGAACTAGCTCCTCTTCAAGTGCAGGTCGCGGCGGAGGACCTTCATCTGGTGGTATGTGGCGCTTTTACACAGATGACTCACCTGGAATTAAAGTGTACGTATCTCATTTTGTAATATCGATTACTTTTAATTTAATAAGCTATTACATGTCTACATAAAACATCGAGTTTCAATATTGAATCATTGCCATTCTTTTTTAATGTTTCTATTTTTCATTAATTTGACATTCTTTCATTTTTTTTACTAACAGAGGTCCTGTACCTGTTCTTGTGATGAGCTTGGTTTTCATTGCTTCCGTGTTCATTTTACATATTTGGGGAAAATACACTCGATCATAGATTTAATTATTTAAAGACCAAACTCATGGATTGGGAATCAAAGTTCAATGCATTCATCAACCAGTGAGATCTCTCAACGAAATATAACAGAAAGATTGGAGAGATGTGAAAGAATTTTGTTCTTTTTTTCATAAATATATTGATATTTTATTAAATCTCGGAATGATATATATGTTTTTGCTTTATTTTTTTAGAAAGAAACAACTCCATTCAACAGCCAGACAAAGTTAAGAGATATAATATTCAACCGGGTCATTGTTATGAGTTAATAAGAGAGCATTTAATACGTGTTTATTTGTGTATATGCTTGAATGTTGATGTGATTTGACTCTCTTTTTTCTCCTTCTCCTCCTTCCTCTCTGTTCGCGCGAGTTTTGATTGCTTTTAAATTAACCAGCTTTACATCTAAGCTAACAAGCACATTCATTTTTATTACCAACATTATCACCACCAAGTCCATGTTGCTGACCACCGGGAGCACCAGAGTTAGGTTTATGTTGAACACCAGATTCAGCAGCATTCAGGTCTAAACTACCATCTTGAATATTCTGATAGATTTTTGTTGCTGTTTCTAAGAAAGCTTCTTCAACATTTTCACCCGTTTTGGCTGAGGCTTCTATGAACATCAAACCGTTCTCTTCGGCGAAAGCTTTAGCTTCATCGTAAGTGACGTCTCTTTGGGTTTCCATGTCGCTTTTATTACCAATTAAGTAAATAACCTAAAAGTATAATTACATGATTAATATGAGATTTAGTCAAATCAACTGCCAAATCCGGTTGGAAGTACAATTGTAAATACTTACAGTATTTGGATTTGTCAGATTACGAGCATCCGTTAACCAACTTGAAAGATGATTATACGTTGATCTTCGAGTTATATCATAGACCATCAATGCACCAGCCGCCCCTCTATAATAACTTCGTGTTACAGCTCGGAATCTTTCTTGTCCAGCTGTATCCCAAATTTGAAGTTTAATCTTTTGACCGCAAACCTCAATTATTCGGGTTCCAAATTCAACCCCAATTGTGTGTGGACAATCAGCCATAACTTGAGGGAAAGAATAAACACAAAACATTATAAGTATGCAATAAATTTGATTACAACTTTGAAGTTGAGTTACAAGTGAGGAAAGCTTTGAAAAATCAAAAAACTCAATGGATCAACTCAAAACAAGGTAAACTAGAAGACATAATCGCATGAATGCTTGAAGATGAGCAAGAATAGAAAATTTAACAGATAAATCTACGTCATAAAAGAAATGATATAGCAGAATAAATAAGCAAACAATAAAATTTAGTTGAAAAATGGACGTAGAGCAAAAAGATAGATTAAATCTACATTTTGAGTTAAAGGTGATAATGAAAAGGTGATTTTGCATAAAGAGGATATAAGCACTTTTGAAACATAGAGAAATTTTGGGCGTTCTGAAGAGCTGATAGCAAATATAAATAACGTAGAGAAGCTTTATACGCCTTTCAAGTTCTGCTAGTTCCTTAGTTATTGCTAGTTCATCCAACCATGCTAATTACATGAACTGAGCAAAAAGTTGTTTCGGTGGTAGATAGCAAGAAGAGAATAAGAAAAGGTCTGTACAAATTCAAGGCTAGATCGAATGTAGTTTCTTACATTTTTTCTCAGTGAATTGATGAAGAAGACACGATTTACCAACACCCATGTCACCAATTATGATGTATTTGAATATGTAGGAATAATTGTAGGGCCCTCCACCACTAGCAACACCACCACTGTTTCCACCAGCCATGGTAATACTGAGACAGTTAAGAAATAGGTAACGTTGTTTACTAAATAGTAATTACACAGCTAAATCAACACGTCAATAGCTGCCTCTAAAAAAGCGAATGTGAGAAGCGAAAGATATATATTTATATATATATAAATGTATGTGTGTGTGTGTGCTTGAATATATAAATATAGAAAGAGTTGCAATAGAGAGCTAAGATGAATAGATAGACAAGAGAGGCGAGCAAAAAAAACAGGGAAGGATTAGTTCTCTTGTCTCAAAGAGATAAATTGACAGTCCAGAAGCTTGGATAGTTGGTTTAATCGATGTTTCCAAATGTTGAGAGTTGATGTGAGTGTTACTATTGTTGGTATAGTGGTTTTAGTTGATTGTTAACTTCCTATTGAATGTTGTTTCCAATATGATGATAAAAAAACAAAAGAGCAACAACGAAAGAGAGGAATTGAGTTGGGGGAGAGATAGAACTGAAATAAAAAAAGACAGAAATAGAGAAGAAAAGAAATCCTTTTAAAGAGGATTGAGAAAGGGAAGATAAGAGAAGAAATGGAGAGAGAAAAAGAAGCGGACTATTGGGGTCAATAATACGTATTATTGAGGCTGTTGAGGTTAATTAAACAATTCAAAATATGAATGAATTAATTAATTAAACAGAAGACGTCAAAGAAAACACAGGACTAATTGACTAAATTGTGAGATTTGTAACAGCAGCGACCCCATCTGGTGATAGCACCTTCAAGAATAGTCAGTCCCCCTAGTTTTTGGCAACCAGTTAATCCAGCTCGAAATTTAAATTCAACAATCAAGGATTAAAACATAAAAACACATATCTAGCAAATAGGGTTAAAGATAGCATAAAGCGAAGAATTACTATCTAAAAACAATTAATTTAACAAGAATCAATGTTTAAGACAGAATTGTTTCTCTTGGCAAATTACATCAGTAAAAAGGTTTTTACTCACTTGGGTTTCTGTTGTTTCTTCAATCCCTTATGAAGTATCCATTGAAAATGTAAGATTTATCAGAAATTGAATTTTTTAGTTGACAGATTAAATGAACAAAAATCTGAATTACGATGAGTAATATAATCTTTATAATCCACAAAACCCCAAAATAAATATGAACAAATGGCAACACTAAAAATATTGTTTTGAAGTGTGATCGATTGATAATCGATTTGAGGATCGATTCATCGGAGGCGCAAATTCAAATCTCAAGTACCAACGGTCAAAACCTTTCGATCAGGTCTTGCATCTTTAGTGTGATACTTATTTTTAATTGTAATTATTTAGATGGAGGTATCTTTAAATAGTACCCCATCAAAATTTAATGATCTGCAAGGTAAGTTAATTTTGAAATTTATTCCCTCAAACTATCTGTTTACAATGTTTGACAGTTTTTTATTGCATGTTTCTAATATATTTTTCCTCCCGCGTTTTTTTTCGCCTATGGAAACCTTATTTATTTTGTATCCAAATAGATGACAGTGGTTTTATATCAATGGAGTCATCTAAAAGTGATGTTGTTTTATTCTTAGGTGCAAATGATGATATTCCTTCAATTAGATTGACTATTTGTGAAGATTTACCTTCAAGGGTGAATATCAGTGCAACAGATACTTTTGATGAACCAAGCTGCTCATCCACTCATCTTTCGCCAATTCCCACCAAAAAAAGTTTTAAACCATTTTCATCTACACCTCGTCCGCCATATCATCCTGTTCCTGACCAGATTGATCTTCTCTCAGGATTGAGTCAATCATTTCCTCATGTTATTGCACAAATTTTGGACTTTCTTGAACCAGAGGATCTTTGTGTACTAAGTTGCGTTAGTCAAACTTGTAAAAAAATTGTTTTAGATGATCCTAGTAGTAGAAGTAGAAAAGAAAAGTATTTAATTGCCTTGAATGAATTAAAGCAAGAAGTCGGCCAGGTAAATATTGCTAACTTTGTCTATTCAATTTTACTTTGAATTGAGGAAAACATTTTTTACCTCTTTGTTTTTATTTTTATCTTAGGAAAATTGGCCAATCAAAAAGACTACACATGATGATAAAAGTGAGTCAAGAGGAGTTTTAAGTGAAGTCAAAAATACTCAAGGAATGCCGAATAGATGTGAACCTTCCACAGTTGAAAGTGAGCTTATACCAAAAACAAGTGCAAATATCGAACCGATTCCTCCAGAAAGAACTAAAAGGCGTCGGATAGAACCACCTGAGAATGGTACTCAATCTTCAATACCAAAGAATGCAAAAAGTAAACGCACTTGTGATGATAAAGATGATGATCAGGATTCTGGTATATTTGAAGCGACAACTAGTAAAGGCAAAACAAAAAGCAGAAAGTGTGAACCAACTGCTGGTAGTAAAGCAAGCAAACGTCACTTGAAAAGACTCTGATTAATTTTTGCGCCAGTTTATCGACAAGTAAATTGGTTTGTAATTATGCTCATTTTTCTCTCCACGGATACTCATTGATTCCCTGCCAATGGCTTCTTGGTTGTTATCCAAGCTTGCAATAAGAAGCTCTTTTTTTACTTGTGTACTTATTCGAGAGAGAATCAAAATTTGTAAGCCTGTTAAATCACTCATTTGTGATTGACATTTTACCATGTATTTTGCATGGGCGACCAAAGGGTCGAACTCATAAACAGTGTAATCACATCCAAATTTTAAACCACATGTGATGTAATGACCTCTTTTCCAAAGATCTTGATAAATACTGTACAACAAGATGTCTCGTTCTGATTCAGGAAATGACCACTCATCATTAATAACTACTTCCTTGCGGGGCCATGGACATTCTGTAAATAATTGTACAGGCAATAAATCATTATTCATAGTTTCAATAGAAACTTTTTGCTCTTTTATTCTTTCGCTTTCCGCTAATTGGTTCAATTCTCCTTCTAGTCCTTCGAAACTATCCAACTTTGAAGAATCTTGTCTCCTTCTTTTGAGTCCTTTGGATGAATCAACATGACTAGCAATTTGCGCCAGTCTTCTTTCTGTTGCTAACTTTGTATAATCTGAACGAGACGTGTTCAAGTGTCGATTGTAATCCTCAACCACATTCTGGTTTATATCAACATCAAGTCTAATCAAATTAATAATCTGGAAGTTTAAAAGTAAACGAACTTCTTCTTTCATCAACTGTAAAGGCAATCCACTTTCATTTACTTGGTATAGTTTATCTGGGAATGGTCCGATGAGATAACCAACAATTCTGTGATCTTTTCTCAACTTTAAAGCGTCTTTAATCAGAAGAAACAAGAAATGAATTACAATACAGCACAAATTTGAAAATATCGATACAAGTACTGTTGAACGAAACAAGGGTTGGAAAAAAGATTCACTTGAAACAATTAGACAACATATTTAAACTAGAAATTGGCCATTTGAGAGGAAAACTTTGATTTTATCAGCACCAGTAGCAGAGCTCATAATTAAAGCGTTTGTTTTAATTGAAAATAACTGTGAAATAATAAAAACAAGCTAATCAGCTGATAGAATAATTTATTTTGAAAACAATATTGGTTACTTCAGAGACATCTACCGTACTTTTTAGATACCTGTAAGACTTATAAATACGGAATAAAACTGATTGTAATTGATTTTGAATCAAACCATTTGATGTCAAATGAATTACACAGTTAAAGAGTTTACTTTTTTACACAGTTGCTCGATCTAATAACCGATTGCGAGTTACCTAATTTTGAATTTTTAACCAACGACTCTTCTTAAAATCTCAACAATTAGTCGCGAAGGATTTCACTATCGAATCTTTCAGTTATTTTTGCTTTCCATTATTGTCAAAATTAACTCTTTCTTGTTAGATTGTAATTTAAATTTCAAGTGCGATTTCTCGTTCCACTCTTATAACTAACTTGTAGAATCTCAGATAATTATCATTGTTGTGATAGTTTTTTGTTTAAACCATTTTTAATAAGTTCTTGTGTAAATCAATATCCTGAATGTTTTTAGATGAAATAAAAAGACAACATTTATCGACAATAGACTTGTGGTAAACATAATTGTTTTATTACAAAAATTATTAGTTAATTTAACTTTGGTTGATCATAATCAAAAAGGAATGAAGAATTGAGCAGACTCAATTTTAGTTTGATCACTGGCAGCACTGAGTTGAATTTAATAGTTTAGGGAATGAAAAGGGTAAATGTTCGAGCAAATTGAAACTTTTCTGACAAAAAAATTAATCTCTTAATGAGAAACATTCACTTAATTTGAACTTGAATTTTTTACTTCAAGAAAAACTAAGTTTTCATATAAATTTATCAAAATTAATGTCCTAAAATAGATAACTTTCAATTCTATAAAATTTTTAATGAGTGAGATTAAATTTTTTTGTCAGAATAAATAATCAAAAAGCATCGGAAGGATGTTAAATTAATTTGAGTTGGTGTCAACACGGTGATAAGGATAATTAAAGTGAAAAAACAAGTTATTCTGCAAAGTTCATCAATGATTTGTTTTGCCAATTGCTTGATATTGGTATCCAGAAGCTTCTGGTCTTTTTGTGCATATAAACATTTTTCCTGAAACGACAAATGAATAAACATTATTAGTTGAACATTCCTATCATCTAAATTCAAAATTATCTTACCTTGATGAAAATAAATTGAAGACTTTAAGATGATTCATGATGATGATGTTCATTGTGGTAAAGATGATTTTGTAATGATGATAATTTTGGAAACAAAATTTTAAAATGAAACTAATTTAGTTAACGCTGTTGGTGTGATCTAATATTTGAAGACGACGAGGCTGAATAGTAACCAGCCATAGATCTTGAAGATCTTTCTTCAACTCTCGATCCACTTAATGCAGCACCAGAGCTTCTGGTCTGTTGATAACTTTTAGATGTTGAAACACTTTTTATTGGCACATCGGTTGTTGTCACCGTTGTTGTTGTTGATGCAATTGTTGGTGGCGGTGGTGGCGGAGGAGGAGGTGGAATACCAATTTGTTGACCTGATTCAGACCAAGATGAAGCTTCTTTGTGAAGTCTAGTAAAATTGACATCTTCTTCTGTAATTGACCTTAAATCATAATCAGCAGTCCAACTTGAACGAGTTGACCCTGTAAGGTCTTTAAGTTTTCTTTCTGGTCTAATTCTGTACAATGTTTCAGACCATTCAGCATTAAAATCCTCTTCAGTTCCAAGAGATAAGTTTGCCACACTGGGGTGAGTTAAAATGCGAACAATGGTTTCCCAAGTATTGGCAGAAAATAATTTCTCATATCTAATATCACGACTGATTCGAACATATTCGTCAACTGTAGTTGATTCAATAATTAAACTTCGGAAAACTTCATCTGTTACAACTGTGGTTCTCCATTTAGTGCGATCACTGGAAGATAATTGTTCAATCCCCTGAACCTGCGGAGGATTTTCCAAAATATTCAATATCACATTGCTTTTAGATCGACCAAGAGTTGATGATCGATGCTGATAGGAGTCAGACATTTTGGAAATATTTTCATCTTCAATATATTGTTTAGTCAATGATTTAGTTCCTGTTGACATTGTTGCCGTCGTTTCCTGTGAACTTAATCTTGATTTCATTCTATCGTCGGTTCTATCATTAACTCTATCATCTCTTATTACAGATCGGTTAACTTGACGCTTGGATTCATCAAAACGTGATGTTTCACTTTCTTGGTCTTGATAAACATCAAGCAGCTCACGAGTTCTTTCAACTTGATAACCTGGTGATGAGCGAACATCGGTATGGCTGGTCATTCGATTTCTATGAATTTGTTGACCTGTTGATGTTGATTTTGTTGCTGCTTTCACTGCCTTAGTTTGATCTACTGAGCGACCACCAGATTCTTTGAAAATGCTTTCAGTAGTAACAGTCTCTGAAATGTTGGTCACATAAAGATCATCAATATTTTTAACCAATATTTTAGGTGCAGGAACAACAGATAATTTGTTTCGAGTTGAGTCTTCAATAATTTCTGTATTTCCATTCCTGTCAACATATGTATCTTCAAGATTTTCAGTTGTTAAAACTTTTGGTTTAACATATGCTTTGGTTGGTGATTTTTCAATTATTTCAGAATGAGACCAATCATCATCATCGGGAATACTTCCCCTCAATGAGGGAGCATCTGAGTATGTTGGCTGTTTTTGATACAGTTTCGTGTGAGCGGCTCGATATCTTGTTGTAAATTCATCTTCATCAGTCAAATTTTCTGTTTCTACGATTGTAGTACACAAATCACGCTTGATAATCTCTGGTCTGTAAATAGCTGGAACAGGGAAAGATGAAACTGAATCTCCTCGCTCAATATCAAGAGGATAAGGTTCCGGGAGAAAAGCAGCGTTCTCAAAACGATAGCGATCTTGTCGTAGGGTTGATGTTTCCGAAACAATAGTTCTTCGGCCATCATCATCAGATGGTGATTCAGAGGGATAATCTGTTTCACTTGATTCAGTTGGCGGAGCAGTCACTCTTGGTATTCTGATTGTATCAATTATAGACGAAACTTTGGTTATTTCTGATGGAGCAGGAGTCAAGTGCCGCTTTTTACGAACAATTTTAATATTACGACGTTTAAGACAGTAATAGCCACATCCAACACCAAGAAGAAGAAGCGTCAAAAAGAGAAGGGCACAGATTATTAAAAGAAGCTCTATTTCTGATAACTTATTAGGAACCAATAGAGGAACAGGAGCAACAGGTTCGACTCTGTCAATGAGAAAAATAAAGTTAATTGATACATGAACATCAAATGATTTATATATTAAGAGTTACTCATCAGTAAAATAAGGGAAACTTACATCGGAGGTAAAGGATCAGCAGGAGGCGGTGCTAAAGGTGGTGGGTAACGACAAATTATGGTTTTAATTTCATCTTCTTCTAATTCCAGAGATCGATGGAAGCGAAATATGATGTTATTAATAAACAATCGAGGTGCCTCCTTAAATAATGCACGTAAAAAATAAACACAGATAAATTAATCTTCGTGAAACTCAATTTAATATAAGATTCGATCGATCAAATGATATTTACCTGTTTGGTTCCGCAACCTTTAAGAGGGATTCTCATTTCGTAATATTGGCTTCCATCACCGTAAAATTTACAATTAGATGACCGGTCATAGTTGGCATAAGCAACTCCTCGAAAAGGAACACTGAAGTTTATCTTAACAATCATTTCACCCGATTCGCAGGAAAGATAAGCTGTTGAAAGTTGAATGTAAATTGGTTGTTAGAGATTGAAAATTGATCAACTTTAACTGTCTACTTACCTCGAGTTCGGTTTGTGATGATCTCGGAATTAAGTTGATCTGTCGCCGCCAAACGGACAACATTTCTCGTTCGCTCCTTTTCCAGCCTCTCAAGATCATCATCAGTTAAGACAACTGAGCTACCTGAACCTTGTATCGAGATGGTTTCCGTTGGAAATGGTGGTAACAACGGCGGTGGTGCTCTTAATGGTAACGAAATAACATCCTCATGAGATGTATGAATCGGAATCGGAACTGCTTCTCCTGATCCATCGATAGGAATTGGAAGTTTATTTTGAACATGTTGTTGGCTAATTGTTGTTATTACTTCTCGCTGTTGTTCTTGAAGGCTCTGTTGAAATAATCAAAAGTAAACTGTGAGTAACAAACACTAGACAATAGATTGTCGCACCTCCTTTCATCAGAAAAATTAACCTCTTTGAAGAGCGCTAATTTAAAACATAATAATTAAATGATTCTTACCAAAATCCCTCCAATTCCGAGAATTGTTATCAATCCTAATTGTAAAAGATATTTCATTTTGATTTTCTAGAAAAAATAAGAGAATATAAAAAACAATTAGAAAATACAGTTGACCGAATAAAAATCAACTAAATTTGTGTAATTAAACAATCGCTCGCTATTATTTGATAAAATCGTGTTCGAAGTATTCAGCTTCGATTTTTCTGTCAAGTGTTTATGATTAAGCAAAAGCTGAAAAAAGCAGTTGAACATTAATAAGCTGAAGGTAACTGAATTAACATTAAACCTTAATGATTTCCAGAAAATTACAAAAGGCAATGTAAGCCGATTCAAGTAAGACTGTTAATCAATTTGGTTTTGTTTCACTTTGATTAACCTTGAAAAGATTTTACCTTTCACTATTTTGTTAATCATTATCTTGTCCCCACGCAATTACAATTAAAGGTATAAGTCATAAATAGCTAAAATTGACAGCAATCAAGACATTGAATCAAGTTGATCAAGATGAGAAGCAAATTTCCGTTACTAATCATCATTTCAACTTTTCACACCCAAACAGACATAATCATCTTCATACTAAATAGCCAACAATTAGATAACAAAGCTTAAATTAGAAATGGCTAATAACAAATCAACTCTTAAATTATTACATCTTCACATTCTCAGAATTTCCAGAAATCTCAAATCAAACCAACGATGGCAAAACTTGACTTAATTACTGGTTAGTTAAACTTGAACAAAACATTTCCTCATTTCTTAAACAACAGTTACGTTCATTTGATTAACCAATTGATTAAACGTAAATTGTGAACACAAAACAGCTTGAAAAATGAATCTGAGTTGAACCATGAAAAATGTGAACATCAATGAGGTAATCAATTATTACAGTAAGAATGGTTATTAGTTAATCCAAATTATGAGCAAGGAGTGTTGGTTGAAATTGATTTTGTATTAAAAATGATTTCTTAAAAATCTAAATCAAAATAGATTAAAGCGTTGATGTGAATCTCTGTAATCACTGTAAATATTGACAATTTACAAATTGCTACAGAAACCTTCACAGACAAATAAGGTGAAGTTACAAGGCAAATAATAAGCCTTCAGGTCGATGAATCTCCTACACTTAATACAGAAACCTACACCTGAAGTAATCAAGGATTGATTTACTGAAGGTTTTGGGCTTTTTTAACATTCTTTCATGAGTGAGTGTTTGATGAATCAATTTTCATTATCAAATGAGTGAGTGTTTTGATTGTAACTTCAAAATCACAAAATGATACAATTTCAATAGAAATTAAAATTCTGTAAAATTTCAATCTTCATCCATTACTTAACCATTTCAATGGATATTTAGTGAAATCAAATTCCTCTCTAATCATGATCAAGTTAATGGTTAAAATTAAAAAGGTAAACAAGGAACAAAAAGATCACATTTTTAAGCTTCAGTTTAAACGAACTTTGATTTGTGAGAAATTTTTTAACTGCTAATATCGTATTTCAATTAATTGTTCAATAATCAAATAACCATTTACTGTGATCAAAGGTTAACTTGAAGAGATGATTTTCAGTTTGCTTGTTTTTTTTACCTTCAATGTTTGCATATTAAAGATTGATATTGGATCCATATTTAATTGCTAATAACTGTTGCCTTTAATAAGCTACAATTTGTTGGCTATATTTCAACAATTAAGATAATTGACTTGACTTATCATCTCCTTTTTTTCCTGATCTATCATCATTAAAATCAGTGATCATTCAACTTGTTTAACTTTCTCACGATGGGAAAACTGAAAGTTTAATTGAAATCAAAGTTCAATACAATTTAACTGATTCTAGTTAGTTGATTGTCACATTTGTCTTCTCCTTTAACAACCATTCAATATGACAACAATTAGAGTTAACATGAACCGGTTTGCTTGATATAATCACGTTAAAAAATATCAATTAAAAGGAGGAAAATTCAACTCTTAATTTGTGCTGGAAACTTCATGATTAACTTTCATTTTTTTTCGAAAATCAGAAAATTAGATTCTTACCATCTTGATTTATCCAAATGATTTGTTGAACCGTTAGTTGAGTTATCCATTGAGTTGAATACACATTGACAGATTGGGTTGACTTTTGACTAAAAGGTTTGAGGTTTGAAGCTGATTAAACGAGTTGACTTAATGAGCAAATTGTGAATAAATAATGACCAGAGTAAAGATGATCACGAAAATGGGTTAATCCAAAGTTGGGTTGACCATCTGAAAATGAAAGCAAAAAACAGTCAATAAGATGTCAGATAAATGGTTGACAATTGTTGATCATTTGACACAGTTAATTTGGAAATTAGTTGACACTGAGTTAATCATTAATAGTTAATCACTTTGAAAGGTTTGGTAAATTAAAGATGAAAGTATTGTTAAAAATATTAAAACACAAATCAAGACAATCAAGTAAAATACATAATAAAGAGCGACACAAACCGTGTTTAAATTACAATCCATTTTAAAAGCTATCAATGGAAACCGTTTGAAACTGAAAGGGATTTAATGATTAACAACAGAAGCAGAAATGAAAATGAACAAATGATGATAATTGATGATGATAATGAAGATGAGGGATGATAATGATGAGGAGAAGGAAGAATGAAAGTTTTTAATGGAAAGGCATTGATTGGTATTCGGATATAACACCAACGCTATAAGGCGAAGGATTAAGAATCTGATGAATGATGATAAAGATGAAGATGAAAGCTAAATAAAAGGTGTATTTACAAGGTTAGGTTACCTTGGTAAGTTGATCCACCACCTTAAATAACATTTCATTTTGCCTCTTTTTTTGTCAAAAACATAACCGGTTATCAATTGTTTATTCATATTGAGTTGAGTCCATTTCACTGAAGGACTTTGATTCCGTTTTCATGATATCTATGTTAACCTAATTGATGCCAAGGTGAACAACATTTGTATTAACTTAACATTTAACATTTAATACTTGTAATGGCTTACCTTATGCCCTAAATTTTGCTTCAACAATTACATCTTGATGTAAGATGTTTTTATTGTCTATTTATTTTGGATGTTAACAATTAACGGGAAATTGACACTGATATTGTGACCCTTGGATCAACAGTCAATCTAATCATTGATCTTGACTAAACATTTGGAATTGCTTTTTTTGCCTGGAAAATTGATTCGTCTAGTAATTATGTTTAAATTGTTCAAGTTACAGTTAGCAAACGTGATTGTAATGATGCCTTGAGCATCTTGAAGGAATGATAAAAACCATGAGAATCAATATTAACATAATCATGGGTTTGATATGAAAATTGTTGGGTAAAGATTTGCTTTGCATATTAGGTAATGATTGAATTAATGGCCAATAAATCGTCATTTAATGATTGAAAATGGTTTAAAGAAAGTTGAACCCCAAGGTTTACCCGTAAGCTAATTGTTGGTAAATTGATCATCAAATGATTAACCTTTGAACGGAATTTGCTTTTGATAGTAACAGTGATTTGATTGTAACACCAACGGTTCAGTGTTTACGAAGGTGTCATTTCAATGATTAGTAAATTACATGATTAGAGACTTTCATAAAGGTTAACCTTTTTGATTGTTGTCCAGTGAAAGTTAATTTCACTGTAAATTGCCTTTGTTAACCATTTAAATTGTCATTTGATTACTTTTCAATTTAATGTCTTCTCTCAACAATTAACAATGAAAAGTGATCGAGATGTTGAATGTTTCCATTCATTCAAATTTGATGAGTTTTTTTCACTTCTCCTGTAAATGATTAAGTTTATGACAAATAATTAACCATTGATTTGACCGGTTAATGCTTAGTGAATGGCTAAAAATGGATTTCATTGTTTTTACAAGTTAAATGGTCAAATGGACAATCAAAAAGCAACTTTCAATTTCCGTAATTAACTGTTTTATTACAATTAAAATGGTTAATTTCAATGAAATTGCTTTTCTAAATCAACTCTTCCTTTTTTTTGTAAGTTACTTTCATCAAATTTGATTCACTTTTGTCTGCATCTTTTTCATGATTAACAAGATAGTTAACTTAATCATCTGAGGGTGGCCTTAAATGTCCTCAAAAATGATGTCAATTTGCGTGGTCAAAAAAAACAGATAACGCGTTAAAGTGACCATAAGGTGAGAGTAAAAAAGGTTTTCACTGGAAAGTCACTGATTCGTATTCAATGACCATTTCAACCTGTTTTTTGCCTTCATTTCAAATGAAATAAAAGATGAAAGTGAAAGACAATGATCATCATCAGGGTAATAATGATTCCTATTGTCCTTTAGATTCACTTTTATTCGTGTTATTAACTCTTCTCGTCTCGTTAAACAGCTTGACCATTACGCGATGTAGACCACAAATGGTTAAATGTAATACAACGAATGTTCAGATGAAGGTAAATACATTCATTATTTCATATTATTGTTAATAGAAACGGAAAACTCATTCAAACCATTTTTGCTCATCACAAGCCTTTCAACTTTCAATTTTTAATGAAAACTCGTTTCCAAATTTTCGAAATTTTGTCCCGAAAAAATTCGAAAGCTTTTTCAGACGAAATCAAAATTAACCCAAACATTGAACCTTTAAAATCTGGAATTGGATCGAAAATTTAAAAGTCGATTTCATAGCAACTCTGATTGTCTTGGATGTAATCAAAGAATTGATTTTAAATGTGATTTTAATTTCGATGTTGATTTCAGGCCAGAAAATGTTTTTTCTCGAGAATCGAAGATAAATTGAAATTTTCAAGGTTTGATCCATTAAACTGTTGGATCGTTGAAAATTCATGATAACATGAGTGAATGATGAATCTTGGTATTGAGCGATGGATGAAAGTTGATTATCTCATTGAGTAATGAAAAGTGCAAGTCTAATCGCGATAATTATTATGATGGCGATGATAATTTGGGTTAATGTTGATTGCAGTTTAGGTTTGGTTTAGTAATTAAAAATTGAATTGTAAAACAAAAGGTTGGTTAAAAGATTAATCCAAATTCTGGACAATTGAGTTATTTGACGATATTAAAAATCTTAATATAGACTCTTAATCATTGATTAACAATAAAACATTTTGCTAACAATGGAATTGATTGTTGAGCGTGAACTTTTAATTAAGGCCGATAACTAATAATAGACTGACAATCAATTGTAACACAAAGTGTATGACCAGTGGTTAGTAAATAGATTTCACTTTGATTGTAACAACAATTTAAAAACATTGACTAATCAATTGGTAAATATCCCGTTGATGTGAATACGAAAAGATTTTTTCTTCTCCTTTTTTATTAATTTTAATAAACAATATCTAAATTTTGTGGTCAACAATGAGAAATGTTTGAATTGTGTGTGTTTCAGTGACCAATCATATTGACCTGGTTTGCATGGTTTGAGAAACACACAAATCAACCAATTTAATTATCTTGATGGTGATGAGGTTGATCATGATGATGATTATGAACGGGAAAAGTTAATTGTGAAAGGAAGGAAGAAAAAGGTAAAAACAATTTTTGATATTAAAAAATGAGAAAAAGGAAAAATAATTTTTATATGAAAGCAAATGGTCAGTCCAGTTATTTATACATAAATTAAACACTGTAAGACCTTGTTTCAACTCTTTTTTAATGTAACATGATTGAGGGTGTGAATAATTAGATAACTGTTTAGTTAACCAGCACGTAATGAAACAAAATAATCACAATTTGTATTTAGAAGTATTAATTGTTGAATCGTCGTTTATCTTCACAATCAACATACATATGAATATACTAGCGACTGCTTGGTACGGTTCAGTTGAAGGATGATGATGATCATCATCATGATGAGGGGAATGAGTTGGATTAAGGGTTTGTTACATTTATCTTTAAGATTATGATGAGATGATGAGAATTATCTGCTTCCGCAATTAAAAACATGATAATTCTGTTGGTAAAACAATGTTCTTGTTACCACAGTTTTAGCTTCACTGTGGTTACACTGTTTAATGAATTTGCTATTTTCATTGTTGGTAATTGTTCACATTAATTGCTCATTTCACATGGTACAATCATTTCTATCCCAATTAATTAACTCTACAATTAACTGGTTCAGGTTTAGTTGCCTGATAACCTAGTAAATGGTCAACCATAATTTACTTTGGATTTGCTTTTAAACCAAATCTCCAATTCTGGTTACTTTACTTTCTGGTAACTCAATGGGTTTCAGCTGTTTTCATGTTTTTGTCATTTTATTATTAACAATTTACTGATGATCTTTTTTTTCAACATTCACTATTAACTTGAACATTCCCATGATTATCTGAAAGTGAATTGATTTTTTTTTGCTTTCTCCTGATTTTTCTGATAGTTGGTTCTTTGATCGCTAGTTAACCAAGCTGATCAACTAATCTGGTTAAGAAGATGTTTTGTTGATTGTAAAAAAAGAGATTCAAGTCAATTTGAATTGTTGCTCTTTTCTCATGGTTAACTTTAAATTATAGTTGTTGACTGAAGTTAATTTTGAGTTGACTAGAGATTCATTAATTGCTGTTTGATAATATTTGCGATTCAATGTATTTTCAATTTAACTTGCAAGTGTTTTCAAAGCTGCTTTTAATATGAGAAGCATTTTAATCAATATGAAGCGATTTCCTCGTTTAAATTGCTTTATATTTCATCAATTTTATTGCAAATTGTAACACTTTTGGTTCCTTTAACAATAATTTTGATTATTTTTTTTGTACACAATTTTAGATTTGCAAACAATAATCACAAACCAGGTAAACATTGGGTGAATGTTTCACTTGATTCACTCTCCATTTATGTTACAATTCAAATTTACCACAAAAGATTCATTGAGTTCCTCAATTTTTATAACAAATTTTCATTATATATTTTTTTTCATACAAGAATCGGAAATGGCTTCTTGAAACTTGTTTATTACAATTCAGAATCATTATTTCATGTTGCTGTTACTCTGTGTGTGTGTCAGTTAACTGAGAATTGATCGATTGTTGTTGTGAATTTTCACAAACAATCAACAGTTTTATGATGAAAAATTGTGAATATATTGTCACAATGTATCACTGTGTTTACTTGTTAACCGGAAAAGCAGTCCTAACCTCAATCTTAATCCTTTTATTAATGAAACAATCAGAATAACAAATCACAAAATTTCCTCAAAATAATCGAGGAAAAAATACAAAACAATGAAATTATCAATTCTTAATTTTGCTTTGCTCATAAAGCCACAAAAATCAGATGGATTTCGCTACATTTCGTTGATAAGTTATTCGAAATGTGCAATTGTTAATCACTTCAACAATACAATTTGAACAAAAGTGAATCCAAATCAAAAATCAAATGTCGATTAAAAAATATGGATCAATTCTGACTGCCATCTATTAGGTTTTGTTATTACTATGCAACATAGAGATTTCAGTTAAAATGAAATGTTGATTAATAAAGGTCAAGACAAGACAAAATTTAAGCGTCGTTACAATTTATTTCTTGTTCAGTTTAATTTTAATTGTAAATTTTAATTCGTGATTAAATTTTGAACTGGTCTATTACGGTCAAATGTCATTGGACTACAATCAATCGGTAATTTAATTTTTCTCATTCCATACTCTACCCTTTCTTAACCAATGGCTATTTGTTTTTAACCCATTTACCCATTAATTTTATTTTTCATTTTAAAACAAATTTTCTTCTTATTTCATGATCTTTCATTTTCTTGCTATTCCAGATGAAGTATTAATGGATGAACATCAAATAAAGGAATAATTTGTGAAAATTTACTTTCATCAGACGATTTAGCCAATAATCATACTTTTCTCGACTGACTTTGTCTCGGGCAACTTTCACCAAACGATAGCTTCTTTGCAGTGATATCCAGTATCTAGTGAAACTAACAACCAGTCAAATACACGGCTAATTGCAAGCTAAATTATGATTCCCAGAGGATAAATTTAGTTGATAGCAGGTAAGAGTCACGAATCAATGTTAATAGTAAACAAGGAAAGTGTATAAAAAAGAAACGAGAAACCATTTTATTTACAAAAAAATATGTTTCCTCTATTACAGATATATTTCTCTGGTTATTTTGGGTATAATTTATTCGCAGTTGAAAGCATTTTGCCTAAGGATGTCACATTGAGTATCAAATTTTCGATAATAATAGTCAACAACAGCAACCAAATCAACAGACTCAATCATTAAATTTAATGAAGATGCAGTCATTTCTTGCACTGGTGTGATGGCTTTTGACGCCGTTTAATCAAATGTAAGTGTACAAGTCCTGGTTACATACATACCTATTTAGATCTATTTGAGGTTTCTAAATTGTCAGACAATTAACTATGATTGTCAGTGTATTATTCCTTCATGTTTATATCATATTATTGTTCCTCTCTTTTTAAATTTCTCATCAAAATAGGGTTATTATTGCAATCTTACATTTAAATGTATTTTGATTATCTCGCCACTTCTTCTGTTACCACACACACACACAAACACACTCAGACTATTACAATCAAAAGACGCCAATAATTTGATACTGATAATATTTCTTTCTATTTTTCTGAAAGGTTGGAATAGCAGTGAAGATGGACAACAAGGCTAGCGAAAATGAAATGATGGTAAGAAAAGAATTTTCAATTTGTTCCAATTTTATTTAAATTGAAATGAAGCCAATTTTACTACAACGAGATCGCAAATTACCTTGTCTTGCTTGACCAAGTCAAGGCGCCAAGTTAGCCTACACAGTTTCCTTTAGATTTCAATTTTTATCCTCTTTCAACTGAATGTATATTTATGTATTATATTTATTATTCATTGATGATGTTGATTCTGCTCAATTTTCATCATAATAAATTAGTTATTTAGGCCAAGCGGTCATTTTGATGAACAAATAGTTTTATGTTGAAATAATTTTTTTCCTTCCTTTAATTTTATTTCCAGCTATACATCAATAGATACACATTTTTGGCTGGACCTGTTGTTTACCGTATCATGGGGCTCATACAAAATTTGGTGTAAATTCAGCGATTCATCTACATAAAAGATTAGCTGTCAGATTTGGCGAAGCGTGTAAATTAATGTATCAATCTTGGGTCAATTTTTCAAGGAATACATAAAGTCCATTCTGTCTTGATGATTACACAGTTTCACTTGAAAAGTGCAGGCCAATTGTATTGAGCCAGCCTCACAGTTATTCATATTGATGTGAAGCAAAAAGTTGATCACGTTAACGGTGCTTATGAATTGAGAGTTTGATGAAGTTAATGTGAAAAGCAAAGTGATTGTTGTTGAACAAGTCAACCTGAACATTGGTTGGATAAAGAAATCGGTAAAAATCATTGCTGAATAAGTAAATAGGGAAAGAATGAGAAGAAGAGAGAAAAAAAAATAGAAGATGAAAGATGAAGAAAAGTGTTCAACTTTCTGGTAAATGCTGTGACGGGAAAACAACTGGTCGGAAGGTATGGAAAAGGTGTCCAGGAAGATGTTTATGGTTGGATGATGGTTTCTAGACTAGTGTTGACTCCAATCGATACAGGCCAATAATACACGAAAAAATGTTTCCAATTTTTCTCATAAAAAATTTTCCTCTCTCTTTCAAATGCTTTCCTTTTTTCTTCCTCTTCCGTTAAATACCTTTCTGTCTTCTCCTTTCTCTACTTTGTTTTTTTTCTCGCAGCTCATCAACAGTCCTCATGCCATTCCAACAAAATCAGTATTGTTAAACAATTCCCATCCATTGAAGAAACGGTATCATCATCTTGAACATTGAACGCAAAAAAAGGAGCCAACTGTTACCTTGCCGGTTATAACCACTCAAGTGATTCTCAACTAATGGCCAAGTTGCAAGTTTATATCCAATAAACTTCAGGAATTGATTTTTTTTTGTTTTCCAAGGTTAATTATTGGTTAAATGATTAGCTTGACAGAAAAGCTTTTCAGTTTGAATATCATTTACTGCCTGTTTAATTGCAGGTAAATATGGATCCTGTTAATTTGCTGAAAATAATCCAATTTCCGTATTTATGATCACTTTCAAATTCAAAATGATATTCTTGGGTTTCATCTCTGGTATCACCTTCACTTGACTGCTTTCATCCTTAGACGCAATCAACCCAAACAATCAACCAAGTTGACTGATCTTATGCAAGCTGTTACATTTGAAACGTCCATCGTTGCTGCCCTTTCAACCATAAAACTGGTAAAAATGTTTCAACATCGACTTTTTCCGTTGAGGTCAGCTTTCCTTATCAGATCCTTCGTTAACCAGATTAGGATGGATTAATTAGGCCTCTCTTTGACAGCGAGCACACCAAAAACGCTCTTCTCATAAATACATCAACAATTCGCCGGCAGAATTTAGATTCCAATCGAATTATTTGCACCTGACAAATTGATTTACTGCAATGAAATTTAATCCGGTTACCATTTACACCGTCTTTAAATATCATTTACAAATCTTGTCTTTTTTCGTCGTCTTTCAACAATCCGAGCAATACTTGAATGAATGTGTTACTCGATGTCAATTCAATGATACAACAATTTAACAGTTGAGGTCAGTTTCTTGATTTATTGGAGACTCAATTTAATCCTTTGAATTGAAAAACAAAATGTGACACTTGTTAACTCTTTTATATGAACAAAACTGTTAATTGACTTAATTTCTTTTTCCAGGTACCACTTGTTTAATTGATAATTATCTTTCACTTACAAAGGACGCAAATAAATCAAATTGGTACTTCATCATGGTTTGGTTGGTAAATTGATTCATGAAGCCAGAAGCTAAAACAAGACGATATCAGGATACAGAGCGCGTTGAACGAGTATTAATAGCCTTTTAAAGGTTAACTCAAATGATAACCTTTTACTGATAGGTTTGATATTTATATACATCTAATATTTACTGGTCACTTTTGCCTTTCTATTATTATCTGATCAATAGTCGACCAAGCTTTATTGTTTAGACCAATTACCTTAACAAATTAACTCTTTCCTTTCCTTGATTTACTTTACAGGGCTTACATGAAGACTAAAGAGTTGAGTTGCTCATCACGAACCGTCAAGAATCAACAAGAATCACAATAATGGTAATAATAGTAATGGTTAGTTTTAAACCAATTCATTGAGTTTAACTAATCACGAAGTGAATCTTGATCACAATCAAATATCTATGGTTAACAGTTATACCAATAAAACATGAAAACAACCCTTACTTTCCTTGTTTATCATTGACCATAACTATCATTATTTGGGTATTATTTCTGGTAATGTTTAACCAGCTTCTGTAATTCCGGAAGGAATGATATATAATTTACTAAATCATGATAATATTGATCATTAAGATCAACATGATTTAGCAAAGGACAATCAATTCAAGATCATATACTTTGGGTTTCATGCAATTTATAGCTCATATCAACAGGTATTTTTGTGGTTAAAAATACATTTTCATTGCTACCGTTATGATTTTATTCAGTTGATCTTCCTGGTTCGTAATGTTCAATACCAGAGTTGAATCAACTCTGAAATAACTTCTAATAGCAATTTCAATGTATCGTTGTGTTAACACCAATAGTTGGCAATTTAGATTAGTTAAACATCATACAATTCACATTGTGTTTGAGGTAAACTCGCATTTGATTGTTTTCAATAACAAAATAAACACAATGAAAGATTTGTTAACACTTTATCACTTCAATTGAATGATTAGTTTAATTTATTCAATAGATTGTTGTTTTGACTATTTATCACGAAATTGATCTTCAATCGCAATCGATAACTCGCTGATGTTATCATTACTTATAAACCCAATTCAGGTCAATCAGTCAAGTAGTGATTAGAATCATTATTCAACCAAAAATCAGAGGAAATTTCAATTTCTCCAAGTTGACCAGTTTTTCACAATACAAATAATGCATATAAATGTATTATTAGATGATGGATTGCTATTAATTGTTGTAATTAATCAACTTTACCCTTGAAAATTGAAACAAAAATTGACTTAACCTTCATCTGAACCTACGGACGACTTACAAATAATATTCAAAATATCATTAAATTACAATCAATGAAAAAATGACAACCTCCAACAATCAGCATATTTAAATAAGGAATTGGGTGGAAATAAATTGTCATAAATTGCAAGCTTAAATCAACTCGAAAAAGGTTTTAAATTAAAGAAAAAAATCCCAAGATTGAGGTCAAATTAAGAAACGTAAATATTATTCAATTGTATAATATAAATTGTAACCAAATTTGGTAATTAAGAAACCATTGGAACTTAAATTTCTATTTCTTAACCTTCCTATTATAAGTCAAGGAATGCAATCAATTCACTAACCGTAGGCGTTGATTAAAGTATCACTTTTAATGAATAAATCAAGCTCGGAATCAAAGTGAAATCCAACAAATTGGCTAAATTAATAATCAACTGATTTATATACTAAAAGATGACCAACATTGTTACAATAATTAAGCTTCTATTAATAAATTGTTGATTCAATGATAAAAGCCTCACCTTTAGATTGGCGCTGATATCAATGTCTCAATGATTGAAATCAAATCTCAACAATTTAACATTAAACAAAAGATTTAATTAACTTGAAAAAGCTCATTTTGTTGTCTGCTTTTCACCTTTTATCATAAACTGATCTCGACAATTGAATAGTTCAATAACCCAAATAACCAGAAAATTGTGATTTTTGTAAATCTTTTACCATTGCTTGTTGAGACTGTAATTCCTAGACTCACCAAGGATAAATCGGAACATTTAATTATCCTGATTTGTCTGATGATATGTTGCCAATACATTTGATTATCAACTTGAAGGTTAACAATTCTGTAAGCTTTTTTGTTTGATTGTGATTTTTGTAGCAAACTAATGGTCAGGTTTAGATTGAACAATTGAGAAGGCTTAGGGAACACCTAACATTATCATTTATGATTAACAATAAATTAACCAACGATTTCCAAGGATATTCGTGATTCGTGAAATGTTCAACAGAAAAGTGAATTCAAATGGAAATCATGAACACAATCTCGATAACTGTTAACTTGACCCAACCAGCCTTTTCCTTAAATTGCAGTTAAATCACCTGTTTGTTTGTTCACATTAAATGGCTTTCCAGTAAATCTCGGGTCAGTCATTAAAGAAATCAATTTAAACAATTAATAACTATTTTACAACTAAAAGCCAATCAAAAATGGCTGATGATTACAATTAACTGTAAATAATATCAACAATTTAAACACAAGACAAAATATCGCTCATGATTAACTCAATTGTTGAAGAGTAACAAAACTAATTACTTTTCAATCATTTTTCTTGTTCCTTTATTAATTGATTTTTGTAATTTTTAACAAATTGTCTTGAAATAGATGAAAACAATCAATGAGTGATCCTGGAAACCTGAATTTTGATACATTTTTTTGCTGGTTCCAATGAGACAATGAAATGTATCTTGGAAGCGTTTTCTGGTTCCTTATGATGAAAACAATGGATTTTTGATTTATCCCAATTACTCTGATTTAAACTTGAAAATTAGTTGACATTTAATGAAGAGCTTCCGGACTATTTGTCATTATTACATGAGGAATCAATGACAATTGAACAATTATAACCTAAAATCTGGTGAACATGAAAAGCTATCATCTTTAACTAAAGACAATTGATAATTGTGATCTTTTGAGCCAATAAAATGGCCAATCCTTTAAAGTGTTTTTTTACATTCAAATTACAAGTAAACAAAAAATACGTTCAAATGTGTACATTTCTGTAAAGGTCAAACTGTAATGGATATTTGTTAAAAAGGTCAAAACGGTTTGAAATGTAACTAAGTTATCAGCATTTAAAACAATTTATCCGATTGACTGTTGATTTGATTGAAATGGTTAAAAGGAGAGTACAAATTGACTCTAAAATGTATGAATTTGTAAATAGCTACTGATTGTTGTAGGTAGCCAATGGCCAGTTAATTGTAATAACAAAATTAATCGATTAACTAAAGCCTACCATGACCAAAAGGATTACTGAATCACAGAATAGTAAAGAACATGTTATTTTTGCTGAAAAAAACATTAAACTTGAAATTTACGGCAGAAAGCTAATGTTTAAGGTTAAAACGCATATTCAAGTAAATAGCCTTTTAAAGGTTAACCCAAATGATAACCTTTTGCGGACCTTTTTGATATCTATATATATCTGATATTTCTGGTCACTTTTGCCCTTCCATTATTAAACGATCAACAGTCAACTGAACTTTATTGTTTAGACCAATTTACTTTACAAATTAACTCTTTCCTTGACTTGATTTACTTTACAGGGTTTACCGGAGTTAAATTGTTCATCACGAACCGTCAAGAATCAACAAGAATCACAATAATGGTAATAATAGTAATGGTTAGTTTTAAACCAATTCATTGAGTTTAACTAATCACGAAGTGAATCTTGATCACAATCAAATATCTATGGTAAACAGTTATACCAATAAAACATGAAAACAACCCTTACTTTCCTTGTTTATCATTGACCATAACTATCATTATTTGGGTATTATTTCTGGTAATGTTTAACCAGCTTCTGTAATTCCGGAAGGAATGATATATAATTTACTAAATCATGATCGCCTTCATGAAGGTTTCATGACAATTGGCTATCTTTACAATCCAATGTTATTTATTCAATTCAATGAATACCAGAAATAACCAGAAATCTATCGCTAGGCTTTGGACGATTTTAAAATTTTTTGGGTTGATATTATGATTTACATTTTACTCGGTGATTGTATTGTCAACAATTACATTCAATTTGTGATTTACTTTTGCTTGTTCAGAATCCGAGAGAATGGAAAATACTTAACCTAATGTAAGATAATCATGAAAAGGTCAATTTGAAGTCATTTTGAAGCTAACTTTTGAGCAGCAAAATGAAATTATAACAATTAGCAAAGATTACAGAGAATCGTCGTCTTATAATTTCATGTAATCGTCAAGAAAATAGATATTTCATGACAAGTGAGATCATTAGGTAAACAATATAACTCATCTTGAGAAGATTTTATTATCAATTTGACGTAAACTGTAGACGTAATTTCTTGTAATATTGATGGACATTTCATGACACAGATTATCATAGTCTTTGATCATTCTGGAAAGCATTAAAAAACAACAAACTTTCACTCATTTCAAGTTATGCTTGTATTTGTTGAAAATTACCTTTGAAGATATTTTTTATTCTTCTGATTATTTCAAGAATTAAAAGCAAAAATAACATGGAAACTGTCAGGATAATTATATGGAATAAAGAACATTATATCAGTTGATTATTTACCATGAACCATGACTATGAGTTTTCTTTAGACAATCAGTGGAAGAAAGTTTTTCATGGCTAACACGATCTTACATTATTGACCCTGATAAAGGCACTTGTAGAGACACATCAATTTAATTTCAAGAAATTAATTACTTTCATAGCTTTGACAGCAATTAGTAACTGTGCAAGTCCACTTGTAATTTAATGATCAACAATTGTAGGTAGCAATAAATAAATGTTTCAATGTAAAAATCTTACCTGAAAACGACTGAAGTCGTAAAGATGAAAAAAGATGAAAAATTATTGTCAAACTGAAATATCCAAATGTGTCAATGTAAAAACACAATATACACTAATGAGTCAAAAATGTCACCAAATAGTGCACATTAAAATCCAAGCAGTTAATTGCAATGGTTAAATAAATAATGGCCCAAACAGTAATGAACAAGGATTGTTGGACGATGATAAAAACACAGATATATCCATTGTTTACCGGTCACTTAAATTAATCATTAATGGAAAGATGGAACAATGAATTGTAAAATGTTGCACATTGAGATAAAGAAAAACCTTCGCTTTATCAATGGCACCAAAAAATGAACAAACCAAGAGGTAGGTAAGTAGGTAGGGTTGAACTTGATTGTTGATTTACTGTTTACCTGTTGTTGTATGGTTATTGCTTGATGTTGCTTGTTGTTTATAGTTGATAATACGCTTGTAAGGTGAATGTTGTCTGTTGATGTTGATGTTGTTACTGTTACACTCTACAGACTACTGAACACATTCGCCACTTACCTGTTCAAACCTGAAGCTCAGCTCACTCAGGAAAGAAGCAAAAAAATCCTCCTTTAAAATCAAATAGAGAAAGAAGCTAAAGAAAGCAAAGAAGTCAAAAAAAGAAGAAGAATAAAAAGAGAATAAAAAAGAAAGAAAAGCTTTTTCTCTTTCTTTGCATCGTTTACTTTCTCTTTCTATTTTTTTGTCGTTAAACCAAATCTAACCCGATGTCTCATCTCACAGTTTTTGTTAGATAAGACATTTTCGCACTTTGAACCATTCTCTGTCCTTAACTGTCTCCCTTTGTTACATCGACCTCACATGGGAACCTAAACCATCTTTTTACCTTTAACCTCTATTTTGGCATCTTTAATTTGCTTTTTTTGGCAATAACTTGCTTCTTTAGTGTATTTTTTTTCTAGTTACTTTGCATCAATTGAAATGTCAACCTTTACCTTTTTCCAGTGACTGTACTTTGAGTTTCTTATGCTGTTTTTTTGTCAATAAGATGAAGTGAAATGTTTCTCTTACAAAGACAACTAACCAAACAGATTGCCATCAAAATCACCAAAATTCATTGTCCATTTTTAATCACCATTTAGCTGTTTCTTTCTTCATCTTCCTCTTCACCAATCTGTATCTCCAATCATCTCAATAAATTGAAAATATTATTTCAAAGTCAATTGAGTATCAAATTGCGGTTCAACATTTCAATGTGTTTGTCATGGCAAGCTTTTGCTTGATTAACTTTTGTTCATTACTTGAAAAGACAAGGTAAGATTAGAAAACATGATTATTGTAAATTGTTTCTAAATCACCATCATCGTTAGTCTAATTAACGAAAGTTATTGTGTCTTCTTCGTTTAGATTCACTTCAATGAACTTGCATTTTTTTCTTCTTCTATTGATGGAGATTATTGGATAACATTATATTGGTTCCATTGAAAGCCATTTAAATCAGCTACTATCAAGTCAACAATAGATGAACAACAGTCAATATTTAGATTGACCAATATTGAAATGAATTCTGATTATTTTCTCTAATCAAGTGTACATTGGAAAGGCATTTTGATGATCATTCTGTAAGGATAACAATCGACTAACCCATATTTAACTGGAACCAAGTTAATATTCCTAAATCATCAATCTCTATTTAACATGAATTTCTCATAGGAATGTGTGTTGTAAAACTATCATCTATTGAAATATCTGGTCCTGATATTAATTCAATGCTGCCTTTGAAGGTCAAGAAGTTTGAATACAATCACCTTGAATACTTGCAATAAATATCAGTTTAGATTAACATGGAATCAATCTAAGCCCTAATAATTCAGGGTTATTATTAAAATATCAATTCTAATAACAATGATAATAATAATCTGGTAACACGCAATGTTTTGTTTCGTTCAAAGCAAAACAAAATGTTGATCATCAAAAAATCTATCCAATTTTAAATGAACCCAAAAGGATATTATTAATCATGTTTCACTTTATATTACAGACACAATCAACCAAAATTGATAATCTCGTGAGATCAACTTGAACCTCAATTCAATGGATAGGATTAATGGTGATGGTAAAGAAGCCAAGTTGTTAACAATTGACACAAAGCACAATCGGAACATTTAATTTCATGTAAATATATTTTATATTGTCCACAATTTAACTGTCTTCTAATCAAAGAGTTCCCATATTTTATGAGGCCCACTACAAATAGACTTGTTAACAATTAACCGTTTCTTATCAACAACAACCGACAACCCTTAAAGCAATATACATGAGTCTTGAGAAAAGGTTCATTGTTTCAGGTTAATTGCCAAAAGTAAACCCGCCTGTAAGATATGTCTCAACCTGGGTCAAAAGATGAATATTGTCAGGTTAATTTAGATGGTTGTATCAAAGTGTAAGTAAACCACTAACCAAATTAAGACTCAATCCTTGAACCGATTCACAGAGTCTTCAATGGCAAGATAATTGAAATTGAAGCTTCATAGTCTTACGTCTTTATTGACTGTCTTAGTCCAAAAAATTTCAAAGACTTTCACTGAATCGTGAAGAGACACAAAAAAACAGGTAAAAATTGACAACGAATTGAGGTTTGTAAAAAGTTACACTGTAAAAGGAACAAAAGAAGAGAAAAAAATTGTTAAATGATGAAAATTTGCAAGAAATTGACACCATTTTCAAGTGAAATATCGCTTTTTTGCTTTCCTTTCCTCTGTATATTCAATTCGTTCACTTTCAGCAATCATTGTCAGCTCAGAGTTGAAAATAGATTTCATTTATTTCAATGTCTGCAGCTTTGAGTCTTGTATGGACATGAGAAGTTAAGAAAATGTAACTTTCTATTTGAACTGGTTAGATCATTTGTTTGTCTGTCTATTGTTTAGTAATTGCTAATCACAATTCATCAGTTAACATAAGAGTTCACACTTGAATCACTTTTTCTAGTGAAAAGATACTTTTTGTTCTTGCTGTAGACGTTAGAAAGTGTGAAAAGAATATAAAACGAAGATAAGATAAAGGAATTGTATTGGCTGAAAAAAGGATTAGATGAAAATGAGTCTTGTTTTTGACACTAAAAATGGCACCGTTGAAAATGGCGTCGATGAGAGAAGAAATGAAAAGCTGTTGATTGGGAAAAGGATAAAAAGCGCCAAAACAACGATCACTGTTGATTTCATGTTTTTTTGTCTACTTTATTTATCTTCTATCACATTAATGGTTCATCGCTCATTCACTTTCATCACCTTTAACTGAGCTTCTTCAATTCATTAACATCATGTTTGGATCACAGTTTGTTTTTTTGATCCTTCTGTTGTCTTCTTTTGGTGCTTTTCAATCTGTTTTACTTGTGTGTTTTGTGACTAAAAACAAAAGGTTAACATCTTTTTGGATTCACCTTCTATTGCGAGCATTTATTGATCATCTTCATCTTTACTGTAAGTGTTTGTTGCCAACAAAATGAAGCTTGTTTGTTTTGATCTTCGGGGTTAACATGTCTTGTGAAACTGAAAATTTTGTGGTAAATCTGGAGTCGCATCAGATTTTAGTTGTAAATCAATGAACAAATTGAATGGTTCATTGGAATTGCTGGATAACCCTGACTTGATAAACACTGTCTTCTATTGACCTCTGTTTAACAGATCTACAGATCTTCTTCAAAATATTGACTTAACCCTTAACATTTAGCTTACCAAAAGCAACCAGCCCAAACGATTATTGGATTTTCTCATAAATTACCGATTCAAGTTCAATAATCCATGGTCTACCGTCTATCTTTCAGATGATTGTTCGAGTCAAGATGGCTTTTACAATGAAACTTACCTTGTTAGGTAATCTTTATCCTACTGTATAACAGTATATCGTGACTGTGCTGTGATAACCCCATTAATCCACCAATTATACACTTATCCAAAAGTCTTACACTATTTAGAGATTATCGGGATTATAATGTGAAATAATCCCATTATCTGTATTTGTTTAGATCTATCTGATTTTATTTGAAAAGTTTGGTGTAAACATGAAGCTTAGATCTGATTAAAACAGGGTAGACTTTTATTGATTCATTTTGATTTACCTTTTCATTGCCAATTTATTATTCAAATGAGTTTTTTTACCTTGCTATGAAATAGGCGGTCAATTTGAAACGATATCTTGATAAACTTTTTCCAAAATACTTCCGTATCATTTACGCATAAATATCAATTAATGTGTAAGATTATCACTGATGAACTTTAATTCTGTTGGATCAAATTGATTTAAAGTTCATGTTTGAGTTAAAGTTGGACAGTTTTGCTGGAAACTTGTGAAGATGACCCAAGAGATGAGAGAAACAGTTAACATATAATTAGCCATTTTAATCTGACGAGAATAAACTTGTGTTTCTTTTAATTGCGATTACGGAATACAACCTTTCTTTTTTTCTGTGCTCAATTAATAGGGAATACAAGAAAGCCCCTGAGGGTGAAGGAAGGGTGGAAATGGTTTAATTTGTCATTAGCAGTGTCATCCAAGGTGTTCGGAATAATGTTTGTTTTTGTGAATGAGAAGATGAAATAATTTCTCTTGGTCAGAATTATGATCAATGTTTTATTGCTCTTGAAGAGTTATTCAAGATGAGCAAAAATATTGTTGAAACATTTGCCATCCTTGTAAGTTAAATATCATACTAATCATTTTAACAATCATCCAATTAATACAGATTCAGTGGCAAATTTACAAACAATGGTCTTCAATTGGTCTCCCTCCATTTCAAGTGATGGATGATGTCGGATGAAAAGTGTATTGAAGAAGCTTCCAGTTGATACCTGCCAATGGATAAAAGGATAACAAAAAAAGTATCTGATTAACCAATTATCGGAAATATAAATGGACCTAACCAACATGGAATAATAACTGTCTCTTTCAATGGACTTTTACTCTACTCAAGCTATTGGTTGCTTTTTGTGTGCACATTGTGAACCGGTTATAAGTCATGATTCAAAGTCAATCCATTGAACAATATAATTAACAATATAACGGTTTTATTTAATTGGATGATGGTTCAACTGGTGAATGGATCAGAAGTTAATATATCCTGAGAGGAAATTTAATTCGTGTTGGAATCTCAATTGGAAACAATTAATGGTTCAAAATGTCGCTAAATAAAGATTTAACCATGACTTGCCAATATGGACTTGAAGCCATGATCAGCCATTATCTTACTTCTCCTCTTCGTCTGATCATCTTTTTGCCTCTTGTTTCTCAACAATAAATTATACTGCGTTTTAAGGCCAATCGATTTAGAGCCCATCAATCCATCTGATCAACCATTAATCTGCCAAATTATCTATCAAATTAGTCCATTAAAGTTAGGCCAGTTGAAGAAGGTCGCTAGGCTATAAGAGTTATCTTCATCTTGATCATCATCCTTTTACAAGGTTTTTGTTTTGTTTCAACTCAAGGAAGGAAAATAATACGGAGAAGAGCAAAATATGATGATTGTGATGATAAAGAAAGAAATGAAAATGGTGAATCAGGTGAAAAAATATATTGAGATAGAAAGGTCAGTTTCCTTAAAAAATTTTACCTGTTGCATGTTAGCATTGATCACAACTTGATCACTGGTTTAACCAACTCTATTATCAACTTTATCAGGCTAAGATATTACCGGTTAACCCCGAGAAATGGATTGAGATGGCAAAAAAAGGTGTTGAAGCAGTAAACGAGGCAAAAGAAGAGCAGATTAATCAAAATTGATGAGTAACCTTAATGATTGCTGTTAGTTAATAAAATCAAATGGTTTGGCTTGGAATCGATGGTGATTAGAATAGTCAACAAGATCATTAAAAGTAAAGGTCTATGGATCAGTTGGATTGCTAATAATCATAAGAGGTAAGTAAATTAAGAAAGTTATCAACACTCAAGATTAACCCTTGCAAAGAGCATTTAACTCTGCAAGTGGAAAAAAAGACATTAAGTTAGATGATGAACACTTTTAACAATGTAAACAAAATTTAAACAACACTGACTTCTGAATCTTTATTTTTTTGCAGATCATTTACTGATCCATGAGAAGAGAAACATTGAATTAACATGGGAACCAGAAAAATAATCAAAATGGCTTAATAAAAGGATTACATACTGCTAATGAGGTCATCATTAGGACGATGAACGAACTTTAAAAGTAACATCATTAACACTAAGTTGAAGTCCAATTGGTCGAGCAATTGACCTTTTCAAAGCTTAACTTTCCACCATTCACCATTAACATTATCACCAAGCAAATAAATAATAAAAAGGTAAACATCAAATTGCTTTTTCTTGTTATTTGTTGCGTTACTTTGAACTATTTTTTTGCACCTTCCATCATTATCATCAACATGATCATCATAGTTTCACTTATTTTTTTGTCTTCATTATTACCAGAGTACAATGGTAAAAACTAGTGGATTAAACAATCAAGGTGCAGTTACGCATGAAGGGACGATAAACATGATTGCAAGTAGCAAACGACAAGATGATTAATTAACCCTGTTGTTAACAAAATCATCATTGACGGGGTTGATCTTGAATCTATCTTGAATGTTTTCATAACCTAAAGAAAGATAAGTGAATATTTTTCTGGTGTAACTTTGAATGACAATTAACTTAAACTTGTCAACCTTGTTTGATACAAGTAAAAACAAAACAACAACAATCAAAAATAATTGTTTTGTTTGTCTTTCTTTTTCTAGCTCAACACTGGTAACTGGAATGATAAACGCTGGTAGTTATGAGCATTCAGTAGCAGAAGAAGGTTAAACAATTTGAAGATGATGATAATACAATGGATAAGACAATTGTTTTCCAGATGAGCAACTATTCACATTATGTGCGTTATTTTATGTGAAAATTATATGGATTCCTGTTATAGAAGTACTTGAAACACATTGACTTGGATTGACTTTGAAAACTGGAAGCTACATCTGATACAATCAATGGTAACAATAAAATGGAATCATCGACTCAAAGAAACCAAGTTAATTGGTTAGATGTGTGTCATTTGACGAAAAATTGATATCTTACCACGTGTTTGGTTCCACATGAGTTGTGTGGAACTCTTAGAACGTAAACACGTCTTCCATCACCACGTATCCGACAAGACGTATTATTATCTCCTGACTGGACAACACCTCTGAAGGGTTGAGTGAAATTAAGATTGACCAAAATCTCTTCAGGTTCACAGGATAAAGTAACTAAAAAAGGAGACAACAAATAAGGAAAAGATTAATTAATACAAACTGTTGTAATGTGATCAAGACATCAAAGATAATCAATTTTGTTTCAATTGAACACTTGACAAGTTTACATCTTTAAAAAATCGCCTGTTCAGCCTTTGATTGAATAATTTCATCATGTATCAGTGAAACTGATGGAAACTCATGAAAAATCCATAAAACGATTAACCAATCCAACTCGCTTAAATTTGCTAACTAACTACCTGGATGATTGAAATTGTGGTTTAATAAGTAAACATACGAAACAAGGTTTAACCCACACATGGTTGCAAAAGTTAATTTGCTAATTTTCAATTCAAATTGCTGCTAATGATTAGTCTTCTGATTATTTTGAATGAATCAACTGTGAAACCGGTTATTTAAACAAACGTAAAATGAGCCGGTGGTCGGCATTCTGGTCAAATGATTTACATTGGTTAAATTGTGATCGTGGAAATGGTTTAATCTGATGTCTGATGGTTTCAAGTATCATCCATGAATCAGTTTTAATTGTACCAAGCTCTCATAATGAGCATTGCATGTTATCCTACCGTTAACATTAATTGTCAACGATTCTAGTTGCGCTTAAAAATGGAATATGAAGGAGAAGGAAAACAATTAACACAAATATAACTGTTATTTCACATTACAATTTGACCACAAAGCAAAGGATCTTTTAAAGGAATGAACAATTAAAATCGAGCTAATACTTCGTTCCGTTTAACGTGACTTGAATTAGAAATTTCGTTTCTAATGATTCTACTGACAATGATAATCTCAATGAAACAGACGATGGTTCTGGTTATAACGAGATGAGATTTTGATCAACATTTGGTCAACTTGAATGAACAAAACGCATGAATAAAACACATTTTTTACACTCTTATTCATCTAAATAGTTTAGTGTTTTGTATTTTAAATAAAATACATTAAGTTAAGGTCAGTAAGGTAACAAGAGGATGATAAAATTAATATTAGAAGAAAAAAAATATCCTGGACTGAGAGAAGAATGGTGAAAGATTAAGGGATGAAATGAAATGCTGAGATGAATTATGTTGATGAATAACAAGCAAATGATGAAGTTGACAGCCAATTGAAGTGAATCCTTTTTTAACAGGTAAAACCATGAAAAACCATTTCCCTTTTGATAGAGACTTTAAGAGGCAAGAAATTAAAGTTGACCATCAAGACACGGATAACTGTTTTAAAAGAATGCAATAGTAGCAACAACAATTTACAGTTAATTCAAATGGTCATCATTATCATCTGGAATATGATGAACATAAGGTCATTTATATTTCTCTTCCTCTTCATTTTTGGTCTCTTACAGGTTTCTTTCCTTACCTAATAATGTATAACAATAAACGTTTATCACACAATGAGAAGGCCCACTAAATTAAAATATACATTGTAAATCATTTCGTGATTTTCATCTTTCTTGGCTGGCCACCAGCTCTGAGATGACCAGCTTTAGATGTTGCTTTATATTAAAACCATCAATTGTTGCAAGTAAAAACTGATTAACATTTGACAGAGAAACGATGTTGATACAATATGATTGTTGGCTGGGTAAAGATTAACCAAAAATCGGGTAAAAATTTTAATCATTTCCGTATTTTTTTGATTCACCATTTACTTTGCCTTTCCAATCTTGCTACACTTTAGTAGCTTGACAATGAAGTTGATTTTGGTGAAGTGATCATCACAATCAATAACCAATTTACCTTGCTTCACGATTGTAATTTTCGTGTAATATAATGTATTACAAAATGATTCAACTGATAGGATTAATTCAACAGAGAAACAGGGAAGATCCATTAACAATAACTAAATGGAATCAAATTTTTCTCATTCTTATAAATAAGTTGCATTAAACCTTTGCATTCAATGAATGAGAAAAAAAACTTGATTGTGTAGTTTATTTTAAATGATTTAACACATTTTCGTTGATTTAATATTTACTCATTGTACCTGACACTGGTTAACTCAATTGTAAATATTTACTTGATTGTAAGTCATTCAGTTGGCGCTCATTTTGCATCCTTGAATTGATTAGGTTATACAATCAATTTGATGGATTATTGTTGAGATTTAGGCTTATTTACTTTATGTAAAGTGTTATAATCGGTCTCCAACTAAATGTGTTTAATCAATTATCAGCTAATATTGAAAAAAAATCTTGACTCAATCCTGGTCTCAACTTATAACTTTGTATTTATTTTTGAATGGCATGAATAGAATCCAATTGTGCTGATTAATGTTTTCAATTAAGGTAGTTCATAACTCTTTTTTGGATCACCATTAACCATCTAAATTGCTTTCTCTTCAAAGAAAAAAACCAAATCCAAAAACGATTTCTTTTCATTGTTTTGCGGTTTCAGATTCATTGTATTACATTTTCAGTTGAATTCACCATCAGGTCAGCAAATTTATTCACTTGTCTCATCAAAATGATGCTCATCCTTCTATTTCACTTTGTTTCCTAGTTACCTGTTTTATATGCTAATCAGATGAAATAATAAATAAATAAATTAATAAATGTTATAGGGTGCAACGTAAAATCAAAAGAAGGATACTTTTTGTTTGAAGAGTGTTGCTCAAATTTCCGGTTTCATGATGGCCTAAACGATGGTTCACCGAATAACCCAAACAATTCTGGTTGAAAACATTTAAATAATTGCAAATGGGTTCAATAATTCAACCAAAAAAAACGATTAAATCTCATTGCAAACCATTTGAATGGATAAAGATAAAGTTGAATGGAAAGAGCTGGACCCAAAATAAAAACCAAGTGTACAAAAGACCAAACAGTTCACAGAAATATCTAAAAGGTTAATAGGAATAATTCAATCTCCAAAGACTTGGATAATCCACAGAATTGTCAAGTTAAACATCTTCAAAATTAACAAAAAACAGGTTAAATAATATTAATAATAATTACTAAAATAACTTATTTACTAACAAATGTAAATGTTACTGATTCGTAAGAGTTGAAAGTACAGTGTGTGTTGGTGTTACAGCGCCCTCTATTGCCTTCTTAATATACTTTTAGGCTTTTACTTTTATTGTGAATTTATTTCAATCATGATTGAATAATGATGATTGATAGAGAGATAATCATGTATCGAAGCTATGATTTTTATAAGCAAGGGGAAAATAATAAAAGGAATAATTCATGTTAATTTTAGCTGATAAAGATTTCATCTAATAAGGATTGATTTGATATATTACCGTGATAATTAGAGATTTATAAGGTTAACAAGGTCTACAAGGTTGGCATTCAATTGAATATTGATTAGTTAAAATTGTGGGGATAAGAGATTCACACAATTTAATTTTATTGTCCCACCAATAATTGTATATTAATCACAGTTAAATTGTATAATGAAACGTTAACACTGCTCAAATAAAGGTTAAATAGATTCAATGCCTCAAGATCAACTATTATAAGGTAAACATAATTTAGAGGGAAACAATCAAACACTGGGAACCTCCATTGATTCCAGTAAAATTAAACATTTATATCAGAACATTTCTTCCGATTCAGATGTAAATTCAACTTGAATACACTGAATAGCAAAATGTAAACAATTATCAAAAGTATACGTGAAATGAAAATGAATTAGCGATTCCAGAAAATTCATTAAGTAAATTATTTACTGGTAAAAATGTGAAGCTAACTACAAACACAAACCACCAGAAACACAATTTATTAGTTTATTAACCATTGTCATTTGATTACTATATTAATACATGAGGAAATGGTAAATTCAATGATGATGCTCAATTGATACTTAAAATAAAGCTCAGTTGGATAGCCATTATGACCACAATAGCAGGAGATCAGTTAAATGCCCTTCATAATCTTAGGTAATTAATAAATTGACTGATTCAGGTTAGATAATTAGCTGGATTGAAGGTGGTAAAAAATAGTCATTAGTAAACACAATCAAACTTGAACAATCTATTTTAGTGTTGAATGCTTTAGTAATAAAAGCAAATATAAGCTTCCTTAAAATAGACTTTTCCTGTAAATTGTTTCCTTGATAGGTTGAAGATTAAATTAAGTTATCCATTGTGTAGGTAAAATTTTCAAATTATGATTATAATAATTGAGTAATAACCGGAATCAAATGTATCTTTTTTTGAAACATTAACTCGTCCCAATGTTTTGGGCAGTTTTCAAGATCGGAAAATCAAACAGGCAAATTGAATGAGCGTTTTGGATTGGGAATCAGCTGAATTGATAGCCAATGTAAATGTACATTAATATCTGGATTTTGGCCCGCAAATATCAACAGGAAAGGCTTGAAACATCAATCAAAGTTCATTAGTCTTGATCGCGATTTACCCTTTGAAACTTGTTGAATAAAGACTAAATGATTAAGGCTTTTGACCCTTTGTGATAGTTGAGCTAACTGTAATTGATAGCTAAAGATGGCAGATAAAAAAAAGGATAAACAGAGAACAGATGTAAAGATTAGGGTTTTACTTACCGTTGACTTTGGAGGATATGAAATGTTTCTTGACTATTTGCTCTCCTTGAGGCTGTAAACCTGAGATTAAAGAAGATTCCTTTCCGTTAAGGTCATTATCAGCCAATTGGCTCATGTTTATTGGAAGAGATCGCCAAGATGGAGTTTGGTGACCATTTCTAGGAAGACCAGAGTTGGCAAGGAAAGTACAGTTTACCTAGGATTGATTAGAAAAAAAAGAGGAATCAGTTGACAAATAAATGTAGAAAAAAGTATTCAGCAAAATGAACATTAATCAAGGAAATGGCGAGCCCACATTGTTACTTCAACCATTAAGATTAACCAATGATCCATTCTGTTGGTCAAGCGAGAATACGGCTACTTCTAACAAATCAGATCAACAAAGTGATCCATAAAGCAGAAGTTATGTTGAATAACACAATTTTTTCACAAGTCAACACAATTTGATCGAGCGGTTGAATTGAAAATTATATTTATGTCTGGTTAACCTCAAATTATGACGAACCTAGATTTTACATATTTGGGTATTGGGTTCACTCTTTGGGTCTAGTTATACGGACACGAGACTTAAATCAGCATCCAATTGACGATCTTTTTGAATTTAATATCAATCACTGGGATAATAACACCGAGAATAACTCAACAGAGAAAGATATTAAAGCTAATCCTGGAGTGGATTGCTGGTCAATTTATTTGTCTACTTATTTGAAATTGGTTAAAAATAATTTAAAAAGAAGTTTCATTTTTATGAAATGATTAGTTAAAATTAACATATGATTGTCTTTTTCGCGGTTGGTTCAAATTGTGTGTTAACGCTCCTCCTCGTATCCGTATACATGTAACTAAAGTTCAGACTTTTACCCAAAAGCTAGTCCCACGACATGACAATTTGAGAGGGTCTACTGTATTAGATAAGCTCATCTATTTTCTGGTTATTTTTGAAGATGGGTTAACATTATCAATAGCTATTGATTTGGATAATGCATGTCAGCGGTTAAATTTAAAATTGCAGTAACCAGAAAATTGTGAATCTTTGTCAGAATCTTTGTATTCTTGTGGCACATTTTCGTGTTTTAATAGATTTTTAGTTTCATTTTAATTTAAAAAACACTTTTCAAATTATAGTTATTAATTAAGAAAGACGGAAAATGTTGAAAAGAAGACTCACCAAAAAAACGACGATTGTTATGTAGAAATGAGCGCCAATTGTTGACATGGTGATACTTAAGATGTAAGATACACAAAAGTTGACAAAAGATATAAACGTTTTATTTGGTGAATATTTTTGTTTCTTTTTTTCTTTCACCTTTAACAATTAAATTAAACAGTCACGTTAATTGTTAACCAGTTGAAAGGAGGAAAAGAAGGATCAAGTGCAGGATAATGGTGGATACTGGAATGGATGATACAAGAAAGGAAACGAGAGAAGGAACATGAGTTCACAAATGGAGATGTTGGTAGATCCAGAACATTCAACAGCTAACATTAACAACAATAAATATTATCACAATAATTTGACTGTTTGCTGATTTTGTTGGTCAGTAAGATCTAAAAGGTAAGATTAATTAAAAAAACATAAACGTTTCTGAAACCAAGGTAGCAATTAAAGCTAATTTCAAGATTTCCTTTTTTATTTTTCTTCGTTCTTATTGCTGTTAGTGTGAGTTTCTTTGTTCCTAGGAGGAGACGTTCCTGGTCAACTGGAGATCAACATTTAAGATTAGTGAACAAACAAAAATAATTGATAAGGATGGACACTGACTCGATTAGACGAGGATTCAATAGATGATAAAAAAATGGTGATAATGTTGGAGGGGATGAGGATGAGCCAGCAAGAACGTTTAAGGAGCACCAAAGGGAAAGTGATTACAGGAGAGGAAAGACATGAAATGTCATGAATTCAAGAGTAAAGGGAACGAAACAAATGAACAAATGATAATGATAGGTTTTTGATGGGGATTTTTTTACACCAGACTGTTTATGAATCAGAAATGTAAGTACGTATCTTGAAAAAAAGGTAAAATTTTTTGGTGAGTGAGAGTGAATGATACTTTTACAGTCAAGGAAAGCTACATTTGAGTTGGAGTTGGTAGTTATTAACCTGATGTGTATATTCAATGGACCGCTATTGATATTTAATAGCCTCAGGATTAATTTAATAACCGGTAGCTAGATGATGATGGTGCTTCTAATGGTGATATGTGAATAAGTGAAATTGATGAAGATGATGCTGATTGGGATAGACCTTGAATTGATACGGGTAAGGTCATAAACCTCTGTGTTGATTAACACTCATCTTGTGGGTAAACCAAGTGAACCCACTGGTCAATGGTAAATGATTTCAAATGGATTGAGAATCTTTGAAGTTCAACTGATTGATTAGCTTGATCCATTGCGACAATTGTATAAAATTTCAATCTATATTTGACAAGATTTTTATGAATATTATTATATCAAGTTTTGCAAGTTTTGCGAAAATTGCTTCAACTGACTAACTAATCAATCTATCATACTTTAATTTTCTTTCAGTTAATCATTAAGGTGATGAATTAAAATCAATCAGTTGAAGGACATTGATTGTTTGCTGTTGAAATAAAGCGTCTTTAGTTTTTTGATAATAATCAATTGAAGTTAGTTAATTAAGCTTGAGACTGCATAGCGAGCAAAGATTATTCAAATTCATTATTTTTCTGCCTGAAAACGACCTTAATACGCTTAACTACTTTCATGTTTTCATGGTGAAACATTTTTTTGCTGCACGTCAGTTTTGAAACAATATTATTATTTAATCCTTTCTGCTTTTCAGGTAATATTTTTCATTATTGTAACACAATAAATCATAAATGGTTTAAGGTAATTTTGAAAACCAATCGTGATGCTGTTGAATAATCGCGATTATGTATAGTTTCTTGTAACTTTAATCTGCAGATTGAATAACATTTTTGCGTGAAATTTCTTATTCAACGTATCAATTAATCACTCATCAATTAACTTGATATCTTACTTTGCAACTTGAATAATTTTCAACATGTGTTTTGATATCAAGTTTGCCAGTAAACGTTATTTCATTTAAACGCATAGTTTAGAGTTATATTTTATACCGATTTTAATCTTTTTTACAAAAAAAATGTGAATAATTTCAAATGAAACTGAATATGACTTTGAGATTCAAAATTTACAATATGAATGATTATGAAAGATGTGAAAATAGGTAAATTTACAGAAAATGTGAGAGCTTGATATTTATATGATTATACTTTAGGATTGATTTCAAATTTACCATTTTTTCTTGCAGATAAACTTGAAATCTTGGAGGTGAATTTAAATTTGCTGTCTTTGGATGGATTTCTTTTGGTAGTGTCATCATTAAAAGCTGTTGGGTCTGTCACTCGAAGCAAATGAATAATCCTGATGATAGGAAATTCCAGAAAGATGAAGAAAAGGTACCCAAGTGTTATGGCAGAAACTATGTTGAATAGTGACCAAGATATCTGTGAATTGGAAATGAACAAAATTGTTATTGTCATCGATATTTTAAAGACAAAGAAATACTTACGAAGAAATGGTCATCCCACAATTTGGTGAATTTAAAGGAATAAGTTCGGATGTCGATTGGAATTGTATGTACAGCATAAATGCAACCAACAAGTCTACTCAGAACTCTGAAGTGGTGCGATGAAAGAGCAGAGGTGAAAAAATTTGACTCTCCAGTTGTACACAAGAAGATGGCCCAAGCTAAAAATGAACACCATAAAGTTCGCTGAAATCCAGCGAAGATAACACGACTAGAAAGATTTAAATTAAAATGGATATCAACATTGTTCCAGAGAAAGCTACTAAACATGGCGACTATACTCAAAAAGGCACAGAAAAGCCATCCATTCACTGAAATAAGCATTGAAAACTTGATTGGCTTGGTTTTATTTGTATATTTATGAACCAGAGTACCAATCATGATGCCAAATGCGAATGGAGCCAAATGTAGATAAGTTGGAAAATACGTTACATCAAACTGGCGTTGAAGCGAGCTGTTGGTAAATTACAAATAAACGTTATTATATTTTTTTAACCTTCAATTCATGATGAACTCACTCATAATCTACGATATGGTCCAATCCAAAGGTTGCATTTGTATCATAATAAAGATTGGAAATTGCTGATGATAAAACACCAATGAATATGAAAATCAAATTCAAAATAAGTCCAGTATTGATGCTTCGATGGTAACCCATGAAAATAATGATACAAAACAGATGAAGCTGTATATCCACTGAAAGATACCAAAGATGCGGGGCGCACTGAAATTGAATAAAAAAATCAATGAGCGACAATCTAATTTGAATGAAAATTAAACAATTCTCACCATTGTGTCAACGTTGCCATACAAATTACCAATCGCTAGAAAATGTGACCACCAATTAACTTGACAATTGTCGATAATTTGATACACATGATATTTATAATTTGGACCCGAGCTCAAATATGGGAACAAATAATTGATTAAGATGACTCCTGAAATTAAAGGAACAAATCGTAACCATCGAGATAAAACCAGTAAAAGATAATCTGAAATCCATCTTGTTGATGAAACTTTTGGCAAATACAAGCAAGCAATTGAAACACCGCTGAATACAAAAGAAGCAAAAATGAGAAAACAACAATTAAATGATCAAAACGTAAATAGTCACCAGCTAGTTTACATACCTGATGAAAAATAAACTATCCAGAAATAAATGTGTATTCAAGAAAACTTGATTGGTCAGCTTGCCAAGATTTGAAGGCAAATCTTCAGTCCAACGATTAATTGACTCCGATGTTTTGTAAAAACCACCAAAAAAGTACGTATGGCCAATAATCAAACAATACATGGTCAACACAGCTAATCCACTAAGAATGTTTGGAGTACTTTTTCCTGATGGTCTATTTAGATACTGATTAGCCTGGTTAAAAGAGAAACATGAAGCAAACATTTTGCCGAATGTCATGATTGAAGATTGATTGGTTTGACGAGTTATCAATCCAAAGAGATCCAGAACGGTGGAAAGTACAACGACACTAATTATGGCGGCAAAAAAGGTTAATGATATTTTGGAGTAAAAATTCAAGGGAATGACCTCAGCTCGATATGAACACTCATCATCAGGTCCGAAGGTCAAGGGCATCTGTAGGATTGGTGAAGCAGCTAAAGGAGAAGTACGTAAAAATATTATTGAATGTCAATTGTTTTCACTTCTCATTGAGAGATGATTGTTGGCCTACATACAATATTCAGATTTGTAATTTGAATACTTATTTACATGTTAAACTGGCGATAATTCTACCTGTTATCCTCACTTCTATTATCGTGAACATTGTGATGGGAAATTTATTTGTTGTGAAGGTTTGAGGTCATAATGGTCAAATTGAAATGCCAATTAAGAAACGATTTAAATTTATTTCGAGCAATTAGAGGTTCCCTCTAAATCGACCAAGTATCATTTTGAAAATCATCTCTTCAATTAAAAGTAAAACTTCCGGAAAAATAATCGCTCTTCATACAAAGTTCAAAAATTTGAGGCATCATCTGAAGGTTTAAGGTTTACTTAACAAATCAATGTTAATTCAACTAATCTTGCCTGTCAAATCTAATATTTATTATTCTTTTCATTTTCAGGTTCAGAAGGTCAATGTGATAATAACAATTCATACCTTTCCTAATAACAGGCTCTAATTCATCAGCTGAACATGTTGATGGTATGCAAACACCGAAACGAAAACCTCGCATAGTGTAAGCCGTTCTTAGATATTTGGTTAAATAACCCCAAACTGTTTCATTGAGGTGGGTTCCATTTAACTCCACACTAGGCTGATGAAATTCAACTCGTTCTGGTTTATCGGGAACTGGAAAATCAATCCGGATTGTACAATATTTTCCTGTTATGGGGACTTCTTCACCAAAATATTTAGGAAACTCGATTCCAAGACACTCATCATAATCACCAAGAGATGTAACAGTTCCATCTAATGATCCAGGCGATGGACGACCATAAGAATCAATTACTAAAAGAAAAGGAAATGAAAGTGGTTGTTAAATTGAAATTATTTCATGTTTGATTTCATATTTGCAGAATACTTTAACTGTCATTAATTGTATCTCGATAAAGCAAACCAGATTAATAGGACATGATTGTTGAATGTGGTTAAACCAATTATACAACAAATTGTTTCCTGGCTAAAAAAAGAGTTCCAATGCAAAAACAAGAATTGAAATTACTTAAATCACTACATATAGATGGGTGGAAGAAAATTAACTATATTCAATTGTAGTTCTTTTAATTGTTCAATGATGGCTAATCTTTTCTGAAGTGTAACTTTTTTTGAATATTGTTATAATAGCAACTTTGAGTTATTACTTTAGGAGAAACAGTTCTCTAATAATACCAATAACACAAATAGTTACAGAAAAATTGATTGATAGATCTAAAATAAACTGACAAAAATATAACATTGTATGTCAACAATTGAGTGATTTCAATAAAAGAGTTGGACTCACATCGAAATGCCCAGGCCTTTTGTTTACGGAAACCATTTACGAGCTGCAAAAGACTAAGAATACATTCCTCAGAGATGTCGAATCGATAACCAAATTCAGTGGCATGAGGCATTGCTTCACTAACAACCATTTGAATGGCATTTTCGGTGATCTTGGCCCATCTCGACAACAATTCAACCGTCTGATTAATATGACCAACATGATAAAGATTATCTTCATCCTCACTATCGGAATAATCTTCTGTTGGACTATTAACTTGATCATCTTGCTCTGGATTAATCACATTAGTTGAATCCTTATTGGAGCCAGGCGATTCAGATTCAGGTGATTCGGCAGACGGCACAAAATCTTCAGAGTCATCATCAATTGTAGTTGATGTTGTTGAATCGATAGATTCATTAGCACCGTCACTGGTTAAATCCGCTGTTTCATCATTTGTCGAGTTTGATTCACTATCATTATTATCAAGATAAGTTGCAGAAGAATCTTCAGACTCTCTGAATGATGAGAATGATGATGAGGTTGTCACAGCCGCTGGTGTTTGTGTTGTTGCTTCTGATGGTAGAAGTGGTTTAGTTGTTGTTTTTGTGTTATTATGATCCAATAATTCAGCTGAAGATACATGAAATACAATTGAAAGGATTATGTTGATGGTTAACACGATTTTAGTAAACTTCATGGCTTTAATCAATTTGCTGTCCAATAAAATCGATATGATTTCTGTTTACGGATAAACAGAGTCCGTCAGAATCATCATCATGTTGAAAGTCGGAAGATAAGCATCTTCTTGGTCCTTCTCACTTTTACTTTCTCCCTCAGCATCGGTGAACCTTTCTTCATTGTATCTTTTTCGCCTTACCTTTCTTTTTACCTTTGCTCTTATGACCAAAAACCTGTTCATCATCATGTTCTACTTTTTTTACGGTGTACATCATTAACACAAAATTGTTCAGAATCACATTTGAAATCACAAAAGAAGGAATGGAAGATAAGAAGCTTGAAAAATGGACACAAACGGTAAGAGGAGAGAAGGAAGAGATAAAGGTACAAGTTCACGAAAAGTGAAATTAAACAGAATGATAAAGGTTAATGAAAAGTAGGAAGACAGTCACACGATTGAGAAGATTGAAATGAAGGGTGATCATATCCTCAGGTTAATCTAATTGCTTGATTGTTTTAATTTAATGGATGGTCAGTAAATGGTAAAAAACAGGCGAAAAATTCAACTATTTGTTAAGCTTGTTTATTTCACCAGCTGATGAGTGAGAGTGCCATTAAGTATGGCTAATTGATGAATTTACTTGAAGCTTAGATTGAGTCTAAGAATTTCTGAGTGACTTAAAGACATACCATGATCCATACACCTTGTCAGTATTAATTGTAATTTACATATTCCAATGATATGTTGAGTGGCGTCTCAACGACTTATTTAAACAGAAAATGTAAAATCGCAATTTTGTCAATTTTTAGTTATTTTTATTGTCACCAGTTTTAATGCTTGGTTAGTTGCAACAAGTGTTTACTTTATGGATGCTTTTAATTACAATTAGAGAACAATTATAAATTCTTTGAGCAAATTTAACCATCGAAATTGTTAAATTAAGAAACTGGTCATGTCTCATACGGAAGTCACTACAAATTGCAGCGTGATTACGGTGAAAAATTATGATGTTGATGTGGTTTATAATGGTTGAATCCGAAGCACCCACACTAATCCGGAAACTAATCTAATGTTGATTAGTATTAACTTTATTTTGTTAATTAATTCACTGAGAATAAACTCATTTACACTTTTTAAACTGAATCATGTCAAATAAGTCCAATTAAATGAATTGAATAGATAATTGAAGATGTAACATGACAGCTGAGTGAAAATTGACTTCAACATGTCTTTGATTAACCTCAAATTTTTATTAGTTGAATAAGAATCACTAAAACAGTCGTGATTTTTATGCAAATCTGGTCAATTATTAGATTTAACGGAAGATTGAATGAAAACCAACAAATTGCTCGATTAATTGGTTAATTAGAGAAGATTTAAGCAGCCAATTAAGTTGAACTCATAAACACAAACACAAGATTTGTGTTGAAATTTGGCGATTTTTATTATTTTGAACTTTTTTGAATTAATGAGCTTACTTTTAATTTTTATTAGAAAATATTGTTAATTATTTCATGAACAATAGAATTTATATTTAACGAGAAACAATTAAAATTGCTTAATATTATAATTTTTGTTGGAAATTCAATTTACGCGCTCAGTTTACTGTGAGTTGTTTTGAAAATAAACGTGAGATTTTTGTAATCACTCCATGAAAGCTCTTTTTTAAAGCTAATTTAGTTTAATCATGTGTTTATGTTAATTTATATGAGTTTACAATCAATATTACTATCAAAATGATTGGCCGGTGTCTGCGTCTGAATGGATTTAAAGAAATTGTAAAAAATGTATCTAATCAAAGTTTTTGTTCATCTTTAGCCGTGATTAAAAATAATGAGTTATCTAATGTTGAAACTAGTCAATTGGAAAAACAAAAGATAATCGAAGAGTTAATATCCAAAAACACTGATGAATATTTGGTTTATGACAAACGTTTGGATGCCAATTTGGCCCCTTTCTCTGACAAGGTTGATCTTGAATATTTGGATGATTTAATGCCTCCACTTAATGCAACCTTTAATCTGGCTCATTATATTAATAGGATGCCGACCCTTCAACGTCTTGTTGATTTAGGTGTTAATTTATACGTTCTTGAACAAGATCGAGAAATCGCCCAATATTTGATTCGACTTGATTTTAATCGTGATATAAAACAGCATTTGTTATATTTAAAGAGTCTCGGTATAGAAGATGATGCACTTGGTACATGGATAACTTGTAATCCTCTCATATTTAGAGAATCCATTGAAAACTTGAATATAAGATTGGAATATTTGAAAAGCAAAAAGTTCACTCAAGAAATGATCCAGATGATTTTGATTCGTTATCCTCCCTTCCTTAGTTTTACAGTGAAAAGGGTTGATACTGCATTGGGATTCTTGCAAAGAGAGTTTCGTTTGACGGGAAATGATGTTCGGCAAATTATATCTCATCATCCTAAAGTTATTCATTTCACTCATCTCAGATACAAGGTAAGTTAAGATTGACTTCAAAGTGATGGTGTGTCTATTAATTAAACTTTGTCAAATCTTTCAGGCCATATCATTTGCTCTCAAAGAAGTCATGGGCTTTAGTGGAGATCAAATTCGTAAGATAATTGTTGGAGCACCATCTTGCATTTATAGAGGTAAGATAAGTTTAACAATTAATTCAAGATGAACTAATATCTTATTCAATTTCAGATTGCCCACATTTGGAAAAGACGTTTGATCTTCTTCATGAACGAAATGGTTACTCAAGGGAACTTATCGTGAATTCGCCTTATTGTTTAACTGCTCAATTAAGTATGTTGGTGGCTCGCATCAATTATCTCAAACTCCTGAATCTTTTCCAACCGGACCCGAAAAAACCTTGTTTCACAGCTTTAGATGATCTCTGTGTTGTCAGTCTTCCTGTCTTCATAGAGAAATGTGCGAAAACTTCTGTTTTAGATTTTATTAAATATACCAAATCTTGTTAAACTCGTGTATTAGCATTAAATGCATTTAAATCTCATGCTTTGAATGTCTTATATCCAATGATGAATTACTTTGGTTTCATTAGCACAAGATATTTTAACACTTCAGCAAAATGTTGTATTCGTGTAGTTAACCTTGAATTCAATCACACTATCACAAATAAAGAACTTATGGAATCAAACAATTATCGTAAATATTGACAAAACGGCTTTTATTTTAAACTTATTACTCATCCAAATTAAATCATTCGTCTTACAAGTTCGTTGATTTTATCTTCTCTATTACCAAAGTCACCCCCTTCGACGTAATGTGTAACCTTTTTACGCCATCCTCCTTTAGGGTTATTCAATTTAAAGTGCCACAAGAAGTTATTGGCTTTTTTGAAGTTGGGACCAACTGTATAAAGTTCATGAATTAAATCCTCCATACAGATGATACCTCCTTTACCCAAACGACGTTCGATAATTCTGTTATCGATAAGAGGGGTTCTTTTGCGATCCAAACGAGCAAAACCACGTTTGTAGACAAGTTCACGTATTGTCTTCAAATTAGGATAACCCCAGGTGATGTATGGTTCGGCAATTCGAAGCATATTCAAAGATGCCTTGTTCAATTTAACAAATGTAGCATTGTTAATTTGTCTAAGACGGAGTAACTGAAGAACCTTTCGTGGTTTGGGACTTAAACCGTTGACTCTGCAAAAGAAACGAAATAATGGATAAAATATGTTTGAAATGGCAGTTTTTGATGAAAAACTTACCCTCTGATTCGAATAACCAAAGCCAATTTAGGTTCAGGAGCAACATAGTAATTTCCGTGGGTCTTAGCTTGTTTCTTCAAACGGACCATATCACGTTCAGCTAACCTGTATTCCTTAACATATTTTTCGGCACGCTTGAAGATGTCTGCCTTCTTCTTTTTGAAAAGCTAGAAAAGATAAAGCATGGCATAATGGTTAGATTAAAGGTTGTACTGAGGAATGTAGTCCATTTAGCCGGTGTTCATTGAATATCTTACCTGTCTTCTCTTCAAAACATTTGAAATAGCTCTGGCTTTAAGCTTTGCAATGCGTTTCCTCTTTTTAAGCAAAGATTCGGGGATGGTGGGAATCTTTTCAATTCCTTTGGAAACTGGAGTTGTTGGCTTTTTAGCCTTAGGAGCAGTCCTGTAAAGGGAATGAATAAAACAAAATCGGTAAGAGTCAACATAGAAAAACTAAAACACATAATAACATAATTCACACAAAGTATGTAAAGAATGATAGATTAAACGTTATTAAAAAATATACTCACTGAGCATCAGCCATTATAATTAAATTAAATTAGTTAACTAAATCAAAAAACTAATCAACAAACCACAATTTAACAAGAAAAGCACGGCTTGAGAAACCTCACACAAAATTGTGTTCACTAAAAATACTTTTCCGTTTCCGCAGTGTTGCCAAGGCAACATGTTTGCTTTAAAAACTTGGGAGGTAAATTCAAAACTCATTCTCTATCTCGTTAACCATTGAGTTGAGCAACTGATTAAAATGCAATTTAATTTACTAGCTCTTATTTTTTTTATTCTTAACAATTTAATGGAGAATTGTCCCTCATTTATTTTGATTTGAATGTTTTATTATTAATTTCAATATTAACTCAATTCAATTCTAACTGATTGTTCAAATTTTCATCGTTTACAATTAAAGTATTAGATTTTAATTTTAGATTCAAGCAAAGAAATGAAAAAATTATTATTAATTAAATTTTAATAACGATATGAAGTGGTTGAATGAGGAAAGATTACAAGAGGAATATACAAAGGATTTCAAATTGCGACCAAAGATCAAAGAAATTTTTCGATGATAAGGAAAAATGTATTTTATAGTTAATCAGAAAAAATAAACAGCCATTGATTGTTGTTTAATTGCTCTTCACTTTAGCGTTCTCAATATTATTATTACGTCCAGCAAAGCCTTTCATCATTTCTAGTCCACCAAGTAAACTGTAGAGATAAAAGCCACTCTTTGCAGGAATCATTGTTTTTATAGCACTCATGAAATAAAATAGCCTTGGTAGGATCAAAAGATACTGGTCAGTTCGTAAAGCTTCAATTATTTTGTCAGCAGTGTAATCTGGTTTCAACATAGGGATCACTTTATCGTAAGCACCCTGGAACATTCCAGTGTCAATGAAGTAAGGGCATACGGTGGTTATTTTAATGCCATCATAGCCAGCAGTTTTGAGTTCAAGAAACAGCGATTCTTGTAGCATGTAAGCAGCAGCTTTTGAAGACGAGTAATCAGTTAATTTATCAGAACCAACAAAAGATGCAACAGAAGCCATAGATAAAATATGACCCTTATTGGCAGACATCATTTCTGGTAGGAAAGCCTTGTTGATCCAGAAATGGGAAAAAACATTAACTTCAAATGTTTTGAGTATAGCTTCATCACTGAGTTCAAGAATTGATTTACCAGAAACGATACCAGCATTGTTAATTATCACAGATACAGCTCCAACATCTCGTTTAACTCGATCTGCTGTTGAATAGACTTGTTTGCTATCTGAAATATCAACAACATATAATTTACACTTTCCACCAGCCCTTTCCACTTCTTTACCAGTTTCTTGTAAACGAGACTCAACAATATCCCAGAGAACTAAATAATCTACTTGACTAGCAAGTTTGACAGCTAAAAGTCTACCAATTCCGCTCCCAGCTCCGGTGATTAAAACTACTTCTTGCGAGATATCCTTGAATCGTAAATGACGAGGAATGAAAAACAAAATAATAGCCTCCAACCAATGGTAGATAGCAAGACCAATTGTTTTTAACACATCCATTCTTTAACGAGGAGATTCCAGATGATGGTGATATGAAAATAGAGAAAACAAAAAAGGATAAATGAATAAAAGGTTCAAACAAAGGATAAACTGAGAATAAACTGAGCAATGAAGGTTAAGTCACAGGTTAACATAGGATAAAAACATGATGGTAACTGAGGTTGAACAATCCTCTTTTCACCACAGATACATGAAAATAAGTGTATTGCTAGGGAAACCGGTAAATAATGGCCAAGATGTAAAATTGCAAGTGTTGTGAAGAGATGTTTGTTCAAGTGAGACAAGTAAATGAAGGAAAAGTGGAATTGAATGAGAAAATGGATCGGAAAGAATGAAGGTTAAGAGGATGATTAATAGGAATTAGTATGGAAAATGTAAATATGATAATTAACAGCGTAACTTACATGGGAAACAAATATTGGTTTTCCTATTTTAAAACAAAATAAGTAATATTTTGACCAATGTTAACCAAAAAAAACCAGCAGCGTATGTACAGATGTTTGTATGTTAACTTAAAAAAGTTAACTAAAATGCTGCCACAATGATGAACTTTTTTGATATAACTTTAATCAAGGTTTGATTCAAGGTAAAAAAGCACAATAATAGTTGCGTTAGTTAACTTAAACAGATAAAAACAAAAACAAAAGAGGAGACCATTAAGAAAGAGCTCAGTGTTGATGCGTTCACAGTGAAACAGAAGTGTGAGAGTTGTTGACAATTTTGGTTTCAGGGCGTTCACAAAATAATGATTGTTGGTAACAACGATTTAATTTTATTTTCAGTGTTAAAGATAATAATGAAATGAATTAAGTCTTATTATTCAATCGACACTCACCTGATAAATGGCATGACGGTCAACTCAGATTGAGAAATGGTAACTCAACGAGGATAATCATGCCACTCAATTTTACCAATAACCACAAAGATACAAGAATAGATTTTCAAAGCAAAGCAAATGGATTGACTTGTTAAAATAGAAGCTCTTTTTGGCCTGTTAATCAAACAATATTAGAAAGGGGTTTCCTTAATTGTCCCTACAATTTAGCTTCACCATTAACTTGACTATTAATTGCCTTTCTTTATTATTCAATCTCTGGTTATCCAATGATAGAATGATTTCTGTTGACTTTATTTATAGACTACTGTAATTGCTAGAGGAGACTCTTGAAGACCATGAGAAATCTGTGGAAATTTAAACACAATTTAAGCCCAATGCAAGGCCATTTTTGATTAGCAGAGGTTATTTAAGTTTATCAAGGTAATTTAAGTCTATTACCAGGACAATTTAAATAATAAAATAAGACATTTGATATGTAAATATGAATGAGAGATGAAACAATGAAATTGTTGATTTTTATAATGCATAATGAAATGTGCTGTACATTTGATTTTGGTTTGCTTTTGTCCTCAATTGATTTACAATTGTTTAATGAAATAATTACGTGATATTAATGGTCTGATATAATTATGATTGATAATGAATTGAAATGAATAAATGTTTTCAATTCGACGAAATGCTAATGGTAATAAAACAAAGTTAATAATAAACCTTGACATACACAAAATTTTATCTATTCAACAATCTTGCCTCAAGGTGTAGGTCAAATGCGAATCAAGTTAACGCATATTGATGATCGTTTCAGTTGAGACTTGTTTATTAATCAAGACGAACTCATGGCCATATGAAATAAATGATTAACAGATAATTTAGCATATTTTAGCTTAAACTTGATCTTTAGATGAGAGTTTAAATAAGGAATCGAAATGAAATTAACTAAATCAAGGTTTTCAGAGTTTAAGGAATGGCTAATTCAGTGTTAAAAGCTTAATCGTTCGAGTGAAATCAAACGCCAAATTTGTTTCAGAATTTTAATCATTTTATCTATAATTAGTTAAATTAGTACAATGTAAATATTGACGAGTAAATATTTGAAACAAGTTCGTCTGCATTAAACTCAGGTTGAAAAAGTAGTCAAACTGAAATGTAATTTGATCGCATGTTTTTCAACCAAAACCTTGGACTGTTTTGATGATTATGATGAAGATGATAGCTGAAAGGAATGGCGATTAGAGTCTGATCAAGACTCGATTCATCAATATTTACATTGATCGTTATTCCTTCAAAAACCGGAAAACTTATATAAATGATTGACAACCGTTTGTGAGGAAATTCATAAACAGAAGACGCCGAAAACAAGGTTCAAGTTCAAGAAATATAATTTTAGTTTCCCTTTTCATCTTTGAAATCGTTGCATTATAATTTCAACCTGAAACAATTGAGATCTCAACTTGAATATAACTTTCATATCAAGAAACCTCAAGATTTGTCGATGTGTGTTCTTTAGATGTTGATATAGCGTAAAGAGATAGGACACTTGATAAAACGACCGAATATCATGTGTAAAATTAAAAATCACAATGGGTTCATTGAAGACAATAAATGGTTTAGAAAAAGTAAACCACTATTGTGAATAAATACATTGTAGTGATAATTAAATTAAAATGTAAAACTTTAAAATCGTACCTAGTTTTCATTGAAAAAGATAGATGGCATTAGCTTGATAAATCATAGTTAATGAGTAACACTCAGTTCATACAAAAAAACAAGCAAAGAGTAAAGAAAGAGTAAAGAAAGAGTCTACAACAAGACGAGGGGAAAAATGAGATAAGGGGGGAATATCACTGATAGATGGCAGCAAAGAGTGCAGGAAGAGTTCAGACTTTCTAGTCGAAAATTTACTACACTCTGTACTCTATTTTACTCTTTCATTTCTCGTTCTTTCGATATTTAAAATTAAGTTGAAACCATTAATTTTAGCACGGTAAAAGGCTTTTTTGACTGTTTTTCAACGCATTTAACATTAAGAATTGAAAATTGATTTTAATGATTCTGATGCTCAATGACAAATTAGTGACAATTTAGCAATAAAATGTTATTTTAACTAGTGAAAATTGAACTTAGCAAAAGTCTACCAATAAGTTTATGTTTATCATTAAATGATTTTATTTTTTGAAACTTATTTGAAACTTTTGATATTTCAGTTGGAAAATTTTTCTACCGTTTCCCGCCATATCGTTCGAATTATATTTAAGTAAGATTTAAGATATAAGTAAGTTTTATTGACCAAGTGAAGTTGAATTGAAAATTGTCTATCGGACAGAATTTATATTATTCAAATTATTTTACTATAAATTCAGTTATTTGCTCAAATAATTGTCATCTTCATCTTCAACATTACCTTCATCATCATCAACTCAATAATTCCTACCATTCAACTTGAATATCTATTGGATTTATTTGTGTTTGTTTAATCCTCATCCTTAAGTTTGTCCATCATTACCAACGCTTTACCTTCATTTACTTCTATTAAATAAAATTATAACTCAACCTTAAAGGTTAAACATGATGAATCTTTCTACTTTGACTAACCCATCAAGCAAACTTTTACATATTTTACTATATGTTGATGATTCTTCAATATTTTGTGAGTCAATTGAATTGCTTGAAATACTAAAGAGTCAACTCAAATCTCGGTGCTTGATGAAAGATCTTGGTATTACTCGAAGTTTTCTTGGTATTGAATATCTTACAATTCAGAATCAGGTTGTATTTCAATAAATCAGACAAATTATATAAGAAACATTATCGAGGGGTTCAATATGGAAAATTGTGATTCCATATCAACGACATCTGATATTTCTGTTGAACTGGCTAAACCAACTGAGACTGTTACAATCGACACCCCGATCACCTTTACAGTAAAAAATTCCTATAGAACCATAGCGCCGTCGTATGAATATCGATTCAAATTAAAAAAATGGCCTAGGCACGATCACACCATCGTAACAACATGGTGGAATGTTTTATTCTATAATTTTTGAGTCTACTTCACCCGAGGATGCAGGATACTATTAGTGGATGTTCGGTTCTGTAAGAATGGATTACCTATTCATTCAATTAGAGTTGTTTTTATCTCTTTTTGATTATTAGATTCGATTGCCGGACTTATTGATGTGCACCAAGACACCTCAAGAGGAAAGTTATGATCAATTCATCATCCACAACTTTACTCAGCCTCAAATCAACAACATCTCAGTGCTTGTTTCAGCAATTACAAACAATTCGCAAAAATCTGGTTTATTCAAAATCTCCGTACATAGTAAAGATCCTATTCACAATTTGACTGCTGATGGTCACACCATGTTGAACTTTCCAGAGATGAAAGCGTCCAGTTGAATATCAAGATTGATGGAGGAACACCTCCATTTTTTTACTGCTGGGAAATGACAAATTCAACCACTTTGGGAGGAACTCGCAAGCCTACAAAAGAAAGTTCTTTTTCAATAATAGAATATTTTAGAGGAAAAGGAAAGAAAACATTAACCATCAATGTTAAAAATGATTTATCATCATTCACCAAGAACATGACCATATTAATTTATGAAATTGAGCATCGAACGCAACTGAGTTTTGTTTTGGGATCTGTTTGCAGCATAATCATTGCCATTTTCATCATAATTGCGGGCATCGCCATTCACATGAAACAGAGGAATGAACTCACGACTGAAGTTGCATATTTTGATTCGCAATCAATTGATGAAAAGATGGAGAGGACGCTTTGGGAAAGAATCCGTGGTAATTTTCATTCGATTCCGAGAAAAGTTTACCACTTATGCTATCTCAGCAGCTTCCAAAATATACCTGATGCAGATGATATTTTACCTGCTGAGCTCGATAAGATATTCGATATTTTGAATACATTCGTACGATCAGAAAATAAACGGAAAACTATGGAAAACAGCTTTGACACAAGAAGACAATCTCACAAGATATTTATTAGATTTTGTCAACCTTATAGAGAAGGATAGTTTCAAATTTGTAAAATAAGACAAGCTAACAGTGAGCCAAGGATCAATAAGAATGTAAAAGCATGCTTTAGCAAACAATTCGTGGATTGCGCGGTCTTTCGATGGCCTTAGAGGCAACAAAGGTTTATCATACACTCGTGGTTTCTCTTAAGATATTCTTAATAATCATCTTGGAAGGTGGCGCATCAATATCATCATTTAACATCAAAATATCACCTTGTGTTCAGAAAAATCATGAACTTCATTCCACAATCAATTAGTTCATCCGACTGTGGGCAAGCATCAAATTCAATTTTCTCAGCTCAAATATTCAGTCTTTAGATAATGTACCTAGTACAGAATTTTTGTTTTCTTCATGTCTTTCCATTCTTTCCATTTTGTTGTCTTTCAGCGCTCAAATGAAAATGATTTCAAATTTGAAATTGCCATGTTCTGAATTGAAACCAATTTGATGAGACGAGCAATCCTTTTCACGCAGTCTATCTAATGATAATACAATGTTACTGAAGACGCTTTAAAGCATTAAGACCATTGAATCCAGAAAAGCTTTGATTGAAAACAATTTGAAACATTTCTTCTCATAAACTGTCGATAAACTTTTCCAAACAGATTTCTTCTATTTATATTCACTTGTTCAAAAGTTGAATCTTGCTGATAACCTGAATGATTGAAGAAAGGTGGAGTATTCCCATGTTATCATCAACATTTCTATCAAATATTACCGAATGATTCCATCATGAAACATTTCTTACTCCACCTTTCTTGAATGCCTTCAACATGATCTTTCCTATTATTACAATTGTAGTCTGTTCATTGTTTGAGGTTCACAAATAAAAGTACAATCATTAAAAAAATAGCCAAACATGTTCATATTTACCTACATTGTTACACAGTCTGTAAACAACCCAAACAGTTATGTTGGATTAACCTTATTTTTTAAATTATCAAAATCAATAACAAGGACAGTTAACAATCCTAAATGGAAACAATTTTGATTAGAAATGACTGAAAATTTCATTTAGATTGATATTTCAAATGATAGTCTTTCAACGAAAAAATTGTCCAAACTTAAACTTATATTAATGATAATAAATGAAAAATATTTACAGAGCAAACTCAACATTTGAGATAAAATTCATTCTCACCCTGAACTTGCCATGAAACTATCAGACCTCACTACGAGTAGTTGTACAGTAACATCTTTATCATTTCTTATTAGCCAATTGTTATTCAAATGTACAAATGTTAACCTTAAATTATGATTTTGAAAAGGCCAAAAAGATTGAACCCAAAAATCAATTGCAAGACTCTTCTTTTCCCAATGAATTAAACAATTAAACATTTAAACTGTTCAATGACAGACAATCAAACCATCTAATTTGTTAATCGGTTAAATTCCCATCACAATCAATGGCAATTGTTAAATCATGTTGTGGTTTCTCCCTGAGGAAAGGAAGCTTCTTAACGGCTTCTTACACTTTGGTAAGTTAACTGTTTCTTGTAACTCAATTGATTGTTGTTGCTTTAATAATTGATTAACTTAATACTGGAAGCAATTTAAAAACAAACAAACCGTTAAGCATGAAAAATTAAATTACAAAAGGTAAACTTGATTCTTAGGCTTAATTTGCAACCTCAAGCATAACTTTACAGTTTTAACCCAAATTTTTCTGGTTTTAATATTTTAACTTTGATTAAATGCATTTCCCAGCAAAATCTTAAGTCATCTGTTTGAAATGATTGTTTACTCAGAACTCAGTGTTTGGTAACAGTTGACATTGTAATTAATCATGTTCAATGTGATTTGCATAATAATCAAATCAACTGCCGAGTTGTGAATCCATCTAATAATGAAATTGAAAAAGATGAAACAAACAGCTTTTCTCGATTTGTTGTACTTTTGCATTAAACTTTAACTGATTGCTGGTTTCAAGTTTTGCACCATTTCAGACGTCATTGTAAGTGATATAAAATAGAGACAAAATATATTTGATTGTGGAATCAGCTAAATTGTAGTTTACTAAATTGATTTTAGGGCAAAATACATTTTACCAGCTTTAACCAAATTCATATCCATTTATCATTCATTTTAGCTTTACCATTGAACACCATTTAACACCATTATGTAGCAAACCAGACAAATAACATTTTAAGGCCTAACACATCCAAGTTGTCAGTTAAATTGAATCCAATATTTTTATTTCTCTAAATTGTTGTCTCTTGATCATCATAATGTGATTTAATAATAGCATCTATTGGACACCAAGCAAAGAGTCTAATGGTCCAATAAGTCAGATTGGGTTAAACTGTATTCAAAGTAACCCAGACAAACACTTGGCATCAGGTACAAATGGAAACCCATTTCATCTCTTAATATCTTTGGCTATATTCCTGTAATAGTTAAAATCAGTTGTTGTCACGATGAAAACCCATTCAGATGAATCTAAATAATGATGAAAACTTCTTGATTCTCAATTTCATTACATTTTCTTATCTCAAGCATTAAACAATTCAAATAATCTTATTTACCTGACAATGTGAGTAAATATTTACAAAGGCATGTATATTAGCATCTTTTTGTTCAATTTTCAGTCTAAAATAGATGTCATTTGCATTTACATTTTTGATTTTAATTCTGTTTCCATTCAGCTTAAAATAATAAACTTTGAGAGTTTATAAAATATTGAATTCAAAATCGACTGACTGTATCTTGTAAACACTTAGAACTGATTGTTGCCTTACAATTTGAATTGCCTTTTCCAATCCGATTAATATATTATTAAAATCTTACACTTGCCATTAGGTAAAGTACAAGACTATCCAAAGGCTCAGATCAAAGTATCTTTCATTTTTTAATGAATGCTTTCAGAAAGGCTGAAGTTTATTTCATTCACCTGAAGTTGAAACAATTAATTTCTTGAGGTGTAAATTAAAGTTGAATCAATGGTAAACGTGTTGGGAATCAAGTCAACTGTTAATGTTACAAGCAAAAACCCAACAAAAGGGTAAAAATTTTCTGGTAAACTCAGCCTTTTTTTTGTGTTTGTTTGAAAGCCAATGTTTGCCTTTTCAATACATTTTTAAAGTCATTTGTTGATGAAGATGTAAAAGATGATGACGAAGGAACAGATGATGATAAAGATGAAAAGCAACTACATTAAGATATAACAAAGAGTGTTGATAACCCAAGTTTGTAGAAGATTGAATTACAAAGAAATCAATTATCTTCGTGCCTTTTTTTTATCCTCATGTTGAGTTTCGGGGCTTCCTAAGGAATTAGATGAACAAGGATTTTGCCCAAACACAAGTTTCAGTATATATGATGAACATGAATCAGTTTTGAGTTTCGCAGATTCTTTCAGCCCATAACAACAAGATTACCAATTGGCTCTGGTTTTTCCTATTAATCTTATTCCTTACAAGTCCAGTGTTATTGGTCATCCTTTGTCTGCTAATCCAAACATGACTTAGCTTCTTGGTAAAACCCATTGGTTTGGTCCAAACTCACCAATCTTTTAAGCTGCAAAGACATAATCTCAAGGTTAAGCGTTTAAGCTTTTGTCTCAAAATTTATTCAAATTAATCTAGATACACAATCAACGTAGGAGAGTAAATCAATTTCTCCGTTTACATACTTATTATAGTAATTAATATAATTTTGATTTAAACGAATATATTGATTATTCTTTCTGTGAACCTTTTTACCATTAACAACATGAGTTAAATCAATTCTACTCTCTAACTCGAGAGACTTTAGTTGGTTAATTAAATTGAAGAGGTTAGGGCTTCCATGATTGAAGCAATGATTTAATTTATTATGAAATCCTTCCAAATGGTTCGTCGTTCTAGTTCCAAAATTACCAAAATGATTCCACGTCTCTCTTTTGAACAAAGAATCGTGATCCATCCAAGTACATTGAATGTAATAAAGAAACTCGTCAAGTCTATCATCATTAAGTTCATTAAATTCATTAATTAGAAACCAAGCAGTATCTAGATCTGACAATGAAACTAGGGGCAAACCAATACATCTTTTTATTGTTTTTCTGAAATTTTGATTATCTTCGTAATCTTTGCTCAATCCTAAATTTTGAATTTTTCTATATAAACATTGAGAATAATGAAAATAGCAACCATGTACTCTTATATCAGGGAAAAAAATACTGAATGCTTTAATTATCGCCATCTCAAAATCACAATGAAGATGCTCAGGTTTAAATATAATGCCTATTTTTTGTCTAACTACTGAAGTTAATATTGATAATAATTTGAAATATGTTTGCATTTTTTTGTTAGGCAATAAAGCATATACAACTGGAAACATATTTTCATTGATTAATACATGAAATGTGAATAGTTGACTGAATTGTTTAGGAACTGCGGTAAAAGTTCCGTCAACATATACCCGATCTGATTTTGCTAATTTTTCAAGAAAATTTGGTGAACTAAAAATAAGTAAATCATTACTGTAATGAATTAGAAAAGGTTGTTTATCAAGAGTTTGTTGATAATCAACAGGAATAGCTAACTTATTTTTGTCGATGATTGGATAAACAGAGTTTCTTTTGTCATAAAGATTTGATTTCATATTTAAGAATCTTGGTGCTATCGAGATATCTTGATTATTTTCAATTAAATTCAATGTTCTTTTCGTTCTGACCTGAATAATTAAAATAAGAATGAAAAATAATCATAATAGTAACAATAATCATCAATAAATATGCATTTTTAATTTTTTCACCTTCAACATTCAACCCTGACTAACTCACCAACCATATGTTTTCAGATCTCTTTCCATACAGCATTAGCTTCGTCTTAATGAGACCTAACTAACGATATGTAACAATTAAATGTAAACTAATTAATAAGCAAAAAACATCAACTCTGCCGGCGTCAAAAGTCAATGTATTTACATAGGCTATATAATGGGAAAAGTCATCCTAGCGACACTATCATTTTACTAGAAATATATGAGCTACAAATATCATTCAGATATCGTTGCAAAGAGCATAAAAAATACTTTTTATTGATATATTAATCATTTGAATCCCTCGACCCATTCTCAAGATACAACTCAACAAAATTTTTCTCTAAACACATTTTTACTAATATTCATATTTTCCCATTTTTTGAATTAGTATTGAATCTAAAGGTTTGTTTGATCAATCAAAAATTATTTAACATCAAAATGTCAACAGGAAATCAAGTAAATGACTTACCGTATTAAATATTTGTTGAATAGACATGTTCGGAGAAGTCTCGATCAAATTAAACATTTCATTTCGAGCTTTCATCTTCTCAATTCTTTCAATGTGATCGTTGTGTTGATGATCATTTGGTGGCTTTACGATATTGTTGTCTTCCGTAATCATGGTAATATTACAATTTTTATCTACACAACGCCAATAACAGCGTTTGTTATTTGTATTCCTCAAATTATACAAATAATTACAATAAATTAAATTTGATTTGCCGCGCTCAGATTTAATAAACTCCATATTCAACTCAAAAAAGGTTTTTCAACTAATGTACATGTGCTTAAATGAAGTGAACATTTTTCACCCTTTTCTTAGTTAAAACGCTTAACTTTAAGAGATTATGTCTTTGAAGCTTAAAAGATTGGTGAATCTGGAACATACCAAACCCATTTAACTCACCTTTTCATTTTCATCTGAATCAGAATCGACTTCCAAATATTAGGTGAGCTCAAGTTATTGGCATTTTTCAGAAAATTTTGAAATTCGTTCAAAACAGAAGCAATCATTCAAAGTAACTCATATCTGAAGAGGAGACTGATCTTTGCATGTCATCAGACCTTAAGATTCATGAGTTTTCAGGTCATTCGGAATCGATATTTTGACCTCTGAAACGGACCAAATCTTTGTTTCGCTTCGATGTTCAAGTTCACTGAAAAGAACCGATGAAAATGGGATTCTCTTCGAAAAAGTGGAACTTTTTACTCGATATGTTTCTTGATAAATTCATTTACTATGGATTACTCTTGTAATTGTTTTCGTTATTGCTGTAAACCCAATTCAAGTAAAGTAAACACAATTGCAATTACAAATCTTAATCCAAACGGTAAACTTTAATCTCGATTGGAAGGTTGACCATTTCAAGTGTAAATTGGATTTTCAAGTGTTTTTCAGTAATTGTAACATTTCGAAGTTACTGTTTTACAATTGATTAAGTTTCACTTTTTGCTAAATTGAATCAGCTTTAAAATGAATCGGTAAATATAAATTGAATATTGGGATTAAAGGTTTCAAATGTTGCAATTGAAATGATATTTTAATGCCTTTTTTGTCCTCAAACTTGGAGTCATTTTAAACTGATTCAATTTTTGCTCAATTAACAGATTCAATTGATGGTTAATCATTCCATGGTTTGGTGTAATGGTCTGAATGAACATTTAATCTTTCATACATTAAATAGCAATTTCTGTTGAAATGTTTGATTTATCTGAATGATCTTTCAAGCCAACAATTCACCTTTATTTTGATTCACATCGTAACAAGACTTGACTACAATCAATCAACCTGTTCATTGATAAATTGTGCCAATCATAGACAATTATCATGGATGAAGTTGAAGACTTAAAACATTAATAACAAATTAATCAAGCAATTGTACTTGAATTGCTAGTGTTTGCTTGATGTTGATGAAAAAAACATTAATAATGAAACAAAACAAGGTTCGTTAAGTTGATTTAATTAGTCAAGCCAAACAAAATGAGCTCATTAAACAATCAGTTTGAGATTTTTATTGAAAGGTTGAAAAACAACAAAAAAAGGTTCAATAATACAAATAACAGGTTAATTGGACAAAAATGGTTCCAAGTAATGAAAGTTGAAAGGATAACAGCATTAATAAACATGAGCTAATCAATTAGATGAATCAATGTTTTTTGGCGATATTATAAAGAGTGAATTATTCCCATTGAATCAAGTTAATATTGATTAAAATTGATTACCTTTTTGCCTTTCTTTAATCCATAATCAATTTTGCTAGACTCATTTGTCGGAAAATTAATTGAATTTCTATGCGTAAAATCAATAGATGAACATCACTTTTGCCCTTTTCCTTGTTGTTGCTTTATTAACCAGCCATTTGAAAAGGTTTTTTGACTCCAATCTCAGATTATTCAAACTGATCAGGGAGTTTGAATTATATTAATGGTGGCTTTCACAAAATATGGGTTGACTCAAGTTGAATTGATGATTTGGTTGTAAAATATTTCTGGATGTGATGATAATACATTATCTTGGTGGAGAGTAATTTAAGCTAATGATAAAGCAAGGGTTTCCAAATGATGATAATGATGATGATTTGGATGACAGCAACATTTTTTTCTTCTTCTGTATTTTTAAATACAAAACTGGAGTAAGATGTGAAAACAGCTCTCATGGTGACAGTGAAAAAGATGAGGAAAAATATGAAGATGAAAATGTAGTGATAATAATGATGATGATCATCATTATGATGAACCGTCTTTGTCTTTTCATAATCTTAAAATAATTTTATAAAAGCTTGAAATAGCAGGCAAATTGTTACAATTTCCAGTTCTTAAGTTCATAGTTAATTGTTGGAAATTTAAGGTTTACTCAATTGTTAAATGTTCAGTTTGTTAACAAACAGTTTCAAGGGTAAAATCCATGTTTAGTATGTAGTATTGGTTTAATCCCAGTTTTCAACAATTGTTTCAACAATTTTTATAGCAGGCTTTATCCATGATCAATCTTTACCATCTAATTGTCAGTAAAGCTTGATTAGTGATCCGTTGGTAATGAAACTTGCTACCATTTGAATGTTATCCATGATTGTGTGAATTGGTAAATTCCTTTGGTTAATCTTTATGTCCTCAGGTTTACGGAATCAACCAAAGAAACCATAATTATTGGTGTCCATTGAATTGTTTTCCTTGACTCTGTTGAGAGATTGAAAGGTTGTTGAAATGAGATTAAATTAGCTATATATTGGATTCAGCATTGAACACTGGAATGGTATAATTAGTCTTAATGAGCTAATCAAAAGCAAAGTGAAGGTAAAAATAAATTAACTACACTCGGAATTATGTTAATTGAATATATATAAAGTTATTTTGTAAAGAGTTAAGATGAAACATTAAAATCCAAACAGTCAATCAGATAGAAATGTTTAACAAGGTACATCCAAATTGTAAGACTTACGATGTTAATAAATAGTGTAACTGATTGTTGGAATCACGATTAATCCGACATATAGATGAATAATGAATAAACACTATGTCAGACGATATCAAAAGAGATCAGTTATTGAAGTCAAACCTCAAATTTCAAGAGTAAATCACTTTTCTCTAATTGAAATGAGGGTTATATTTTTTACTTTCACTATCATGATGACAACAAATTCAGCAGGTTCCATGAATAATCAATTAACGTTTTTTACCTTTCAGTTTGTTTCACCATCACAATTAATCAATAAAACATAAAAAAAGCAATCTGTAAACATGAAGTAAATTAATTCGCTAAAACAAAAACAAAAATGTCTGCCAAGATATCTTATACTGTATCTATCTGTATCAATAGATACAAGAGTCGATACGCTGATTCATCGGTGTACAATTACAAGAGTCAATTAAAATTATATTTTGTGATTGAAATTGTATTAAAATTTTAAAGCAAATTAATTTTGATAATCAGTCTGTCCAGGTTAAGAATGAAACTGCTATTTGATAGCAAATTACATGTAATAGAGATTTGATCCTGATGGGAATTATTTGTCAAATTATTCAAACAAAAAGCATTTTGTTTCTTGCTTTTCATTTTAAATTGAATTATTGCAAATAATATTCATCCTGATTTGAATAGACTATAATTATCTTGAAATTCATGTTTCACTGATTAATTATCTTGCCTCTTAATGAGAGTAATTGTCCTGACGAATGTTAATATCATGCCAATCAATATACACATTTGGATGGTAAAGGATCTCACACTTGCACATTTTGTATCTACCACTGGATTCACATTTAATTTTGCTTGTTACTGGTTAATAAAATTATTTGTCACGTTAATGATTAACATGATTAAGGGATAAAGTTAGTGGTAAAGATTGTTACTAATTTGATTAATTATTAGTTTTAATTCTTGATCTTTTTCATCAAAGCTTAAGCCTGATTGAACGATAAACAAAAAGCATCAATCCGTGAATAATATCAAAATAAATTGTCTTTTCATATTCAATGAATAATAATCTTTGCTTCCCTCGATGATTAATCATCCAAACCAAGCATAATTAATCATAATCATCGACAAAGTGACAAACATTGACAAAAAGCGATTGAAAATTGATACAAATAAGATTATTTGATTGCAATTAAAACCTAAAAATTGTATGAAAAGGTTTCATTGTAATTCAACCTTTTCCCAATGTCTAACCATTAGGGATGGAAATCTGATTTGATTGTAAATATATCGATGCAAGTCTGAAGATTTAAGCAAAGTTGAATATTACCTTTTATTAAATTGTTACATTTTACAATCAAGTTTAAAGTTACACTGACAATAACCAATTTAATCGTCAATTGTTCCTAACATTGAAATGCTCAAATTACCAGCTAATGAATCCATTAGAAGGGTCAAAATGATGTTGAGAGAAGAGCGGAAATTTGATATTATAAGCTAATGATGAGGACAATGATAATAACTGTAAATCAACAAAACACTAATGTCAAGGGTAACAATTTATCCATAATTAACCTCAACCCAATCAACTTGTAACTTATTAATCTTGCAATCCCATTAGCAGTCTATTTACCTATTGTCAATGGCTTAGGCTCAAGTGTTGTATCAATTGACTTTCATTGATAATATTTGGATAATAACAGTTATTATATGCAATTTGATTTAGGTAGACAAAGGTGAAAAGATATTAAGCTCAACAAATTGTAGTTACAAAAAAGATGATTTGTAAATGTTAACCCAAAATGAAAATAAATTACCTATTTGGGTCCATTTTAATTTAGGTTTATTATAAAAGGCAAATTGAGTCGATAAACTGAGTCTTTTTTTATTCTGATGCTCTGTTTACATGGCATTTTATATAGATTTTTATTTTTTCACTGTTTTCCTGTGTTTTATAAATATCACTTGAAGTATCCTTTGCTTGATTTGGACTTGAATTGGGTAAACAATTGAGGTTAGTGTTTACAGAAAAGATAATGAAAAATAGCAATTGTCCAGCATTGTCAGGAATTAATGTTAGACCATTATACATGTATTATTAACAATATTATTACTGCCATTATAATGATAAACATTAATGATTAAAAATAATGGAATGTAACCAGAATGTAAATAATATTGAGCATCCTGATGCTTGATATTAGATAACAGCAATTATTTGTCAGTTCATGTTCAATCCTTTGAATACAATATTCAAAGCATCTAAGTGTTGGATCAACATATCGATTGAGATTTTTCACATTTTTAACATTCGTCTCTTTCTTGTAAAATTCAACCCAAAATGAGTTGTTTTCCTGGTTCTGGTCTGATCTCAACTCAGATGAATCTTTGATCATTGACTCGACATCAGCTATTGATTGAGTCTTCCAATTGATTTCCAGTTAAGCATAAACAATTAGTCTTTGCTTCTCATTGAAGGCGGATTCCTAAGTAGTGCATCAGACCATTTAGCGGTTAATATTATAATATTTCAAAGGTTAGAGACCAAATTGTTGCATGACAATAACCATGAAAGGAATGGTGAAAAATATTGACAAGCTTTTTGGAGTAAACTTCCGATCATATTTTCATGTTCAACTTGGATTCCTTCCCATTCCTTGTATCTTCAGTTGCAGTGAATTGATTTCTTTGCATCTTTTTTCCATTGATTGATTATCTTATTTACAACAATTGAATCATCCAAGTTGGCCATATCAATCTGACTATTAGGACTGTTTCAAAATTTGCACCAGATTGATCAGGGAATTGTGTGATGCTGGGAGAATCGTAAAGTTTTTATATTCTGTTAAATCATGGCAACAAGATATGATTAAATAAGCCGAGAATAACATTTATTATAAAGGAAAAGCAAAATAAGCTTAACTCAACAACAGCAAAACATACCTTTTGACAATCCACCGGAGATTTGGTTTGAATGAATGATAATATTTAAACCTATTTGGTGATCAATGTTGCTGTTAGTCTGGCATCAATGTTGCCGTTCACATTAGATTTGCCGTCATTCATCAGCTTATAAGGTTTGAAATTACATTTACTTTTCGATTCTCAACTAAGCTGTTAACCAGGTAACCAATCGAGAGATTTTGTATTTTCATTAAAAACAAGAATTGAAACGATTATCATCATCATCGAGGTTCAACATTGTTCACCTGGGAATTTATGAGTTTTCACTGAAAAATTCATCATCTTGTTAAGTTGATTCTTGTTTATCAGGTTATAACTATTAGCTTTTACAAAGGTTAATAGGATCCATGAGAGGATAATTGTTGAACTTGTAAACTGAAAAAAGGTAACAAAAAATAATCAATTAAAACGTTGATCAAAAAAGGTTAATTGCTAGAAGGTAAACTTAAAATATTTTCTGAAGCAAAGCTGCAAAATTTGAAAAATTAACGGCTAATTGAGTTTACTGTAAATGTAAGATTCAAAGGTTATTCTGACAATCGTTTAATCCAATTGTTGATTAATTTTAAGTGATGCAAAGAGATTAATTAGATTTGATCAAACTCGAAAAGGGCAAAAGTCTTTGCCAAGTCAAAATTCAATCTTAAAGATAATGTTGGTTGAATATGCAGGGTGAAGGTAAATAATGAATTGGTGATAAGTCGAGCTTCATTGATTGTCATTGATTAGTTGAAGGTGTCCACCATGGAATCGGTGAATATAATTTGCAATGTGATTGACATGCGAAGAGGCAAATAGTAATGAGACTGTTGATATCACTTATAAATGAAGATCAAATATGAACTCCCAACAGACACGTTTTCATGACTTGTCATGATAAATATCCAGCCATTTGGAGAGGAAAGATGAAAATTGTGAGCTCATCTACTTCAGGATTCACCGAGAGATGTTGGACATTTGCTCAGCATGAAAACTCTTTTGTTTTCAGTATATTGATTGCTCTTCTGTGTCTTTACATTATTTAGGAGATTCAACAAAAAATTGAGTCCACTTTACAAATTTAGTAAAAGATGAGAGGAAAAGGCTCAGACAGATTCCAAAATGTAAACAAGACCAGGAAAAGGGTAAATAGTTGAAGGAATGGTCACTACTGGCTTTTCATATTTGCTCATCATCACCAATCATGATTAAACACCTGAACTATTGAACAGGTTACTGGCTTCTAATGACTTAAATGGCCTAATCTTGAGTCCCAATAGATCAATCCGATCACTTTGACTTTCTCCGGTTAATGATGCTCATGATATAGCTTATCAGGTTTCTATTGATTTAATTTAATTTTGTTTACTTTGTCCAGCATTTAACAAATTGTCTGGTCTTCTGTTTCCTTTTTTTACGAGTGTAAGCATTAAATATTGCCTGATATTGGGAATAAGAAACATTTTTACATTCTGCTTTTATCTTCCATGATGTTCCTTCTCAGTGTTGATTGAAGTTTATTGATTCTGTTTTCAATCCAAGGCTCAACTTGATTGTCAGTGATCCAACACAGGCTAATATATTTAGCAATTACTCCTCTGATTGTACTGATCATAAAGGCCTAGCAAGATGGACTGTTCAACAGTTTGTAACAATGTAATAATTGTCCATAAAAACACATAACTGTAATCACGTTACACCTTAAAATGGATATATTACAATCATATAAAGGTTAATATGCACGATAATAGATTATTAAAGTTGATCAATTGGATTCTTTGAGTCAGTGAACACAATTAATACTGAAATACACATAAATCCATTGCTTTTATTTCACTTTCACATGAAAATGGGTAAAGGCAGTAGCTGAACACTTGTTCAGATTTTAATTGCTTCATTAATTAGATTAAAGTGGTAAAATATTCACCCAATTAGTTTATTACTTTTTTACTTTTCTATTGTAATTTAAATCTTAACATCAACAATTAAATGCAAGAGCACAGAGAAGCCAACAACTTACACAGACTTGGAAAAGCTGTTGTTACTAATAATAAGACACAATTCACACAATTGTCATATTTATGCACAAATTGACACAAACACTGAAAAACAAATGGGTTAAAACGGGCAAAAATGAATTTCTTGCGAGTCTAGATTCTGTTGGTTTGTCAGGACACTAAAACTGAGGCCATTAGTGCGATTTTGAAATTCCTCCGATCTACAGTTCTCGAGAAAATCAGGTTCGAAGTTGAAACTTGCGAAGCTTTTTGTACAATTATGGAAGTAGATTTTTCCATGATACTCATGGAACTGATGTAACTTTTGATAACGAACCAGGAAATGTATTCTTTTTGAGAAATAGAACTTTTCTTTTTCTGTAAAACAGATTAGTTCGATTTTGAGTCAAACCGAACTTTTTCTGTGACCGTAAAAGTTAAAGAGCTGAAACTTAATTTTTGTATAGAAATTGTTGGTCCAGATCATGGATTGAAAAATTTTAACAATTTAACAACAGTTCTCTTGATTTTGGCCCTTGGACTAAAAACTTTTAGCCTCGATATTTCGAGAATGGGATTACCTGGAGTCATCATTCTTTCACCAATTTCTTTCTTCACTAATTAATAATTCAATGCAATCTAATAAATTTCCATTAGCGCATTCAGACTATGATATTTGGGCTGTAAAAGTACGAGCAACAACTTATTCAACAAACTAAACTCATCTCAATGCATATCTTGGCAAATAAACCAATTTTCTGGTTAAGTTTGCAAATGAAACGCAAAGATCACTGCTAAAGACTCGAAAATTTGAGTAAAGAGTTGAGACTTGGTGCGTTTTGTAGGGATATAAAATCTGAATCCATTGGTACTATTAAATACTTCATCCGATGGACAGTTTACTGGAAAATCGAGGTCAAAGTTGAAACTTCGATCGCCTTTTGTGCAATTATGGAAGCTGACTTTTTCATGAAACTCATTTTGCGAATGTAGCTTTTGATGACTAACAAGAAAAAGGTCTCATTTTGAGAAATAACTTTTTCTGTTTCAGTAAAACAGATCAAGTTCAAATTTAAGTTAAACCGACCTCTTTCTGTGACCGTAAGAGTTAGCGAGCAGAAACTTAGTATTTGTGCATGAAAATTGTTGGTTCACATCATGAATTGAATGATTTCAACAAATTAACAACAGTTCTCTTGGTTTTGGCCCTTGGACTAAAAACTTTGAGCCTCAGTAATTTGGGAATGGTATCACCTACAAGCACCATTGTTACACCAAACATTAGATTTTATTATGGGCTACAATATACTAAAATATTAAATCATTCAAGATCCTCCAAAATGCGTTATAGAATTGTATTACTTATGCTGTCAGATTTGAGACTTGATTTATGAAGTTGAATGGTTACTAAACACAAATCTTATGAGTGAGAAGGACATTCGTCATTAATTAAATTAGCTCGAACATTATTTGGTATTCATTCATATTGTATTTTAATCAATGATAAAATCTAATGTTTGATAAAAGAACGATGACTGTAGGGGCCACCATCCTCGAAATATCGAGGCTCAAAGTTCTTAGTCCAAGAGCCAAAATCAAGAGAACTGTTGTTAAATTGTTAAAATTTTTCAATCCATGATCTGGACCAACAATTTCTATACAAAAATTAAGTTTCAGCTCTTTAACCAGCCAAAACCAAGAGAACTGTTGTTAATTTGTTGAAATCATTCAATTCATGATGTGAACCAACAATTTTCATGCACAAATACTAAGTTTCTGCTCGCTAACTCTTACGGTCACAGAAAGAGGTCGGTTTAACTTAAATTTGAACTTGATCTGTTTTACTGAAACAGAAAAAGTTATTTCTCAAAATGAGACCTTTTTCTTGTTAGTCATCAAAAGCTACATTCGCAAAATGAGTTTCATGAAAAAGTCAGCTTCCATAATTGCACAAAAGGCGATCGAAGTTTCAACTTTGACCTCGATTTTCCAGTAAACTGTCCATCGGATGAAGTATTTAATAGTACCAATGGATTCAGATTTTATATCCCTACAAAACGCACCAAGTCTCAACTCTTTACTCAAATTTTCGAGTCTTTAGCAGTGATCTTTGCGTTTCATTTGCAAACTTAACCAGAAAATTGGTTTATTTGCCAAGATATGCATTGAGATGAGTTTAGTTTGTTGAATAAGTTGTTGCTCGTACTTTTACAGCCCAAATATCATAGTCTGAATGCGCTAATGGAAATTTATTAGATTGCATTGAATTATTAATTAGTGAAGAAAGAAATTGGTGAAAGAATGATGACTCCAGGTAATCCCATTCTCGAAATATCGAGGCTAAAAGTTTTTAGTCCAAGGGCCAAAATCAAGAGAACTGTTGTTAAATTGTTAAAATTTTTCAATCCATGATCTGGACCAACAATTTCTATACAAAAATTAAGTTTCAGCTCTTTAACTTTTACGGTCACAGAAAAAGTTCGGTTTGACTCAAAATCGAACTAATCTGTTTTACAGAAAAAGAAAAGTTCTATTTCTCAAAAAGAATACATTTCCTGGTTCGTTATCAAAAGTTACATCAGTTTCATGAGTATCATGGAAATCTACTTCCATAATTGTACAAAAAGCGATCGAAATTTCGATTTGTATCTCGATTTGCTCGAAAAATTTTCATCGAAGCAATTTTTAAATCGCAAGAATGGATTCAGTTTTTATGTTCTCATGAACTATCAGAGTCCTAATTTGAAAGAAACAATTTTTACCCGTTTTTGTTCATTTGTGTCGATTTGTGCATTAATATGATATTTTGTCTTTTTAGCAACAAACCCTAAAAGCTTATGTTTTTAGCGCCAGTATTAGATCAATTAAGCAGAAAGATCAACAAGGGAAAAGTGATCATCACTTGAAATTGGAGTCAAGAGTTTAATGATTACCATTAAACACCCCAAAATATGATAAATTGTTAATTCTATTTTATTCTCACTTTTTCCAGATACTTTACACAATAATTGTCATGATCAGCGCCTTACACTTTGAAGTCGTCAGTCAAACTCCCGGTAAGTGATCTGTAAACGCAATAAAGTTAGATGGACCCAAAAATAAACTTGAAACCAATATCTCTTATTATGTCTTATTAGGTCTCATGGCATTCACTGTAGTTATGATTTTTGTATCTGGATTTTGTGTCGTCTCATCAGTGTTTCTTATAATTGGTTTATGCGTGGTGAGTACAATCAGCTCAATTAATTTACAATCACAATTCCTTGCCAAATCAAATTGCCAAATTTCCAGTCCATCATCAAATTACTTTAAGGTAAACCAGAGTAAACCCAATTGAAGGTGATTTAGTAAATGATTGAAAATAGGTTAACAGTGGAAACCTTACATTCGGTATTTACTCAAAATCATTTGAATTGTTAATCAACAATACTTACTTTTAATACCGTTGATATAAAGTTAATTTAGCTGAAATGATGATCAAAAATGAGTTCACAATCAAAACCATTTTGTCAAACCAACAATTTGTCTCTATATATTGATGTTTAACTGTCAATTTTACAATTTGATTGATTTTTCCTCTCAATGGATTCCCTTTTTATCATTCAAACCTTCACAATTCATTTCCATATAACCTCAGGTAATGAAAGCAATCAAAAGTAAACACAAAATCTTACCTAATTTACATTAACGATAATAATTTCAACTATTAGAGTGAAAATTGAACAACAATTTAATAAATTATGTTTACTCTTAATTGTACAACTTAAATGGATGAGCTTTCCATTAAGGCTTGGTGTTAATCATTGATGACATTTGTGACTTCAAGTGTTGTTGATTGAACATGAAAATGTAATGTTTTTTGTTAATTTAATTTTCGTGTTAATTTGATATTGTACAACAAGCAATCAATTGAAAACAATAATTCATGTTGATATGAATAATGAATAATGATTGAATCAGCCTTAAGATGTAAAAGACTATTTAGTTGCACAATTAACTAGGAAATTCATTTTCATTCATTTCCTCCTCTAATAACAATTGTCATTTATTAAGCTAATATTTGAAGACAATTTAATCAAACTAAGTGATATCATAACAATCAAAATGAATGGTAACTGCAAATGACTTTCACATTGATTGGCATTTTAATAAAATGTGAAAATTTAATGAAAAGTCGTAAATCATTTGCAAACATTTAAAATGACAACAAATGGTAACATGTAAATGTATTTCATGTTTAATTGAAAAACTGATTTGTCCCTCCATAGGAAAGTAAAGCGTTGTTGGCTCCTTGGTTAATTGCAATCATAATTGCTACAGCATTGGACTTTATTTTCACGATATTTTCATTGTTAGACGGAGATCTTGTAAGTGCCATTCATTTGCATTAAACTTGCTTTTCCTAATTTGCTTTCCATTTTTATTGCAGGAAATTGATTCATATTTTGTATTTTTCGCTCTACTTTCAATTTGTACGTGCCTTTTAAATGTAAGTCAATCGCAATGATAATTCCAATGCAATTTGTTTAACTAACTGATTTGTTGATTTACAGATTTACTCAATATTTGTTGTTACATCTCAATATCAGTTATACAGGAAAGATTCAAAGGTATGTTTTGATCATTATTTTGATTCTTGAAAGATTGTTTTAAGGTGAATTGAGGAAAGAAAACAGAAAATGAGAAATTTTTCTGTCTTTGGCTTTTTGGAAACACTTTTTTGTTTAGAAATGGTCTTTTTTCATTTGCTTTTAGAGGCGGATGGAGAGTATATCTACGATTCTCGAGAAAATCGAAGCTCCATCCAAGAGTCAAACGGAGAAAATCGGTCTGGAGAACTCTAATACTTCGTATCAATTGTACAATGATGATGACCATGACGATGGCCACTCCAATAACCCATCCCATGCATCCTTTGTGTCCTCTGAAATACTTGCTGTCTCTTCATGTAAACCAAATTGCTGTGAATCTTGTGAATGTATAACCTCTCAATATCTGAAATAAAAATGTAAAATTATACAATCACTAATTTGTAATCATCAATTCAATGCCGGTTAAAAACGGTAACAAAATAGCAGTTTTCCTGGAAATCTATTACTCCTTGCTTTGTCATCATGGTTTTACAATTGAACTTGTTTATCTCGTTAATTTAGATTATCTTTGGATCATTCTGAATCGTAAATCCATAACTTTTTCAAAACGATATTGAATTGGCACATCAAGTTACATAAAATGAGATAGTTTTAGATGATTATCAAATAGTCATGAGATGATAAAAATTTCAAGGATACAAAAATTCAGGGTTAAAATGGATTAATCACACTTATCACTTTTTTATCATTGAAAAACGCCGATATTTTGGTTCAATCAAAGTCTATTTCATATTTTAACCGAAATCCTAGAATTTAAAATTTCCAATAATTCAAAATGAGTTTCCATTGCTAGGTCTTAGCCCAATATTTAGTTGCTTTTGATTAACTAAATATAGTAAGCGTTTTATGCAGCTTTAACTCCAACAGAAAATAAAAATACAATTTCTTCATAAATTTCATCAAATCTTGAATGGCTTCTGGAAAAATGAATAATTTGTCAATTGTAGCAGATCCTAGAGGACTTCTGGTGAGCTTAGTGAACAAATTTGACTCCGGGTAACATCTCTTGAAATGAAATCAATTTAGGTGAGATACTTTTAGGTTCCATTTGATTCACTTTAACCAAAGGAGTAATTCAACCAAATGATGAGCTGTTTCTATCTAATCTTGTAAAATCAATTTATATCAACTTGCATCACAGATGAATCGATATGTTGGCCTTTGTTTGGTTCCAAGCAGATATAAGTTTCAAAAGTTTAATCTCAACACTTGATAAAAATCTTGTAGATTTATAATATAGATTAAAAACTTTGGACCGAATAAGAAATGTACAGCATCTATATGGACAAAGACATCCAATTAAGGTGATTGTAATGTAATAAATTGCACTTAAAACACAAAAATACAGGAAATGTTGAACATTTTATTTACATTGTATTTATAACTGTAACTCAAAGAGTAAAGAGTTACATCAAAGAGCATAATGTTTTGTTGAACATGATTGGAGTTTTTATTTGGCGCTCAGTTTGAAAGGATATTTTGTAAACAGCTGATCAAATTCTTGCTACTAACGTTGCAATTGCTGTGATCGTTAATTTAATTACATCGTTATCATGTTTTAATTTCTACCTTCAAATATTAATATTCTTCTTTTTATTGATTCAAAGTATCCAAAAAATAGATTGAAATGAAAATGAATGATTTTTCTCTGATCAACAGAAATGAAAGTTATTTTGAATCCTTTGTTACAATTTTTTTATCTTATCAAATATTTATCTCAATAAATTTAAAACTCCCCTATGCTCAATGAATGTGTTAATTAAATTAATGTGGGACCAATTATCAACTCTGCAATAGTGATCAGTATTACATCTGTATTGTTGCGTTTTACTTATTTGTTTATTTCCTGATATAGTTCACCAGCTTGATTGGTTTGGTCATCACAATCATCGGACGAAATGGTTAAACATCTTAATGAACCCGCAAAATTAGCAGTTTGTTGCAACCAAAAATAATTGGATCATATTAGAGTTCAAGTTGAACACAAAGAGATACGTGTGGCAATCAATCAATACTTAAAATTGATCCAGGAATAATAAATTTTCCAGCTGTATATTAATTTTGCTTGTTGCAAAATTGTCATCTCAGTAAACCTTAACAGATCCCCAAATCGCTATTAATCAACCTGATATTAATAATTGATCTCTGATTGTGACTATGTTCAATAATAATCGTGATATTCAGCAAGAAAATATTTCCAAATTCCGGTTCCGATGGATTATTTATCTGTTAACAGGTTTTACACTTTTCACCACAACTGCAGTTTCGTCGAGTTTAAGTTTGACCATTGTGGCCATGATGAAAAATGGTACTCACAATTCATCAACATCAGCCTTAGATTCAATAGACGATTTGCATGTTGATTGGAGCAATGTTGAAAAAGATCGGATGCTTCAAGCAATTTCATGGGGATCTCTTGCCCTGGCTATTATTGGCGGACGAATTGCTGAAACGGTTGGACCTAGAATTGTAAATTTTGTCTCATTGATTTCAATTGGTGTTCTTAATTGCATTTATCCCACTGTGGCTTTAAAGAGTTATGTTGGAGCTTATGCTATAAGAATTGCTCAAGGTTTTTCCATCGGAATAACTGGTCCAGCAAATTATGTCATTTTATCTTATTGGGCTCCTTACTTCGAGAAGACGGCTTCTAATGCCATTGTTAACTCGCTGTGTTTTGCCGCTAATGCAGTTATCAATCCAGTTGTTGGTTTCTTGGTCACTAGTACTTTTCTTGATGGTTGGCCATCAGTTTTTTACATCTTCGGTGGTGTTAATATTGCGTTAGCATTTATTTGGTTGATTGTTGCCCGAAATAAACCTGAAGACCACAGCTGGCTGACTCCATATGAAATTAATGAAATCACTTTGGCACGATCTAAAGGACAAAGTTTCTCGGTGAGAATCCTATGCTCATACATGTGATTATTTTTCTAACAATCAAATATTTCTAGTCGAAATTGCCTTGGTTTTCCATGTTATCTTCAATATCAGTGCTGGCTTACCTTTTCGTTGGTTTCACTCATGGCTGGCTTATAGCTTTTGTCACGACTCAAGTTCCTTCTTTCTACAAAGATGTTTTCAACGTCTCTTTAAAACAGGTAAATCTTTAATCCTAAATTTCTTGCTCATTTTTATCATTTGAACGACTTCATCTGATGCTAATTTTGATGTTATTATTTCTGTAGAATGGAATTATTTCATCGCTGCCTTGGATATTAAATATCATCGTAATTCTGTTTGCCGGTTTCTCTGTTGACAAATTGAGGCAACTGGAAAGATTTAATTTAACAAGACTTCGTAAAGGATACACTTTAGTAGGTGAGAGATGAAAATATTGGTCCATGTCCACATTCGTGATTAATAAGACTAAAATCTTTTCAGGTATCGGAATCTCATCATTAACATTTCTTGGTGTAGCCTTTATTGGTGATAATACTACTGCTGCAGTCGCATTAATTACGCTAACTAAAGGAATTGGTGGTCTAAATATAGCTGGGGCTGGCTCTAACCAGCTTGACTTAAGTCCATCTTTTACTGGAACATTATCTGGACTTCTAGCAACCGTTTCAAGTATATCTCAGTTAGCTATGAATGAAGCAGTTGTTTGGATCGTTGGTAACACTGAATCACAGTCTAATTGGTACATCTTTTTTTATATCACTGCTGGTATTAGTCTACTTGGAGCCATCATTTACTGTCTTTTCGGATCGGCTGAGATTCAAAAATTTGACCCATGTTCATTACATTTATTGGTCCCTCGTTATTCACAGGATTCAAGCGATCAATCTTATGAAATTACCAACGAATATTTTGTAGAAAGTTTTAGCTGATCTAATGGCTGATTCATCTTGATTATTACATTCACACACATTACTCATCATAAAACCATCATTGCTCCTTTAAATGGATGATAAGCATTCTTTTGCTCAAACCAGGTTGATTGCAAAAAATGTTTATTTTATAACAGCTATTGATTTACAGCAAGACGAATGATAAAAATACTTGATGATTTAATGATATTATTTTCAATATCTATGACAATTTGATTTTATCGATAAACTCACAGGTAATTAAACGAAAAATTAATTTATATGACATATTAGATCTAAATTACTGTAAACAAAAAATCTGTTGACAGTCAATTCAAATTACTATACATCACACATATACATTTGTACATTCAGTAACTTGCCAAATAATGTACATTATCCAATATAATAATATCAAGCAATTTTCAGCTTCATTTCTTTAAAATCGTCTTTTCCATTCAGTAAATGAACAACAAAACGACCAATAAATCACAGTGGACACATTTTTTCAGTTGAATTATTTTGATGATAATTTGATGTCTCAATCGGGTATCTCTCCGCAATCCGATCGATGGTGGATAACAATTTAGCCAATCGCTGGGAAAATATTGCCTGTAAAACTGTATGGTTGAATCGAGCCGAGTTTTTACCATCTAAATATGCAAAATTATCAGTTAAAAATCCTGTAAACAACCAGCCAGTTAAAGGAACCAGAATACAAGCTAAACTGACAACAATTATAATTGGAAGGATGTAGGGAAAGGTTGGATCGGTTAAAATCATCTCAATGAATGATGGTTGCTCTTGTTCCTGCATTTCGTTCATCATGTTCATCATTTGATTCTTCATTGCCTCGGTCAGACCAGCTTTACCAGGTTTCTTTTTCATTCCATAGGGCTTTTCATTGCCATAAATTCCTAAATCATAATTATCTTTATCTTTCCAAGGTTTTCCAGAACCTTTACGGTCATATAGTGAGGCACCTAAACGCTGGTTGATTAAAGGTAAGTATTGATACATTGGTAGAGTAAAGCCAGGTTTTAGGACTATCATCTTCAATAGTCAGTTGAAATTGGAGTTATCCAATTTGTATTTTCAATCTTACACTAACTTCACATCATGAGATCACATATTTGAATAAATATCACCGGTGTTATAAGATACACGATAATTTGATGAAGCTCAACAACATAATTTGATAATTTTCCATTGTTAATTGGAGTCCAAAAAACTACACAGACTTATTGTTTAAAGCACAGATGACGCTTGAATCACTTTAAATAAAATTATAAATGGCAAATCATCATTTAACTAATCATATTTCACTGATTAATCTTGTAATACTAAGACAATTTACTCATTCAATGTAATTTCAGTTCAGTTTCAAACAGCTTTGCCAGCAAAAATTGATATTTCAATCTTGCAAAGCAAATAAAACTTTACTTGTGCAGACGAGTAGATATTTTTGTCTTTAGCAAGTTAATCAAACTAGAAACAGTTTTTTTAGTTAATTGTTTTAATCAGATCCACACCTTTTATTGTGAATGTTCAGGAAATGAAAAATTTTACTTTTAATTGTCTTCTTACTTGTTTGACATTCAAAAACTAAAGCAGGGTAATCGAGATTGGATTGTATTCAACTTTAATTCAGCATATTTGGTTTGTTTGGGTTTAAATTTTCCAATGATTCATCTAACATTGTAAATAAGGGTTGTAATTATTCAATCAAAGGGCAATCAATGAATCAAAATTTATTTTTTTTGTAATTAATACATAGACATGCTTAATGAATATTACATGTAAGCTAAAGTGTAGCTTGTATAACAGCTATTTTTGCCAGAATTGAAGTCTCTGTATAACACTGAACATTGGCTCTGAAATCAACAAATATTAGTTTGAAATATCCATTATCTTTCTGATATTACATTTTCAACTCTGTTAGATCTTTTGATTGACTCTTGTGCAAATCTAATAGTTAATTGTTCTCACTAGTCGTTTTAATAAGTGATAAGAGCTTACATGTGTGCCTTATCTTATGCTACAACTTGTACTTGGTAGGTACAATAAAATTTGACTTCAGACTAAAATCACCCTTTGAAGATATGTATTTGAATTAAGTGTCTCTTTCAGTCCTGAAGTAATTGAAATTTTCTTCTGTTACTCAAATCAGTTCAATTTAAAGTGAGATAAATTGGAGCCAAGTTCAAACAAGTTGGTCTATAAGCTTGGTATCCAACTGCAAGTTGTTATAAACAAACTCCTGTCAAGATTGTTCACCTTCTAACTCAATCATGGGAAAGGCCTTAAGAATTGTTCAAACCGTTTCATCTTCCATTACCTTTGCCTATGGTTTGGGAATATTTGGATGGTTCCTATCAAAACATAACATCAACTCTGCAGTTTGGGCCTTATTGCTTGGTTAGTTGTCATCTCTATTGTTTATCTGTTTTAATGTGACTACAGTTATTTTTTCGTTTCATTCAACTTGGTGATTATAATTGTTCACAGTTTATTTATGATTTATTTACAGGTTTATCATCTGGAGCTGTACTTCATCTTAATGTGCTTTTAATTAGGAAAACAATTCTTAATTGGTATGGCAAGAAATCATTTAGGATATTTAAGGCGATTGGAGTTTTACTCAGTATTGCTGCTATTGCTGCTGCTGTTACCTATTACTATCTAGCCATTAGCAAGAAACAAAGTAGGTTGATATTCATTCATGATACCAATTTCAATCTTTAAGAGAATGAATTTTCAGTCTCATAACTATCAATATTGATGAAAAGCTGTTAAAATTAACACTTATTTTTCAATTTCTTACAGAATTTGACTTGTTAACCTTTTACACAAGCGGTACTTTATCCTTGATGACGCTCAAAGGATCATTGGGCTTATTTTTTATTAGTCGCAATCAAATCCGCATTATCGAAGAAGATTCAACAATCAATGGAATTGATACAATAAATACAAATTTCTCCTAATACTTTGATAATTGCTCAGGTAACTGGAAAATCTGAGAAAGTCGATTAGATTGATCAATTATGTTAAATTTTTCTTGTGAATAATTTACAAATGTATCCCAAAGATGTTAAATTTGTTCATAAAAGTTATGGTTTTATTATATTATATTCAATATACAGATGATTTTAACAATTAAAAATCATTTGAATTTTAGATTTAGATTTATTTTCAATCGTTAAATCAGTATTTTCATTAAAAATAACAAAAAGCGAGTCAATTCAAAGATAAAGACAGTCATGCATAATTACGAGTAAATATCATGCAAACAAACTCAACCTTTAGCAGTTATTTTGATAATCTAATCGATATTTGACTCTGAAATCTACAAAAATTAAATGATGGAATTGAATAATTTTTTGGAAATTGTTTCCATCTTTCTTTTAGCTTTGAATATTGGTTGTTAGCCAAGTTGTTTAATTAAAATGATAATACGTTTTGTTATAGTCGAATGATAATCAAAATGTGTTACGCTATTGCATTCATAAAAAATGCGAGAACAATTGAGGTTTGTTTATAATATAATTTATTCAATTGTCAGAATTAAATTAAACACAGAAAGGAATCCAAAAGTAACAGGAAAATTAGAAACAAAGGATATCTAGCCAAATGTTAGCATCAAGTTTTACGCTTCTTTGATGCTATACCACTATCAAACTCGGAAGCTCTCATTTCAACGGGCAGTCCACGTTTAGGATCACGGCACTCTTTATTATAAGGGTTAAGACGACGATACGTTCTAAGTTGGGTTTGTTTATATGTGAAGGCTGCAGCACCAAGATCTTTAGGAGAGTCATGAAGCAGGAAACTCGTAGCTATATGTCCAATGTGAAGCTCTTTGAATGGAAGATTAGTTCTTGTCTCTCTTGGATAAGAAGCATAAGCACGCAAAAAGGCCAGAAAAGCCTTTTTGGCTAAATTTAGTAAACATTCATCTTCGTAAAGAGCTTTCTCCAAGTCTTGTTGTAATTTTGCTGCATATTCTCGAGGATTGCGAGTTCCTAAAAATTTTCCTTCAAGTCGAACCAACAACAGAGTTTTTATTAAATCTTCCAAAGACGTTTCACTGAAATTTATTTGCAACGCATCTTGGAGAAGATTCAAGAATCCTGTTTCTGCAGGAAGTAGAAAAAGAAGAGCATCTCCTTTAGCACCAATTCTAGCAGTTCGTCCAACTCGATGAACAAAGTCGCCAATTTTGGATGGACAACTGTATTGGATGATCCAATCCACTAGAGGCAAGTCTAGTCCACGAGCAGCAACATCAGTGCATAGGAGGATTCCAGCAGGAATTGATTGAAAAGAATTAAAAACTGACATTCGATCTTTTTGTTCCATGTTACCATGAAGTCGAAAGAATTTAACTGGTGTCAGTTGACTTTTTTCTAGCAAAGGTGAGAAGAGTTTAGTGAATATACCATGGTGAAAATCAACAGAGTCTTGAGTTGACATGAAAATCAGTGCTTTCAATTTTCTCTTTGAAATCTGGTCTACTATAAATGAACAAAGAGATATAAGACGTAGTTTTGCAGGCACAACGATATAATGTAAATCCAACTGTGGAGGTAGAGCGTATTTTTCTATGTCATCCTGCGAATCACAGAGATCGATCAATTGTGGGTCGGTAAGAGTCATTCCGGCAAGATCTTGAACACTGCTGGATAATGTTGCAGAGAGTAGAACACATTGTGGCCGCGTTTCACATTCGTCTTTAAGATGATCAATTATTTTGCTAAGTGATTCCTCAAAACCTTGCTCATGTAAGCGATCAGCTTCGTCGATTACAAAATATTGAACTTTATTGAATTTCAAATTTTTCGTAGTTTCCATGTGGTCAATTAAACGTCCAGGTGTTGAAACTAAAATTGTTATGCCTTTACGTATTCGACTTTTCTCCGACTTTTTCTTTTCACCACCCATTAAGCATCCAGGTACCAACCATGTGAATGACTTAAGAGAAATAATAAAAATTATTAATAATTTATTGCCAAATTAGCAAAGATCTATGATCTAACTTACCCTGCAGAGATCAGCAAGAGTATTAAAACATTGAGCTACGAGTTCCCGCGTTGGTACGATTATTAAACAATGTATCCCGTCACTTCTTTGCAATTTGGGTTCTATAGATTGTAGTTTCTGAACAATCGGTACAAGGTATGATAATGTTTTACCTGATCCTGTGGCTGATTTGATTAAACAGTCTTTTCCACTAACTAATGGAGGAATGGCTGATTGTTGCACTCTTGTCATTTCTTCAACGTTCAAACGACTTTTGAGACAAGAAACTAGATGTGGATGAAGATCTTTGAAGTCTGCAAATTTTTTCTTCGAGAAGAGCAATTCTTTAACAGGTTTTACTTTTTTTCTGGTCAAAAAAGAAACAAAAGTTAAAAATCGATATGATTAAAGTAACTCAAAATACTTACAAATTAATGATTGGCGTCTCTGGATTATTCGAAAACAATGAAGGTACAAATGTTTTACCATCCTTAGTAACTTTAAAAACGTTAGATTTTTCGTGTGAATTACCATTGTATTTACGTTTTTGTCCCCGTTCAAAAAAATCATCATCAACGTCGTCATGTTCAGGAACCTTGGCAGGCTTTGTGAATTTCTCACCAGATCTTCCTTTTAAATTCTTTCTCTTTTTCAATTGATTGAACTCCTCGTCCAGCTCATCAAAATCATTGGAAGATTTAGTTTCTTTTTTAATGGGCTTCTCTTCCTTCTTGTCATCCTTTTTCACCTTTTTGGAAGCTTCATTCAAATCAATTCCACTATAGAACTCATCCAGGAGTATTTTGTTTTTCTTGTTTGCAGCTTTAGCGGCATGATCAACTGGAGGAGCAAAATTCAATGCTCGTTTACCTCGCACTTTCTTCTTAACTGTCTGTTGAAGCCTTTTAGGTCCACTTTTAGTTATATTTAATTCAATAGAAGTTGGCAATTCGTCGTCCATCATGTCACTTAAATTAGATAAAATGTGAAATAAAAAACACGTGTGTTTAAAATGAAAAACAAATTCATTTTCAAAACAAAATAGTAGCGTCACCTATAGTTTCTTTTCCTAACAATATGAGCAGCTGATCGTTTAAATCGTAATGATTTACGAATAATAAGGCTTATTGAATAAGCTATTTAACTTATCATTCCGTTTGACTTTAATTTACCCAAATTATTGACTCATCCATTCCAAAACTAATTGTATTAAATTACACTCATTGATAGTTTCGTTAAGCTTAAAACTATTTACATCAACAAGTTTATTGAATATTGATTATTTTTTCTTGGATAAAATCAATTCTCCAATATTCAATAATTACTGTGATTGGCGCTCTTTCTTCAGTCTCGAACTTAATAATCTTTATGAAAAGAAAATAAAGTAAGTAAATTATTTTTAATGTTGAATTTCCATCTTCAAGTGAAATAATGTCAATAAGACATCCATTCATATTAATGTTTGACCTTATTTAGATTATCTTATCTTATGTTATGTAATTTCATTCAATATGGATTCATTTTTTCCCTCATATTTCTTACCATTCTTCCAGTATGGATAAATATTTAATCGATTAAAAACAAGTCCATTCCTGTTGTGTGACTGTCAAGAGCATTTAATATAAAACATTCCGGATTTCTTGGATCTCGTATTAACCACGGAAAATCTCATATAATGGACAAAAAATATTTGCCAGTCGTTTATTTAACAAAGAAAGTTTCTTTCAGTGCTGCTCATCGCTTACATTCAAGTAAATTAGACGAGAATGCTAACCGAACAATTTTTGGAAAGTGCAATAATCCAAATGGTCATGGACACAACTATCGAGTTGAAGTTACTCTTAAAGGACCTGTTGATGCAGAAACAGGAATGCTCATCAATTTAACTTTACTCAAGAAAATTATCGGACAAGTTATTGATACTTTGGATCATAAATTTATCGACCGAGATGTGCCATATTTCAGTGATTACGGAAAAGTGTCAACAGTGGAAAATATTGCAGTTTATCTTTATGATTATATTAAGGAAAATTTACCTCGAGACATACTCTATTCAGTTATCGTTCATGAAACAGATGATAATGTGGTTGAATATCGTGGCGAGAAGAATCATTAATGTCTATTTACAGTATTAATCCTCCGTTGGTGGTAATCTTTTATTGCAACAATTATGAATAATTATTCAACTTTTATCGTGATAACATAAAACTCAATGTTAAAACACACTTTTGTTTTTTTAATGAAATGTCAAGACCATTTATTCGTTATGTTTCAACTCAGTGAAAAATAAATATTGTTTATTGACTACACTAGTGTGGTTGATCCATTTTATCTCATCGTTTCTTTAATCAGAATGAAGTACCGAATCAATCTTTTTTCAATGTTTTGATTTTATGAATTTAAGCTCTTAACTTATAACAATAATGGGAAAACTCCAATTTCTAGGGTTGCTATTAAAAATACACAATTAACACAATTGTCGTATTTATGCACAAATTGACACAAATGAGCAACAACGGTTAAAAATTCAATTTTTTACAAATTGAGACTCTGTTGGTTTGTAGGGACATGAAAACTGAATCCATGAATCCATTTGTGCGATTTAAAAATTTCTCCGCTGAACAGTTTTTGCCCATTTTCGTCAATTTGTGCATAAATGTGATAATTATGTCCCTACAAATCCACAAAGTCTCAAATCTTAATCTAAATACAATCAAATGTAATCAAGTTTTTGACACTATTCCATAGAGTTTAAACAGACGCGCCATACTCTTAAGGAAATGAAAGTCTACTACAAGTTTGTCTACTACTACAGGTTTGATTTTTATGTCGCTACAAACTTACAGAGTCTACATTGGAAAAAGTCATTTTTACCCGTTTTTACCATTTTCTTCTAGTATTTGTGCATAAATGTTACAATTGAGTCTTTTTAGGGCAAACTCAAAAGGCTGGAGTCTTAGATGTTACATTGTTGGTCAATGCTTGAAACAGAAGAATTGGAAATTATTTTTCGAGAAAATGCAGTTCAAACTTAAAACTTCGATCGCCTTTGTGCAATTATGGAAGCAGATTTTTTTACGAAACTTATTTTACCGATTTATCTTTTGATGACCAACGCAAAAATAGTCTTGGAGTATTAAACCTCAGAAAGATAATCTTTCCGCAAATGATCTTTATAATATGTAAATCAATCAACTAGATTTGCATCGATTCCAAATTCAATAATTTTTATCAATTTATTAGAGTAACGTTTGATGCTGCTAATTGTTTGGTTTATGGATCTAATATTTCTTATTCCTATGCTCAATGAACCACCAGAAAACATTTGCAATCATCACGATTTGTTATTATCATAATTTCTAGCATTGTCATTGATAATTACGGGGTCATCTTTGTTGTTTGTTTTGATTAGATTTAAACTGAAGGTTCATCCCAACTCATGGTAAGGTCAGTTTTGTACCTTATCAGCAATTTGGTGTATTTCATTTAAATACAACTCGCTGGCGTCTCACAAGTTGTCAGTTGATGTAAAACTTAGAAACAAACATAAACAGATTGAAAATGTGTTCAATTGTGGTAATATCCATCTTCCTTGTCTTAATTGTGTCGATAAATGGAATACCCATTTCAGGGAACAATCAACTATTAAATGTAAGAAATAACACAGCCACTGTTCACGTATCAAACGGCTCAAATGGTGTACTAACACAAGGTATGTTATTTACCAATTTTTACATGAAAATAAATAACCAGTGAAATTTTCAGCCAATTTTACGATCAATGTTCTTCCAAACTTGAAGTACAATAGAATCGATCTTGGCAGCTGATTGAAGCAAATGCCCAAATGATATTACCTGCAAAGATATTTAAAGAAGGTGAATCTTTAACTGTTTTGGGTTCTTTAATTTTATTTAGGAAATGGTGATTTTTTCTCGCAACTCCTTTCCTTTTTGTTTGGATCTGATATGTCGGATGGCTTGGATATTGGGCTAGATTATGGGACAAGAGATGATTATAATTGGGATACGAGTAGTCAAAGTGAAAAGGGTAGAAATGATTATAACTCCAATTCAGGTTCATCTGGAAACTCTGGTTCGAACAGCAATTTCGGCTCAAATGGAAACTCTGGTTTTAATGGAAACTCCGGATCAAATGGAAATTCTGGTTCAAGTGGAAACTCTGGCTATATGACACAACAGGAATGGGCTCAATACATGCAATTGATCCAAGCATTATCTCAGGAAGGTGGAGATGGTGGTGGTGGTGGTGGTGGCTTTGGTGATGCTGGGCAATTAATCAACACTGCAATGGGTATGTTGGGAGGATTTTGATTGATCCTAATGAAGATCTCGAGTTAAACTGCCACATGAAACAGAAACTTCAAAATGATTTTTTATTAATGTTCTTTTTTTTGTACACAATCTATTCAATATCAATAAATGGAATGATATATTTCTTTTACAATTGATTGTCTTTTTGATTTTTATATGAATGAAGATCACCAGTGTTTGGTGTCTTGCTTTAGGCTGTTTTTTTATTAGCATCCAATAATATATAATTATTCAATACAATTCTTGAATCCGTTGGAACAGTATTTTTAAGATTATCATTATTGATTTATTGCTCATTATCATAATACATGTACATTAATCATCTCAAATGTTTTCCCTCTTAGGCCAGAGATAGACAATTGTTTGTTTCAAAAAGTTGAACTGAATACGTGAAACAGGTGAAGTTGAGCAAGATAAATTAAACTAAATTATTATCAAGTTTTCACGGCAAGTCACATTTACTTGTTACATGTTAAAATGAAGAGGTTTCTAATGCTCATAAAGACCTCACTTCAGATGATCTAAATTCATCTAACTGCTGAAAATGGTCAAGTTTTATCAAATTGTAGCTTTATACATTTTTATTATGTTTTCCAGTCTATAATTTATGAATATCATGCCATTTCGATTCATGTTATTGGTATTCCTTTGCAAGTTTTTTTATGAATATTTATACTCTTTCCAAGTTTGGTTACAGTGAAATAAATATAATTTTACTACAAAAATAACGGACTTGCAAGATGGATTTTGGACAACAACAAAGACTTTGTGAATGTTACCAAAGAAAATCAACAAAATTTCGAGTTTACGTGGAATCGTTCAATGTTACAAGGGTTACAAGTTTAAGAGTAATCAAAACTCGGAAAGCTTTCAGATGAGGTAAGGGTGTAAACACGTCTAGATTGATCATTTCCCATGATGGTATTAATCAAAGAGTAAAGAAGAAGAGATAGCTCTCCATAGGATTCAATGAGAAGTTTAGTTAGCGGTCCTCAACGAGAGGCGCTCAAATCAGTCACTTTTTCAATCTCTTTCAATTTAATTTCAATCTTATTTTTTTATCTAATCTATTAAAAATACCTTTAAAGCGCCCTCGCCAGAGCCACTTTGTAAGCTTCACAAAATTGTATTGAGAGAAACCTCTTCTCCTTTACTCTTTGGTATTAATAATGAAGTTTTTTCGCATATACGTTGCATGAGTCTCTAACAGTTTTAATCCATAATCCTTCAGAGGTTTTATCCCACTTTTACTTGTTGTTAACTGATGGTAATTAGTCTAGTATTGTCTAATTTAGTCTATGGTAGCATTTTTGTTGTAAATCCATTCAGCTGACCTAAAGATGTGGACGAGAACAAAACATCAATTTAATACTCGTATTGTCGATGTTTGCATAAAATGGCAAGAAACCAGACAATATTCAAGGTTTGGGTTTTTTTCAGTTTGATTTGATTCAATTTTTTAAAAATAGATAAAGCATAAAATTGAATTAAATTGAAGATTGAAATATATGTTTGATAGGAACGAGATTATAATAAATGCTTACCGAAATGACTTTACAGATTCTGAACTTCATAATGTGGAGTTTCTTTAATTCCCATTGCCATCATCAACAATAGGTTTTGTTTATTTATCCCGGATCTACCTTGAGTGAATTTCTCATTGCCAGCTGTTATCAATCATCATCCAAGTTCGTCAATTAATTACAATCAATTACCCGTAAAAAGACACGCCGCATATGCCGCCAAGATGCATGGATTAAGTTGCTTAATACCCAAAGGTTGCTTATTAGCGTGACTCCAGAAAGCGAAAGTAGCCATTGAACCAACTAATAGATCACCTCGACCTCCACATCTACGACTAGATCTACGGCAAAACAATTAACTCTGGTGAATATCGTTGAAGTGGAATAGCAGCATCGGAAGGACAAAAAACATAAACTAAATCAGCTCCTATCTTGAGACTTGAAATAGACGCGTAGTAAGGTGCACCAGTGAACTCTTTGCATCCTCCAATAACACCAATCCGTCCTGCCTGACCTTTATGACTGTGATCAGACTTCCAAGGTCTTTGGGATGATGATATGAATAGTTTGGCATTGGATATCCAACATGGTGATAAGGTGATAAAGCTCCCATGTATTTCCTCATTGGCCCATCGCCTCCACCGTAACCAGCAAATCCAATGCCGTGAGTTGAACTTAAATAATGTATTGGAATCTTTTTATAAACAAACGGTTCAGGGTCTAAACTAGGACTATTGGCAGGGAATCCCGAACCATAATAGTCACAGTAAACAAATGCCACAAAATAGCCAATGAAAATAAATAGTACCTGTGGTTGAGATAGATAATAATAAGGAGTAAACATTAAAATATTCATAAGAACTTCTTGATCTTGGTTCTTTATTGAAAACAACCAAAATTTTTACTTAAATTACTTAAATCATACTAACCACAATCTTCATTTTAACTACTGGCTTTTAATTCAACATCAGTGAAACTGATTTGACTAATTGACATAGTTCGTAAATAAAAGAGCCCAATTTAGACTGATCACAATACATTTTAATCACTCACAGAATGGTTTTCCCATTATCATATCTAATAATACTCAACTTCCTCTTTGAATTTGATAGATTGCATGAAAAAAGCTTCCTTTACTCTTTGATTACAATAATTGTGAATAATTCATATTTTTTTGTATTACAATTTGATGAGAAAAAAATTTGAAAATAATTGCAAACAGTCTTATAACGCCATCTCTGTTTTTTTCATGGGACCAGAGAAACCAGCAGCTGTTTACTCGGTTTGTTTGGTTATGTCAAACGTGTACTTGGCGTAACAAATAATCTGTAATAAACAATCATGTTCCATATTTATTCCAAATCAATTCATTCTTGTTCGTGTATTTTTTGACACTTGGTGTATTATTTTTTACCCTACCTTTTTCAAAAGTATTTCCCTGATTATGGTGAATTCTAACAGTCAACGTCCCAGTGGCCAAAAGGCAATTCCTTCTAGATCTTTTAATCCAAACACTTATATTTGTTTTATATCTGTTTTATTTGTTTTACTCGGATCTTATTACATAAAATGGATGAAAGATCAGGAAAAGGTCGAACCTCCCTTACCACAGAAGCCTGTGACGCTCAATACAAGTAAAAATACTTTTCTTGAATCATTAAAAAATGAAGTAGTTCCATTAGATGACAACTCAAAGAAAGTTACTGTCAAGGATATTGATTTATTCAATAATGTCCATCTATGGCCTCGTCTCCATTCCATTTCTCAAATGGATTATTTCCGTTACATCAAACTCAATCTCAATCGAACATGTACTTTATGGTCTGATGATACAAGATGCTCAATGAGGGACTGTACCATTAAATTTTGCGAGGCCTCATCACTACCTCCAGAATTAATTGCAGATGAAGAAGAGAATTGTAAAGCCACCCAGAAGTTATCTAAAATTGACGAAACTGTATCATCGGCTCATATAGAAACCATGGATCACTTGTTTGAATGTTATGAACGAGACCAAGAGGAAGGTCAATATATTGACTTGTTATTGAACCCAGAAAGATTCACGGGATATAAAGGCGAATCAGCTCATCGAATATGGAGATCCATTTATGAGGAAAATTGTTTCCTCAAAAGTCATCGTCATAAAACTCCTTTCTCCGTAGATAAGATGTGTTACGAGGAGCGTATTTTTTACCGTGCTATTTCAGGTCTCCATTCATCTATAAATCTTCATCTATGTTCTGCATATTTGTTCATGGATGGAACTTTTACCTACAACCTGCAAGAATTTAATAAGAGATTTGCCGGTCATGAAGATTATATTAAAAATTTATACTTCCTTTATCTTCTAGAATTGCGAGCTCTAGATAAAATTGACAAATATTTATTAACTAAAGTCAACTGGTTGTCCAGTGGAGATCAGAATGCGACTCGTGAAGCCATCAAGAATCTCCTTGTAACTGTCCGATCATTCAAGTGGCATTTCAATGAATCGGCCATGTTTTCCCATGAACCAGCAGTTGCTCAAGAGTTTGCTCTTCATTTTCATAACATAACAACCAACATCATGGACTGTGTTGGATGCGATAAGTGCAAATTATGGGGAAAAGTTCAAATCCACGGACTAGGTACAGCATTCAAGATACTTATAAATCAAAATGTAGATCGGATTCATTTACATCGTCATGAAATTATTACACTTATTAACGCTTTAACTAGACACTCAACGAGTATCAAAAATCTAGAAAATTTCAATAAGCTTCTTAAAAGTCAAAAATTGTTAAATTTTTCCTGAAAATTTTATTGCACATCTATTTGTTACAATCTAATACCAATTTCTCACCTTAGCTGCAAAAATTTGTTTAATTGCTTGTAACTAAGTTATAAATTATGAATTATTTTACATATAATTATTAAAAGATAAGTTATACTTTGCAATCACCTCAATTATATTAAAAATTGGTCTTTCACACTTTTATTTTTCTCACAAAATGTAGACAAATAAGAAAAAAAATCTATTTCTTAGCAACAAATTCATCGATTTTTCAATCAATGAGCATTATTTGTGATTCAGGGAGTCATTAAAATCACGAAAAAAACTGAACCTTATTTTAAAAATATAAATTGAATACAAATTGAGAAGTGAAAAGTAATTCAATACAAAATTAAATAATGCATTGGATTGGTGAGAGAATTGATGATTTAAATGAGTGAAAATCTCTTTCCCTCAATATTTCACAAAATTTCATCATGACTTCTTTATCAACTAGAGACTAACATACAATATTTACATGTAATATGAAACTCATAATCATCTAAAATGTCTTATTAGAGAGCAATTATGTTTTGTCGACAATCAAGTAATTATTGGTGATCTTTTACAGCTTTAAATAAGGCTTGGTAACTGTCATAGCAAGTTAACATTAGAGAGCAGATTTACATAATTTATAAATTGAGTGCTAAGATTATTTCTATGATTAAACGCAACTCCTGTGGTAAATCCTTGAAGATTGCTCGAATGGCTCATGATATGCTCGGTGGGAACGGTGGGAACGGTATCTCTGATGAGTATCATGTAATGCGCCATGTAAACAATTTAATACCAATGAAGGAACGCATGACATTCTTGCTTTGATAATAGCGAAAGCTATCATAGGAATACAGCTTTCTTTTGAATGAATTTTAATTGGCGACTAATTTGGGAAGATTCAAATTCGTTATATTTTTTCCCTTCCGATCGATTCTTATTTTTATATATTTTAGTTGAATAAAACATTACTTGAAACGAATAAAGTTCATGCATTGATAGCTAACATTTAAGCTAACTCTGATGAACTGTTGAAAAGATTATCACTGATCACAGTAATCAATTGACTAGAAATATTTGTATCGAAATCTTGGTCTCGATTGAATGAAATAATTCTGATTTAAGATCCATTAACAAAAAAATGCAAACCCTTTATCACTCTTTTCTAAAAAAACTTGTACTATTTAATTCCGTTTGATAAGTTACCCTCTGAATCAGGTAAGGTTGAAGAAACATGATTTCAAAGATTGACAAAAAATTATCTAACATTTAATAAATGATGATCTATTTTTGGAAAAAGATAATCGCATCTGAGAATTATTTACACATTTTGAATATGATCATGACTTTTTACGACTTGATAAGTTATTAAGAGAAGTTGTTTCTCAGGATGATAGCATGGATTCTCTGGCTTGATAAAGCAGAATGTAACAAGATTCACTACTTTTCTGGGTATCACTCGTTATTCCATAGAAATCTTCAATTGAGGAAACATCCATTTTTTCAACCATTTCATCATCGAAGAGTAACCAAAAGCCGAATGATTTGACTATAGTTATATAATGACCTCTGTTAGGACCGGGACCACAATGTATAACAACTGCAACCAGATCATAAAGCTTATCATCACCGCCTTTATTGGATGCTTTATTAAACAGCCTTAACTCTAATGGAAATACGACACGATAGGAAATTTTGGTATGCCTATTCTGTGATTCCATATATTTAAATCTTTTAAGATGAAGTGCCAATATCATAGGTAATTTTTTGATTCTCATACGCTTTTGAGCCTCCTGTTTGGAACAACAATTTTCACAATAATATTTATGCTCCGAAGATAGTGTTTCTGTATTACTGAAAACTCGTAAACAATGCGTTATAGAAGTATTTTGCTGAATTTCAACACTTAAGTCTAAAAAATCTTCATCTTTAGATGATAAGGATTCACAATTTAGACAACGAGTCTCATTGGTCAATGTTCCTTGGAAAATATCCTGGATCCAAGTTCGATTGCTGTCTGAATTGTTTTTACCATTATTATCGGTGGGTCCAGTTTGATTACCAGATTTTTCAGCAGCCAATAAATCTGCAATAGTATTTAACAGGTAATTGAAAAATTCATGGGCATCTTGTTGTAAAAAATTATCAAAAACAACGTTTTCTTTCTTCAGACGAGCAATAAACTTTTTCGGGGCAACGGTTCCAGTCTTCTTTTTCTGTGTAGCGATGTGATGATATAAATCAGCTAAACATGTTAACAAGGTTTCCTTATTTTGAGATACTCTTTTATTTTTGGCTTTATATTCCAACACTTTTTGCCGGAAAGGGCGACAAAAATACAGCGCTTGAAGAACACTATTACAATAACAAGAATTACCAAAGTTGACAAGTCCAAAGTAATGTTCATTAACAGTTAATGATTCACAATTCAATTCCTTCTCCAGTTGAGATATATTACCTCCCATGATAAAGCGAGGTTACCAAGCTAAGCATAAGCTAGGAGAGAGTAGAGTAAAAAAGTGAAAAACAAATAGGTTTTACAATCAATCCAATGGTGATTCATACACCCAGAGTAACCATTCATTCAAAAGAATGATCAACAGGTAATTTTAATTTAAGAATTACACCATAATTAATAAAACACAGGGACATTTGTTAAGAAAATAATCAATTAACTCAGACTAGAGCGCAGATGAATAATTCGTAATTACATGTACCCTCTTTAGGGAGAGTCAATTTCTGTTTTCTTTTTTGAGGCGCTACTTTCAAATATATTCAATAGGCTATGTGAAAAAGTATTACAATTGATTGTATTCAATCGAATCTATTTGTTATTTGATTAATTAAAATATCTATAAACAAAAAACAATAGATGTTGGTAATAATATGATAATAAAAAGATTCAATCAGCTCATTTGCACGCTATTAACCCTTGATGTTACAATTTTCAAAATAAAAATGCTTCCATCTTTTCACTTTTCAAATTTTCATGATCATTTCATAATTTGAAAACAACTAATTGTGAGATTTTAAATATTTATTATCTGTTTGATAAAAGATTTTGTTATGCTAGAATTAACAAGCTTATTTTAACATGAATAAGGCTACATGGATTGAATTTCTGGCAAGAAAAAAAGATTTTCTTCAAGTCATGACATATATCATTTACAAATATATTTTAAATTGATTATTAGCAATTAATACGTGTTTATATAAGATGAATCTTGAATAAAAAGGCGTTGAGTTAGTTAAATCACTGAATATTTCTTATAGTAAATTTAGTAAGAGTAGTTCAGTGTTGAGATTGTGAACAAGTCCGAAGGCAGTCAAGGAAAGATCGACACAGATCAAATTTATTAAAAGTCGTAATGCATTGAAAGAGTAGAATAGGGCGATCAAGCTTATTAATAGTAATTGCAAATTAAACTCAAAAGGTTTAATAATCTCAAAGTTTCCTTATTTAACTCGTATCCGAGAAATTTTCTTTGATTTCCTTTCGTCATTTCGTGAAGGGACAGCAGTTGAAGACATTCCTTGGGTTCGACTATACAGAAATTTGTAAGCCTCTTGACGGATGAAATCCATTACATGAGAGACTCCAATCTGAAGTTGATCAGCAATTTGTGGTATCCATGGGTTTCCCTCCATTCGACAGACACTTCGGTTGGAACAGAGATCAAGATTTCCTAATTCCGGAGGTAAAGCACTGAAAATAAAGAAATAAATTATTAGTAAAAGTCATGTTTTGAATACAGTATTAGTCAGAGTTAAGTTAACAAAAAAGGACCAGACTTTAGTTTATTTTCAGGTTTCTGTCTAGGCGGTTTTGTTAACTAACTCTGACTACAACTGTAGTGTTAAAAATAATATGTAAAGCCAATAATTACCTTAGACGATTGTTTTGAATGTGTAACTCTCTTATTCGAGTAAGTTGGCCGATTTCACGGGGTAAAGTGAGTAAATCATTATCCCGAAGACATAACTGAAATTGATGAAAAAATGATTGAAATTAATTTGATTGTGTATTGAGAGGATAAACAATGAAACTTACAATCAGAAGATTTTTAAGTTGGCCGATTTCAGAAGGCAAATATTCAAAATCATTGTCTCCTAAATACAACGCTCTTAATGTTTCTGTTGAAAATAGATGAGCGATTGGAAATTAAACAAGAATTGAAATTAATAAACCCAGAAAAATTGGGAAAAGATGGAAATCATAATAAATCAATGAATGCCGGTGAGTAGCCATCAAAAATCAGACTAATGTCCTCATAGCTAATAAATTGTATTCATACCCAAGGTGTAGAAATTGTTTGGAAAACATTTAGCATCGAGATTGTTGTAAGTAAGATCCAATACTTCCAACACTGGAAATTCACCAAAATCTCTAGGAAGATTATACAAACGGTTCATGCTGTATAATAAAAGAAATTATCAGAAACGTTAGGTTTTCCATGTTAATGTTATTTGCTTTAGGCAAATTTGATTTATGAAAGCAATCAAACTGATTGTCAAAACATATTCTAAAGCAATTGTGATTTACTTTGCTTTTATTGCTATGTAACCCAAGACGGTTGAATAAAATCAATTTAAGGCAACAAAACAATAAACAAACGACAAGCAAAATAATTATTGAAATCAAGCCAGAAAGTGTGATGGAAGCAAAAATAAACCCAAAATACTAATACAGACATCATAAAGGCAGTGAGAAATTCAATCAATAACAGTATCAATAGAAGTTTTGTTATGTGGACAGTTAACGAATGAAATACGGCTAATTGTTGACAGTCGAGTGTTTGAATGAAACTCTTGAAAAGCCATTAATTTGTGATTGAGTTAGCAAATTATCAACAAAACATGGAGACTAGATTTTTAAATGTAAACATTTGGGTGATCCTAAATTTGAATGTAGGAGTAACAAGACTCAAGACTATTGGAAAGCTGGAAATGCTGTAAAGACATTAAATATGGCATAAATCATGATAAAGGATGAGAATGATAATGTGAGGATAAATTTGAAGAAAGGCAACAAGTTTTATAGTAAAGACTGAGAAAGGCCAAGAAGAGATGAAAAATAAGATGAATTAGGTGTATAAGTTTTACATTATTATATGGCCTTGACTATTCTGGACGGATTCCAAAATGAATATGATTAAGGACAAGATGTGATGAACTGGATGAGAATAGATGAAAAAGAAGGAAAAAAGAGTCAAAAATCAGATCAACAAGAATAAGAGTAAACTAAAAGAGGCCAAATTTTGACAGTTTGCTCGGGAAAAATTGACGAATAATAAATTAGATTAATAGACATAGAAACTGAGTCTCTAAATGATATAAACTATAATTGACATAGGAATTGATAGTGGTTAGTTTAACAGCATGATATGCTTGATGTTTGATGGACACACGTTGAACGGAAGTGTAGCTAAACTGGTAATGGATTGAAAAGTCGAAATTAGCGGAGGCTGACCCAGAATTTTCATCTTACATAAATAGTTGCCACCTTCATAAAATAGCTGCTTGTTAAGGTTCGGGTTATCACTTTTGTTCGTGGTTACAATTCACTGTTGGCGGAATTTGTTGATTGTGTGAGGTTGATGATGAAAGGGAGCTGATATGATGGTGAGATGAAAGAAAAGGAAAACAGAAGATATTTAGATGACTCATTAAGAAGAGAAGAGGATGAATAAAAGGTTTCTTTCAAGGCGTAACTTGATATACAGTCAAGATGTTTACTACAGGGTTAGCATCAGGGTACTGTAGGAAAGTTACTTTTCATATCTTTGTAGTCTCGTTACCAATCTTAACCAAATTTTCTGCGCACATTTCGAGTACCCTCTTCTTCCAACTTATGTTTATAAATTACTTTTTTGAAAAATTTTTGTAATTAGCTAGCAATCGACGAAATACCGAATTTCGTTTAATTGAAATTGCTAGAAAAATAACTTGATATGATGCACAATTATTGATGAATATTGTAGTGATTTTCATCTGAGAGATGAGCTTAGCCCAAAAACTGTGTAGAGAGCAGCACAAGACGAGATTTTCAAATTTTCATTTTTCGGTGAGTTATAAGATTTTGATCAAAGACTCACAGAAGTCAGCAATAGAGAAACTGGACTTTTAAAGTACTTCCACTATAAACTCCATCATATTACGATCATTTTGATGGGTGGATGGATTATGTACACCCTCGTTGAGAAAAGTTATGAAAAAAAACTTTTCTGCATTACCCAGTTGCTAACCCGGTATGAGAGCTTTATATCCAGAACCAACTGAGAGACAAATTGATTGGTGAAAATTTCACCATTTAAGAGAAAATTATTTTTAAATATTGACCAATATTAGAGTGAAAAATCGATCTGGCATTGAACGGAAATAACTGCAAGTTTCAAACGAGATTTTCAAATGAAAAGAGTCAATAGTTGGACAATCCAAAGATGGTATTGACACAATTTCAAGTTTGCTTTGTCTTTTTGGTTAAGGTTTGTTGCCTTGTAAACATGCTTTTCGTTCAGGAGATTAATAGGAGACTTTTTTACCCACCCAACATTCAGAATTTTCAATTTAGGCAGTGATACTATGGCGGAGGGTAATTCTTCAATTTGATTATTAAACAAATTTAACGATTCCAGGTTGGTCATGTTTGAAATGGACGGAGGAATGGCTCGAATTTTGTTGTGACTCAAGGTTAACCTGGTAATGTTGTTGAGATAAACTGAGAATAGAGAAGAAGAAATGAAATAAAGATTGGATAAGTAAATTGTTTGGTAAGATTTTCTTGATGAAAAAGAGTGGTTTTTTAAGGAACCAACAATTTCATCGATAAATGAACCCAAATAAGGTAATGTGCGTAAAAAGTTGAAAACAAGTCCGCCTATTTAAACAAATGAAATTAAGGAATATCAAACACAAACTTTATGCTGATTTTTAGCGAAAAAATTATGCTCCAATGAAAGCTATTAGTATTATAATTAAACAACTAAAATTGAAGAACATGGAAATAATCTAATCTATGGAAGAATTTCGAAAAATATTTCTTACACACTAAATAGGACCATTAAGTTTCCAAGTTCTGAATTTATCCGAATTGTCTGACTTGATTAGAAGATGGATTTCCCAAGTTGGGCTACCAATTCAACTGTTGTAGCTAACCTTTTATAACCTCGATTCAAATTAGCTTCATCTTGCTCTCGTCTTGAATAATAAGCCCTATTTCAAGAACTAGATGTTAAACAAAATTCAGAGTTTCTTCGATAAACTATTTAATGCTAGTATAACTCACTTGGAACTAATAAAATCACTTTGATCAAGTCAAATTTATTTGAAAGGATAAAATAATCACAAATGTTACAAACTAACTGATGACTTTCAATCCAACGTGAAAAGAAATAGTTAACATATGTACTCACATATTCTTGGTAGTTCCTCCAAACTGTTAATCCCTCTATCACTGAGATTCGCTTCGTTTTCATTTTCATCTAAAATCTTGTGTTTAGCAGTTGATTTAGGGCTACAACCATTATTGCTGGGCAAACACGATTTAGATAAAGTCATCATTGCACCACAGTTTTGAAAATCCTTAAAAGTAACCAAGAAACACAAAAATATACAGGCTTAAAAACCAGGAGATATTTTTAATAGAAATATGTAACAAATTAAAATACGTTAACAGAATATTCTTAATGAAAAGATTGATTGATTGAACTAAACCAAAATAAATAATTAGATTTAAATGTTTTGTGTCAAACTCTTCATTTCAATGAGATTCTCAAATGAGCAATTTTACTGAATCTTGATATTTGTACTTGTATTCGGATCTTAAACATATCTGATCCTCATTTGATTCACAGTTTTACTCTCCGCAATAAATTCCGCAAGTTGCTGTAGAAAGAGTGGAGTAAAATGAAAAAATTAATAAGAAATTAGATTAATTAAGTTTTCAAAGTGATTGAAAAATGAAGGTAGATAATTTATTGGTCATAATTAGTTGCATTTGACCGCAAGTATTGAAAAAAACTGTCCCTGTTCGTGCAATTTGGGTTATCTTCTAGCTGTTGTCTATTCATTTCTCTGTTTTGTTGTTAGTTTCTTCTTTACAATTGGTTTAATTGTGTCTATTGGCCTCCAGTTTTGCTTTTATCCGGGTTAATTTTGCCAGTGATATAAGGTAAGTCGTTTTATTATGCCTATTTTGAAATCTATCAAAATCAGTGTCTGATTTTATTTTATTTTATATTTGACATAGGTTTACAACATCAACTATTCATCAAGTTTGTTTATGCTCATAGTTTTTGTGATTCGTTCAGGCCGAGATTTAACTATTCGTCATCATGCAAATGTCAATTATTAATGTTAAACTGAATTCTAAACAATGGTTGAAAGCGTTCACAACATGTCGAAGGTTCTTCTCCGATGATTACAACTATTTGGAAAAAAGTAGTTTAGCAACTAATTTTTTTGAAAAATCACTTCCATCTCTTCCTATACCGAAATTGGAGGAAACTTGTCAACGTTATCTTGAAGCACTTGAACCGTTGATTGAAGAAAAAGATAAATATGAATCGACGGTCAAATTGGTAAATACATTCAAAACTGGAATTGGTCAAACTTTACACAAAGAATTAGTTCACAATGATAAACTAAACCGACATACAAGTTACATATCAGGTTAGTATTTCATTAAAATGTTGAAAAATGAAAAATCTTAACTTAATTTTATTCTTTCATCTTTTTCATTCAAGAACCCTGGTTCGATATGTATCTGTCAGCACGAACTCCTTTACCAATCAATTATAATCCATTTATGGCATGGAAACCCGATCCAACTGATGAGCAAAATGATCCCTTAATCAGAGCATCTAATATGATAATAAGTGCACTTAGATTTAGACGTTCGTTGACCGAAAATGTTTTAGCACCAGAAATTTATCACATGAATCCTAAAAAAAGTGATACTGATTGGTACCGTAAAGTGATGAAAATGTCTCCTTCACGATATTCATGGTATGCATCGTTACTTTTCAAAGCATTCCCTTTAGACATGAGTCAGTATCAAAGTTTGTTCGCCTCAACAAGGATTCCTTGTAAAACTAAAGACAGACTTCAGAAATATCCTGATTCAAAGCACATTGTTTTGTTGAAAAAAGGTTGTTATTACACTTTTCAAGTTTTAGATGATTCCGGAAATCTGAAAAGTCCAGAGGAAATTTATTCTGCTATAAACTATGTTTGGAACGTGCCTGATGATTATGATAAACATAGCATTGGAATATTAACAACTTTGGAACGTGATAGATGGGCTGGTTGCAGAGAAATGATCAATAAGAATCCTGTTGATGCTGAAAATCTGAATCTGATCGATTCAGCGCTATTCGTTGTTTGCTTAGATGATGATATTAATACGATGAATGATAAAGATCCTCTAATTGAAGCATCTCACAATTTTCTCCATGGTAATGCTAGAAGCTCTGTTGAACGTAGACCAATTAATAGATGGTTTGATAAATCATTTTCATTAATATTCACTCAAGATAAACAATGCTCAATCAATTTTGAGCACAGTTGGGGCGATGGTGTTGCTGTTTTACGTTTATTTAATGATGTCTACACTGATTCATCTAAAAATAAATTTGTTAATCCTTCAACAAAACTTCAACCTAACGTCCAGAGTCAAGTAAAAAAGCTGAATTTCGTTTTAGATAATCATATAAAATCAGAAATCGATGCTGCTCGTGATACTTATAATTCAATAACATCAAATCTTGATCTAAATTATTGTATTTACTCTCGTATGAGTCGCAATTACTTCAAAAAGAACAAGCTAAGTCCAGACTCAATGTTCCAGTTGGCCTTTCAAATGGCTTACTATAAAATATCTGATGGAAAGACTCCAACAACATATGAAGCTGCCTCAACTGCCGGTTTTAAACATGGTAATTATTATAATTTTATAAATAATTTAAAAGGTTCTTTGATATTTATCACTAATCTTCCCTTAACTTTTGTTTATTGCAGGTCGGACTGAGACAGTTCGTTCAGCCACTAATCAAACCAAGAAAGCTTGTAAATTAATCCATTCCTCGACTACTAAACATTCAAATGATGAACTTATCCAAGCGCTGACCGATTGCTCTAAAAAACACTCCGAGCTCAACAAAAATGCTGCTATGGGAAAAGGTTTCGATCGTCATTTATTCGCTCTCAAATATTTAGCCAATAAAAACAAAATATCAACTCCAGAAATATTCACCGATCAAAATTATATTCACGCTAATCATTTCACTTTATCGACATCATCATTATATGGTGAATATTTCGTTGGTGGAGGATTTGGTCCAGTTGTTGATGACGGCTATGGTTTAGGCTACGGTTATACTAATCAAAATTTAGGAGTTTTTTGCTCTTCATACAAAGCTCACAGTAAAGGTGCTCAATTAGTTGAAGCTATAGTCGCTTCATTAGATCAAATTGGTGATATTTTGGAAAAATAATGGTAACAGAAATTTTTTAAGCTCGAAAAGCTGTATATTAAAAACTATTATATTTTTAACCTTACCCGAAGTTATCCAATCAATTTTTTCATGTCAATAAAGTCTGGAAGATTTCGTGTAGTTAGACTATTGGTACAGTGAGTATTACTGAGAAATCAAATGATTTAGGTAAAGTCATCATTATATGATGATTTTAAAATCTTTAAAAGGTTCTAAAATATTGATCAACATGTTAATTTAACAATTTTTTGACATTTCAATTCTAAATATCAATAGTATTGAAATTGATATCGATAAATGTTGTTGAAAATATCGATAAACATGTGAGTGAATGATGTTTAATCTAAAGTTTAGATTCTAAACACTATAATTATTAAATTGTTCAACGCTAATATTAAATCTTTCGTATTCTAATTGATTGTTTCAATTTAATTCAATCATGCCAACTTACGAGATTTTGTTTACTGTCAGAAGATTAGCGAAGGTGAGTTTACTATCTTTAGTTTACAATCGTTTTATTTTTCTATTTTATAACCTTTCTATTTTTGTGTTTAGCCTGATTTGGTTTCATGTTTAAAACGTGTTGGTGAAGTATTGTTAGATAATCATGGAATTTTAAGAAAAATTGAATATTTGGGAACAAAGAAATTTCCCTATAAAATGCCGAAAGCTGGTTCAAAAACTCCTGGTCTTCATTCATCTGGAAGGTAAACAAACGAGCTTACAATCCGTTATCCTTTTCAATTCATAGTGCCTTTCAATTGATTCGTCTTACTAATTTAACTTTTTTCTTTTTAAATTTAGTTATTTCCTTTTCCATTGTGACTTACCTTATTCATCTAATCTAATGATCTCTAATACTCTCAAACTGGATCATGATTTAATACGAGTTTCTTTGCACTCTAAAAACACTGCTTTACCCGAGGATTATGAATGCACTTTGGCAGAGGAAATGTTACCACCTTCATACCGAAAAAGTGTTCAAAATTTGATTAAGGAAGGACGTAAAAAGAGAGATACAAAAGATTTAGGTCCAGATGCTGAAAAATGGTAATCTCTACTATGAAGCTTTTATTTGTCAAATAGTTAAAAATTAATTCTTTTGTAATATAAAGAACGTATGTAATGTAGTTGACACGATTTAATGTAATGAGCTAACTGCTCGAATAAAGTTCCCAATCATTGAAAATCGTCAAACCGTAAAAAATATCAAACTTATATTGAGATAAGTTGAATAAATAAATACGGTAATTGCAAGAGAGAAAAATTTTAGACAAATGGAAGGCGAAAAAAAATGAATGATGATTACAATGAGAATGATGAACATGATAATTGAGAGAATGGATGACAAAATGAAAGGATGTTGAAAAATGCTGGTTGAAAGGGTCTTTGTCTATTATATTTATTATCACTCTACCATATAGAGCCATTTTTGTCCATGTTTATTCTGAGTGTCTTCATGAGCTTCATAAGTAATTTTTGCATTATAATTCATCCTTTGCTTTAGAATGCGTCTGAAAATACAAAATTAGAGTATTAATGACAAGAGTATTAACGAAGTAAATTTTTATGTAAAAACTAACCCTATTTTCATAACAGCAGCTTCATCTTTATAGTCTGATGTCCAAACAGCAATTTTATCAACACCACGTCTGATATTTATTACTGCACCGCAGATTTGATCACTCTCCTCTCCAAAAGCATCACCAATTAAGCACAAAAGCTGTAAATTAAGAGTAAAAACATTGTTAGTTCAAATGAACTTTAAAGGTGCTCCAAATAGTGTACAGATGACTTACTGCCTCCAACCACATTTCATCTAACGCTTTACTGAAACTTTTTTGAAAAGTGAAAAGCCATCTGCCTCCCTTGGTGTTACGAGTATCTTCCCACATTGGTTTAATCCCAAGTTTAAAGACGCAATAATCTGAACCAATTTTTAAATTACTTGCTAATTCAATATGATTATAAAGGCTGGATGAAACAAGGAAAAGAACATAAGGTTACCAAATGCAAAATTGTTTCAAGTGATTTACAATTGACAAATTGTTTAGAGTTTGCCTAGGTTTCAGCAATTAATTAATTATACTTACGCCCAAAAATCTTCAACAGTTTTAAATGTAGTTACTTCAAGAAGATTAAGAATCCATTCTTTTTTTTCACCTCGCCAATACCACAACTGCCATTCATTTTGCAAAGGATGTTTGACAAAATCGATAATTGAATTATCTTCCTCTGGTTGATCAGCTGGTGCAGACATTATCAAAATGAATTTCACAAAAGATAACACTTAATTATATTAGAACAATTAAAGATTTGACTCTACAATATTTAGATGTTTACTTAAATCTGCCGAGTCTACATTAATCTTTGGTTTTGTTACAAGACTTTTAAATAGCAACCGGCAAACACGTTTAGTCTTTCTTTTTGGCGCTCGAATCAAATATTTTATTAAATTGTGAGGTTTTTTTCATTGAAACTAGATTCAAATAATTTAAATCTCTTTATGATTTACTTTTAATTCAACAGTTTCTAGAATACAATTGGTTTTTATTTCCACTATTAAATAATAAAACTGGAAATCGCATTAATTTAGATCATCTTGCATTTGAACTTTTTAAGAATCGCAATGCTATTTCGTTGTCTGTACACAAACTGGTGATAAATTTTGATAAACTAATTCACGATCTGAATTTTGTTGGAAAAAGTCCTTCAAAAGCCTTAGGAATTAATCTGATCATATCTGTCGTGGTCATTGTACGACCCAATTTTTCAAATGCAAGTTTGTTACATTTACGCGTAAAAAGACATGCCGCATATGCCGCCAAGATGCATGGATTAAGTTGATTAGTGTCCAAAAGAGAACCTTTCATTTGCTTATTAGCGTGACTCCAGAAAGCGAAAGTAGCCATTGAACCAACTAATAGATCACCTTGACCTCCACATCTACGATTAGACCCATATTGGTCGCATGAGATTAACATGTTACCATCTGAAATAAGATCTTGTCGTCCTTTGCGGACAATTGTGACATTCCCTAATTTTGAACACATCTCTTTGAGCTTTTCTCCAGGCGAGTCACGTTCTTGATCATTCAAATCATGTTGAAATATTAAATTATGTAATCTCGAGAATTCAATGGCGTTAGGCGTTAATATAGCTTTCTTGTAATTTTTGATGACATCAGGTTGTTTACAAATAAAATGGAGTGAATCTGCATCCAAAAGAAGAGGTAAATCAAATTCACGAGCTTTGGTAATCAGAGAAAAAACCGTTTGAGTAAGTGCTTCATCTCGACCTAAATGAGGTAAATAAAAGTATAATTATTGAAAGCTTTAGAAAAATTTTAAAACGCAAAATATAACAAATGAGTGAGGAAATACTCACCTAAGCCAGGTCCAATAATAAGCGCGTGAAGACGAGGCATATACTGTGACACGGTTGCAATGACATCTTTAGAATCCAAGACAGGCAAAACAATCAACTCTGGTGAATACGACTTAATTGGAATAGCAGCATCTGAAGCACAAAAAACATAAACTAAATCAGCTCCTATCTTGAGACTTGAAATTGACGCATAGTAAGGTGCACCAGTGAACTCTTTGCATCCTCCAATAACACCAATCCGTCCTGACTGACCTTTATGACTGTGATCAGATAATTCAGGAATCACCGAAGACAACAATCCTTCAATTAATTTTGAATCATCCATTGTGCACTAATGATTAATCAAAATAAAAAATAATAAAAGAGGAAAGGCAAACACATAGTAACAGGTGACGATGTAAACAAAAAGTATGTAAAGCGGCAAAATTCATTTTTAATGCATGAAAAGATAGAACTGGTTGTAATTCATTAGAAAAAATTGATAAAAATGAACGTAAATCGGTAAATAAATATAATTTTACGTTGATCTAATCAATTTTCAATTGCACTTTTGACTTTCATTTAGACACTTGTCTCTATAGTTGGATATGAATTTTAATGGATATTTTTTTGTAAAAAAAGGTTGAAAAGGTGAGCAAATTAGATATGCATAAGAAGTATAATATTTGAACAATTGAGAGATATTTGCGCTTGTAACGCCAATTTACAGAATAAAAGCACTTATTCTGACTTTGAAATTGATTAGCCCAAAATACGATCAAAAATTCCTTTCCTGAATGGCCTTTTCAGCCAGTTAAAACCATTGACTCGCATTCCAAGTAAAAGAGGAGAGCGACTTGAGTTATTGTTGTGATTGTTTCGATTTGAATGCTCATGATGAGATCCACTTTCACTAGCACTTCCAGGGTCCTTAGGATGATGATATGAATAGTTTGGCATTGGATATCCAACATGGTGATAAGGTGATAAAGCTCCCATGTATTTCCTCATTGGTCCATCGCCTCCACCGTAGCCAGCAAATCCAATGCCGTGAGTTGAACTTAAATAATGTATTGGAATCTTTTTATAAACAAACGGTTCAGGGTCTAAACTAGGACTATTGGCAGGGAATCCCGAACCATAATAGTCACAGTAAACAAATGCCACAAAATAGCCAATGAAAATAAATAGTACCTGTGGTTGAGATAGATAATAATATAATAAGAAATAAATAATAAGAAATAAACATTAAAATATTCATAAGAACTTCTTGATCTTGGTTCTTTATTGAAAAACAACCAAAATTTTTACTTAAATTACTTAAATCATACTAACCACAATCTTCATTTTAACTACTGGCTTTTAATTCAACATCAGTGAAACTGATTTGACTAATTGACATAGTTCGTAAATAAAAGAGCCCAATTTAGACTGATCACAATACATTTTAATCACTCACAGAATGGTTTTCCCATTATCACATCTAATAATACTCAACTTCCTCTTTTAATTTGGTAGATTGAATGAAAAAAATTCAATTACTCACACAATTAAAATGGAAAGTTACCAAAATAAAAGTTAATCAGGCCAAATTAAACTTGAATAAACTTACATTGAACCATCCTATCGATGCTAAAAGATCGGGTGGGTCAAATTATAACAGTTAAAATTTCAATTTTCCTCTGTAATTTACTATCCATCCATTAATAGGGTTCAAAGGCACTAGCATAATTTATTGATTAAAAATTAGAAACATATATTTTTAAACAAAAGTGACAAAAAATTAAGAAGATATAAATATTTATGTAATTAAAATCAAAAGGTGACTGTGATTTACCAATAAGAAACAGCTGAGAACAGCTCAAAAGTTTAAACACAGTTCACTTCAATTCAATTTATAATATTTATCTTACTAGAGATGTGCCATTTATTTCTTCATTTAAATTAATTGTTTTAATTATTCCTACACCATATTGGAGAGTGAAACTTTTTTAACCAACATCATCCTTTAATTTCAATCCAGAATCAGCTTGGACCCAAAAGATTGCGCTTGGTTCATCAATTAGATATTCTAGTCAGATTTTATAGTAAGTATTTTACATTAACATCTCAACAATAATAAGCCAGAAATTCTACAATTTGATAGAGTCTTCAAATGTAATTTATTTTTGTTGACAATTTTTTGAGCTTTTTACTTAACGTACAAGCGATATTTGTTTCTCTCATGGATAGGCACTTGTCATCAGCTTGGGAATCGACTGTTGGATTTTACAAAGACAAAAAGAAACGCTTTATTAGGTGGATGATGAATGGTAACATTTCACTGATTGATAAACATGTTTATTTATCTGATGTTATGGCAGCTATGTCATCTGCAATCCTGAAACAATACCAAATCAAACACATTATTACGGCCAACATCAAGCCATTAAGTGAACCTCTAGTTGATAGTTACTTATGGATTGATTCGGAGGACATGCCAAGACAAGATTTAATCTCATACTTTCCTACGACTAATGAATTCATTGAAGCAGCAGTCTCTAGAAAAGAAAACGTTTTGGTTCATTGTATTGCTGGTGTTTCTCGATCAGCCACAATCGTAACTGCTTATTTGATGAAGAAAAAGAACAAACCAGCCGAGGAATGTCTTGAAAAGGTTCGTGAAAAGCGGTCAATTATAGATCCTAATGAAGGTTTCAGGAAACAGTTGAAATTATTTGAAACCATGGGATATCAAATTGATGTTCTTAACAAAGATTATCGTCTTATTGCGTTGGATCAACTGATTCTTAGACTATCAAGGAGATATTACGCATACTGTGCGTTGAACTCAAGTGCTGCAAATGATATCTTTCAGGTATATTTAAATAAATTAGCCAAGACTGAAGCTCTACATCAATCTTTGATTGTTTTCAAATGCAAAAAGTGCCGCACAAAATTATTCACTGACATTAACGTTATTTCAGAAGAGTCGGAAGAATGCCAATCTATTTATATAGAGCCACAGGTTTGGATGAGAAGTGTTTTACAAGAATTGACTGTTAGCGATATTAACTGTCCACAATGTACTAAGAAGATTGGACGCTATGACTTGAATGGAATTAATTGTGATACCAAATGTGCGAAGCATTCCATTGTGAAAGGAATTTTCAAAGTAAATTTAAATCATATTGATGCTGACAAATTAAATATTGGACAAACCGTTCACATAAGTGAAGCTCAATGACGCCAGCCTCACAGTCAGCAAATCACTCATCAAAAATTGTAATATTCATGAATTGCATCATATTTATTGCTTATCTATAATATTTTACAATAAATAATGATTATCAGATTAATTGAGTTGGTTATTTGAATAATATTATAATAGAAAAGCATATTTTGGCACATTAAAAAAAGACTAGCTAATAATAAAAGAGTTGTACATATATTGGCAAAATCGAGGAGATAAATAGCTTTAGCACTTGCAGAGTTACTCGATAATTTAGCAAAGTTCATGGCTTTCATTGGGTTATGGCATTAATTGGCGACAGTTGCTGGGAATAAATAATCATTCAATTAAAGGATAATTTTGGCTTATTTTCAGAGCTCTTGATGATGATTCTTCGGATGAAAAGCGGCATCAATTATTTGTTTTGAATCTTCAGTGTCACTGATATATTGTTCATCACCGACATAATGAGTGGGTGAAATGAGCAACGGAGATGCACTGAGAGCACGTAAGTTACGATTGGGATAATATTTAGACCAATCTGAATTCGGATGCTTGTCAAACATTATTGGTAGATATTCATCGATAGGAAGTAATTTTTCCAGTGGTTTGGAATCAATCAATCGTTGGGCTCCTAATTTGGTCAAGACATAACCAATTGTCCAATACGAATAATTGGGTAAAATGAGACCATTAATAGCTGTTCTGCTCTCTGATTCATCTGTTTGAATTTTTCGCCCAAGGTAAATTAAATCAGCTGGTCCAAATGATTTCTCATATGTTTTGATTGCTTCTAATAGCAAATTAAATCTAGGACGGAAAGATCTCTCGAATCGAACATCGTCTTCCAAAATAACTACCATGCTGTAGTTGTTTGATATCATATCTAACCAGACATTATAATGGGATAAGAAACAGCCAATCTCTCCATAAGTCATGGGTCTTTTATGGTAGGGATCTTCATAGTTGGGTAAAAATTTGATTCCTTTTTCCTTAAGAAACTCTTCATTGATTAATTTGCCATCAACGGCTTTCCAGAATGTGGCGTCAATACCGAGAATATTCATTCGCTTAGCCATAGATTCTTTTCTTTCAGGACGACGTTCCAAATTGATGATGTAAACTTGATCAACACCAAGTTTATCTTTGATAGGAGTATCAACCAGATGAATAAGTTCCTTGGATAGTGGGAAGAATGCTCCTTCAATTGTAGCTTCTAACTGAAGATCAATCAGTTCTTGGTCAAACCTATTTAAATCCATCGATTCAACGGATGGCATTAAATATCCCCAAATTTCCTGGTTATCTATATACATAGATAGGTTTTGTGATTTAGCTGACAAAGCGAATGCTATAATATCATCATAGGGACAGTTATTCAAATGAGTTGCATTGAAAGTCAGTTGATGGCTTGCTGAGATTCTCATATCTATCAAAATACAGGAGTGAATCATAGGAACTTGAAATATTCCCAATTTGGTTCGATCTAAAATTGGCATATAATCGTTGGTCCTTAGGTAATAACCTTTCTCGTTCATTCCAGCCCAATAATTGGAATAGGTTCCAAGTGAATAGAGCATAGGAGCTATTAATGATTTTTCTGAGTCAACTAAGTGACTGAGGGTTTCTTCATTGACCAGAGCCACATCTGAGTCCATTAACAATAAATAGTCTGCCCAGTCTAGTCGAGCTTGACTAAAAGCAATTGTCTTGAGTTTAATAATTTTATTGAAACGGTTGGGATTCCAATATTCATCTAGGTCAACCAATGGTTCATCTAGAGGGTCCAAGTAGTTGTAATTAACCGAGATGTCATGGTAAAATGGTTGGTTAACACGAATCCATGTTTTCAAGATTTTCAAAGTTAACCAATTTCTTTCATATCTTGGATCCTGTCGGTTGAAATTTGCTTCTAAAACATCAGGGTATAAGTCCAAATAAATTGTCACTCGAGTACGATTTTTAGGATAATCTTGATTCTCAATGGAGCTCAATGTGTAAGGTAAAATTTTGGCTTTTGAATAAGCATGGATTGACAGAACAAGCTCAATGGTTGGCTTCAGTTTAAATAAGGCACATGAAATTGATGAAATTAGGATTGATGAAACTAAAATAATTATGACTAGAAATTGAAGTTTCCCCATTATTGTTGTATAAGTTGAGAGCTTGAATTCATAAAATCAAAACATTGAAAAAAGATTGATTCGATACTTCATTCTGATTAAAGCAACGATGAGATAAAATGGATCAATCACATTAGTGTAGACAATAAACAATATTTATTTTTCACTTAATTGAAACATGTTGTCAGGTAATCCACCTAGATATTAATTAAATTCCCTGTCATTGTGACAGAAATGGTTTAATGTATTAAATATTGAAAACTCATTTACAACCAAAGAGTAAAGAAAGCACTTCGCCTCTCTAGGCAACATGTAAACATTTGGAGAAGCTGGTCTGGTGTGTTGCTTTGAGTATGTTTATGTTTTGGTATTTTATTGTCCAATTTCCCAGAATTTTTTCTTTCTTTAAATCGATTAATTTAAATTTGTCATCTAATTTTGATTAACTTAATTATTTCTTCGATAATAAGTTTATTTGGGAACCTTAAGCTGCTTATAGATAGCATCTAAGCTATTGTAAAATTAAGGTAGTTTATCTCTTGCTAGAGCATTCATTTTCTTGACTCTACTTGTGCTTATTTGCCACATTTTCTTATTGGCAGCTGTTTTAATTGTGTTAAATTAATCTAATTTATTCATCTACATTGGCTTTCTTTGACTATTTTAGTCAATCAGTGACTCTCATCAATATTCAACGTTTAACTCTTTAATACACATCGTGCCCTACCAATGGCTCCTAAATATAAGTTTCATGAAGGTATGTTACAAAGTCAATGTTTTTTTAATGTGTCTATTAACTTGTATTTTATCATCAATTTATTAGGTGAAAAAGTTCTGTGCTTCCATGGACCTATTCTTTATGAAGCAAAAGTATGTTAACATATTTTCTTATTTTCCTAAACCTTCAATTTCAACCCTAATACAAATATTCTTCTACCTTTATTCACAGTGTGTAAAAATCCAAGCTAAAGACAAGGTTGTCAAATATTTTGTTCACTATCAAGGATGGAATAAAAGGTATTTTAATTTATATTTCATGATGAATAGTTTTCTGATCATTTTATCTTTATCTTTTCAGTTGGGATGAATGGGTTCCTGAAAGCCGAGTTTTGAAGTATAATGAAGCTAATGTCCAGAAACAGAAAGAATTACAAGAAGCTCACAAGTAAGTACACTTCTATTACTTGTATCACGTGAAACCTATCATTGCATATCATGCAATTCATCAAATTATTCGCTTACCTAATCAATTTATTCTTTTCTGATCTAGTGCTGTCAAACCCAAGGGAAAGAGTAAAAAAAGAGCTAGCGGAGACAAAGAAGCTGCAGCTACTCCTAAAACAGATAAAACTGCGAAACCTAAACCGGGAACCATAACTGCTGTAACACCAACTGAACCTAAAGACAGCGGGGAAAAGGAAACTGGAGGTAAAAAGAGGCGCATTAAAGTTGACCAGACAAGCGAAGAAGATTACCAAAATTTACCAGAAGTTAAGATTATGATGCCAGAAGAACTGAAAACAATACTTAAGGAGGATTGGGAGATGGTTAATAAAAGTAATAAGCTTGTAGTGATACCTGCACAGTCAACAGTAGACGACATTCTTGAAGACTATGTCAGCTTCAAAAAGAAAGAATCGACTCTCACACCTCCAAAAATCAGTATCATTTATGAGATTACCAATGGTATTCGCGAGTATTTCAACGTAGTACTTGGCAGTTTACTTCTTTACAAATCTGAAAGACTACAGTTTGAACAGTCAACCAAAGAAGGTGAAGACATTGACATTCTTCCCTCTTCTATTTACGGATTTATTCATCTTCTGAGACTATTTGGTAAGTAAAAACAAAGATAGGGATTTTATAAAGCTCATCCATCCAAGTTATGAAATAATCTAACTCAACTTTATTTTTCCTTTATTAGTTAAATTTGGGAATCTCTTAGCTCACTCACACACTGACGAAAAAAGTATTCAATCATTAATTCCTCATTTCGACGATTTCCTTAGGTAAGTTTTTCTTTTACAAAAAATATCTACAAGCAAACTTGTTAGCTGGATACAAACAAAACTGACCTTTTTCACATTTTATTTTACAGTTTTTGCGCCAAACATTCAACCTCTTATTATTCATTAGAAGACTATACCTCGCAACAACAACATTCAGACACTTCCAAAAAATCCTCATCTTGATTTGGTTAATGATAAAGAAAACGCTGGTTAATAAAAGTAATCATCATTGAGACAAATTGGTTTAAACTGCATCTTTACCAAGGAATCTATTGAAACGTTTCACTGAATTCAATGTAAAGCAAAAATTATTAACACAAGCAAATTTTAACATCACTCGATAGTATTACAATATACTTACCCTTTCAACAATCAAATCAAGTAAATTTGATAATAAATTAAAAATAATTTTAATTTAACAAAAGATAATGCTCCATGTGAGGCTCGAACTCACAACCTCGGCATGACTACGCAAATACTGCTTATAAGTACCGCGCGCTAACCAATTGCGCCAATGGAGCAGTCGTAATATTCACAGGAAAAATTTGTGGTTCTATCAGAGAAGAGACCAAATCTTAATTTTGGATAAAAATTGATTTCCAAATAAAATGGGTGTCCATGCCAGTAGATGGCTCTACCTGGTTTGTAGTTTGGCTCATTTCAACAGGTTAAGGGAGGGAAATGAAATGAGTACAGGCAAGGCTATTCCCTGTTCAATTATCAGGGTTTATTGAGTTGACTTTCTTAAGCTACTGAACTTGCTTCGGAGCAAATTTTATTTTAGGAATGGATCCAAAGGCGATACGACAGGTTAGCGAATACAAAAGTTCAAAAGCATTGAAAAAACGCGCATCGGTGTGAATATGCGCAGAGTTGGGTTTCTAATCTACCTGAACAGCTGAAACAGATGAATGAACGCTGTTACATTTATCTTTAAATCAACTTGTTTTGTGGTTACCGCGTTTAGTTATATTTTGGTGTAATTTTGGTTTTCTAATATAAGTAATTAGGTTGCAAATTTTGTGTTGTCTAGGTCTTGGTAAAGCAATTGTTTCGCTGATGGTGACGGTGAATTTTAATGGTAATTGTTGTCATGGAATCAATTAGTCACCAAGAGATTCGAAAACAAGTTTTGGTATGTATGGTTTACTGGTATTTTAATCTATCTGACAATCGTTATGAATTTACTGATTACTAATTTTCCTGTTCATTCTTTTTTGCTCTAGGAATATGTTGAGAAGGCATTATCGGAAGATAAAGTCAATGAGCTTCTTGTATCATGCCGCAACTTGCTCGATAAAGCTCAAGCTGGACTTGAAATAGATATTAAAACTGCTGTTGATACTGGATTTCGCGATGTTTTACATAAATATATAAGACTGAATACAGACAATGATGATTATCAATGGTATGAAAAGATCATAGAATTGTCCATTAAAGCCGTACGAAGTGGAATTTGCTTGGGAGGTTTACCTATTCTTCTGTTGACTGATTTATTTGACTGCAAACCCTTGAACAAATGTGAAGAGTTATTCTCTCTACTGGAAAACCGAGTGAACATTTGGAAGGAGGACATTTTTTTTAACAATGTGAAAAATCAAATGCTTCGATCATGTAATGATTTGCTTCGTCGATTATCAAGATCACAGCATACCGTGTTTGGTGGAAGAATATTGGAATTTCTTGCTCGATTTTTCCCTCTTTTTGAAAGATCAGGCCTTAATCTTACATCAGAGTTTAATCAAGAAAATGTTGTCGCTATATCCGCCCAAGAAGATTTGTCTGATGCTTCAAGTATTTCTGATTCACCTATGGAAGAAGGTGAAATGCCGACCTCAGAAGTGGTACAAGTTGATTATAATCTTTACAGAAAATTTTGGCAATTACAGTCATTCTTCAAAAATCCTAACCTTTGCTATTCCAAACCGAACTGGAAGCAATTTCAGAGTTACTCAACAGACGTTCTTACTGCCTTCTCAACTTTCAAACTTGATCCACAAAGCAACAAAGCTACAGAAAAGGTCGACATCCAAGGGGAACAGATCCACTTCACAAAGTATTTAACAAACCAGAGGCTATTAGAATTGCAGTTAAGTGACTCTAGCTTTAGAAGATATATCCTTGTACAATTTTTAATCCTTTTTCAATACTTAACAACTTACGTTAAAAGTAAACAAGAAAGCCAAACCTTAACTGAAGAGCAGAATGCTTGGTTGAAACAGAGCAATGAAAAAGTTCTGGAATTAATAGGAAAGACTCCACCAAATGGACAAGAAATGACCCAGATAATTGAACACATTTTAAAAAGAGAAGAGTTTTGGTGTAACTGGAAAAATGATGGTTGTCCTGGATTGAAAGAAATCAACGAAACAATCAGTAAAGAACCAACTATGGTTAATGGTAGAAAAAGAGTTGGTGATGAAATTAAACATGCTGAATCTTTTGGTAAAGTCATCATTGGTAATCCAGAATTAACAAAGCTATGGAACTTGTGCTCGGATAATTTGGAAGCCTGTCTCAGCAAGAAACGTATATTTATACCACCTGTTGATGAATTCTTCGGTGATGTGAAAACTTCATATGATGAATATTCTGCAGAGGATCGACAGAAAATGCTGGCAGATGATTCTGATTTTAATTGGAGATCTTTACGCTTGTTGGGCTCTAAATCTTCATACTTTTTCACGCCAAGTAACCAATCGATGGTTAAACCTATAGTTCAATATCTGGATACAGTTATTGAAAAGGTTGTTAAAGAGTTAAATGCTGCTGATGGTAACAAAGGATCTCAAGATTTAGCTATTGATGATGCTGAAGATATCAGTAATGATGAATTATTGAAACAGATTGATGAAAACTCTAATCTAGGTTCAACCGACAATCATGCTCAAAACGAAATTAAAAGAACGGAAGAGAAAGCCTCTGTATAGTTTATCAAATATATTTAATTTTCACCTCGACCATTTTTATGTAAATCAACACATCTTTGTACTTTCTACTATCCAATGTTCTACAATCATGGGTTATTAAATCGCCTCATTAGCAATTTAACTTTGTCTAAATATTACTCATATACTATCACATGAATTTTGTTAAATTTTCAACTAAATCATGTTTAATTTTAAGTCGATTGATCCAGATGTAATGAAAACTTTTAGATAATTCCCCAGATTGGCTTAGTAGATTGTCAATTATGATCAAACCATATTTTTCACACATTGATGTGTTTGACAAGTGAAAGATAAGCACAAGTATCAATGAAGACTCCATTAATTTGACAGTAGTTTATAATGAAAAAAAATAAATAGTGATTATAAAATAAGTTCAATGATCCGGTCCTAATTACAAATTAAAGTGAACTTAGTTGATGAAAATTAAAGCAGATTGAGAACAATTCCTATAAGTGAAATCATTATAAATCAGGAAGACAATTGAACATTTTGACTGAATGGTGAAATATATTCAATTCTGGATTGATTTTTTTTGTGTTTAATTTCTTAATAAACCAAAATTTTATCATCACTATTGAATACATTGAACCTAGCAATTAATCTGTCTTGATAAACTAATTTGTATTTGTTTTTCAATCTACGCGCTAAATTATAATACTCAAATTTATTAGAACATTTCCAATAAGAGGATGTGAAGAATGAAAAAGAAGAGTGAGAAATAAATAGCTTATCCTTTCTTTCAATCTTGGTTTACCTTAATTGCAGTTAAGTTGTTCAACTGAATTCAAGGTAGAAAGTTGAGATTTGAAGAAGGAAAAATTGAATCGCTGAAAATGGTAACCAACAAGTAGCCCTTGAGGAATCAGCTTTGCTTTCAGGCCTTGATTTTAATATCATTTATCGACCAACAACTGAAACACAGAGAAAAACAACAACAGTAAAACAACTGTTTTTTAAGTTGTTTTTTCTTCCTTTTATTCCTTCGTGTATTGTTCTCATCTCTACTTGTGTTTATTATTTATTTATAGTTTTTAAATTTGTGATTCTGGGCCATACAAATTCTTGGCCTAAAAATGTCCCAGTTTAATGCTGATCTTTCACCTGGTCGTCCAAGTAATCCATGTTCTGGATCATCATCTGCATCACGATGTTACTTTGAATGTTGCTCTTTAAAATTATATAACATTTGTTTAAAATCAATAGTGTCCAGTATGAAGAAGGTTGAATATAACCTTCACTGTTTACCTGTTCGTCTCCAAATCGATCTATACTTAGAGATGTTTATGAATGAACACTGGAATATTTTAGGAACATATTTATCAAACCTAAATAATTTCGTGAATCTAGTTATGTTTAATGAAGGTCAAAGGCAAACACTCCATATGTTACTTCAACGCTTAATGGACGAAGGATTCAATTTAACTAACGACTTGTGCAAGTATATGGCCAAAGATGTAGCCTCACTTCTAGAGGCCGTTCAAAAATCAAATAGTGATAGCACTTTGTTAAGGAAAAGTCGAATAAGATCAATGAAAAGAGGTTTCGCATTAGCTGGATTCCTTATGGAGGCTGGATGGTATGTTGAAGCTGAAAGAATTTTATCAACTTGTCTCACTCTTTATTTACCTGTGATTGATACTGGAGATTCATCTATTGAACCATGGACATTCCGAATCAAAACTCGTTTACTTGGGTCTCTTGTGTCTTATTCTCGCTTCAAGGAAGCTACAGTTCTTTACGATGAAATGCTGTCCCAAATAGAAGTCAACAATTATGAAAATCGCAAAGATCAATTTGACGTTGCTCAAGCTTACAGCCAATTTGCCTGTTTATTTGCTGCTCAAAGTCTCTACAAAGAGGCCTACAAATGGAGCTGTAAAGCTTTAGAGCATATTTCCCCCTGGACACCGCGAATAGCTTTAATTGATATACTTTTAACCGCAGGACGATCATGTGTGATTAAAAGAGACTTTGAAAGTGCAGATTATTTATTAAGACAAGCTTTACTTGTTGCTAAAGAAATGTTCAATTTAGACGAGAAATGTGATTTCCAAGAAATATCTCGTTTCCATCCCATTGTTGGCGACCTTTTAATTGCCATGGGGTACTACTATCACAATGTTGATTTGTTGTCACAGTCAGTCAAACTTTACCTATATGCTCTCAACTTCCGTAAACAGTATTTTGGACCTCATACTCTTACGGAACAATGTATAAACTTGCCATTAGCGTTGGCTCGTCAAGATTTAGCTTTTGAATATTATATCCAAGAATATTCAACTGGTCACTTCGATATGAGTTTGTATCACATTGAACTCGCCAAAATGTCTCTAGAAACTTTGTTACCTCCAGACCATCATCTACTTACCAATGTACTGAGGATAAAAGCTTTAATCATTGAAGAAATAGCCATCGATAACATGGATATGGTTGGTAGAACCGAATTGTTGATGGATGCTCACAAGCTTCACCGTAGAGCTCTAGACATAACCAAAAGTCTTCTTGGTGAAGAAAATTTACAGACAGCCAAACATTATTCTAATTTGGGTAGATTATATCAAAGCATGCATAGATACGAGGACTCTGAAGTTTTCCAATTGCTTTCAATTGAAATTAAAGAAAAATGTCTTGGAAAAGATGATTACGAAGTAGCACAATCTTATGGGTTTCTCGCCTCGTTATATTGTTATGACATGGAGCTGTATCCACAAGCAGAAAATTATTATCTTAAAGCAATTGAAATTGGAACCAAAGTCTTTGGAGGAGCTTACAGTGGATTAGAGTTTGAATATCAAGGAATTATTACAATTTACACGAGGAATGGTGAAGATGAGAAAGCTCAGGAATACATAAAACTGTTTCGATCATGGAAAGCCCAGCGTGATTCAATGGTGGCAACTATTACACAGAAAAACTTATTCACCAGTTTATCGGACGAATCTCCGGGTTTATTGAATCTTGAGGAGATAAAGAAGCATTTCTTTTCCAATAGATTACATCAGATTTGACTTTTAATTCTAACAAAGATATTACATATCTTGTATGTATATCTTGATTAATCATCGAAAAATTTAATATGCTCAATCAACAAAGATGAAAAGAGCAAGTAAAAAAAAGCTGGCCTTTTAACAATTTATTATAATATCTACTTGTTTATTATCGCTGATTTTAATCTTGCTTATTTCTTTTTTGTCCAATAAATATATATTTTGTTGTCAAGACTGTGTTAAAAACGTTCATTTTTGTCTTCAATTGAATAATTCAGTTTAGAATGAACTGGTTGAAAATAAACCTTTGGATGCATTGTAAACGTGAATAAGATAATGAAATATCTTGCCAGAATATAATTTAGTTCAAAAGGTTAATTAGAGAATTATGATCACTAATCATCATTCTTTACAAACTTAATATCATCTTTTCAGTCTTATTTATTGAACCTTCCCCACTGTCAAACCATGTTATTAGATAATAGATGACTTTTACAGCATGTCATCAGAAATACTAACAGGCACAAAAAGTATAGCCAAATATTAAAGTGACCCATTGATGGTTACCCTTGCCTAACGTGTTCTGAGACACTTTCAATTCCCAAGGAGAATGCTTAAAATAAATCAAAAACTTTCTACCTGAGGGTAACCATTAATGTACATTAATTTATATCGCTTTAAAATAATACTTACATGCATTCCGACGACAGGACCCAGATCGGTGATTAAGGGTTGAAAGATATTATCCTTCCATTAAGTTTTTTGGGAGATCTAATATTAGATTAATTGATAGATTTTGTCTAGGATCAAAATGGTTTGTCCTTTTAATTTTTATAAGAAAGTATAAGGAGAGTTGGTATTTCTGATTCAGGATCTATTCATAGTTGGGGAAAAATGTTACAAAGTTCAGTACAGTCAAGTAAAGGATCAACACGGATTCCACAAAAAGATTTAGAGAACACAATTATGACTTGCAGGGGGCATGGATTTTACAATACTCTAGTTATTCAAGATTAGGAAGTTTCCTCATCTTTTACTCATATCAATTGTAGACAACTCTTTGGGAAAGTCTTAATGTTTATTTGTTTATTTTCTCAGATTATTTAGTTTTTATTTTATCATCTTGCATTCCTAGACGTGAGGTAGAAAATCCCTTCTAATTTTCCTGTGTTTCTAATCACCAACAATTCTTTATAATTCAGCAATCAAGATAATCAATTACCTAACATCCGTCTGAAACGTTTACTACCACAGACCTCCATTTTTTTGTTGAAATCAATATGCATCATATCCATATGGCATCAAATGTGCGATGTTGTGCATTTGGAAAAAAGTTTTGAATATTAATTCAAACCATTCATAATACATTTAATCTAGTTACGTTTACATACATTTGTATTTTTGGTATACAATTCATTCAGGTTTTACAAATCAGTGAAGGTTCATTTTTTAAGAGGACAGAACTTTTTAAACATGTACAAAGTTGATCAACGAGTTACATCTAAAGTTTTATGTGACTACAAAGAGACGGATAGAAGCTCAGAATTCTCAAATGTCAATATTTTAAAATAAAGAACAGAATTAGAAACGATTATTAATTAACGTTCAAAATCAACAAAAATTCATTTTCACTATTGTTATTGAACGATTTATTATTTTCACCGTTAGATGGCTGATGCAATGACTTCTTTAGGCCGCAGCTTAAAGCTTCTGAATCAGAGGCGTTACCTACTAAAGGCTGCTAATCTTATTGAATAAAGATTCTAGAGTGACAAGCAGATGATTTCAATTGATTTTTCTATGTTGGTATGGATTTCATTAATATCACCCCTTTCGATTTGATTTAAATCTATTTATCTGTTTGAATATTTCTCAGCTATTATGCAAGGATTGGTAATAAATAAGTGAAATTTTATAAATTGTTTGGGCCGTTTATTTATGCGAGTTTATGAAACTGGCTGTCAAAAGTCATATTGTATTGGTATCGTTATAAAAATGTTTATGGTAAGCATAATTTACCAAGGCCTTGGAATAAGGTCTTGTGATTTAACTCCCCTTTCCTTTGAACCTGTGAACCTCATTCTATACATGATATTGTTTTTATCATTAGACTTAAAACAATGGCGTTAGACATGATTGGCAATCTGAAATCTTGAAGATGTAAACTTAAGAAAACTGAAATGCCATGTGAACCCAAGAAAATCGGACACAACAATTAAACATATAAGCAATAAATACTGGTGAGCTGGCATACCTATTGGGTTGTTTTGATGAGACAATCTTGAGCAATAATCTGCAAAAAAAGACATCTCAATGATTGCCTTAAAAAAGTGTACAGTTGCCGTTTTTGGCGTCAATTTTGTTTTGATGACCTTAACCGCCTTCATATTCATATTCAAAGTGCCTAAGGAATCGAATTACTATCGTGACGATGGGCGCCGTATGATTAACCTAATCAATCATATCGACTCTAGAACAATTGATTACAACTATTGGGGTCCATTGGATAATGTTCATGTTAAGTCATTGAGTAATAAACAGCTAAGCAATGAACCATTAGATTTCATCGAGATATGGTCTAAAGCAGCGATGGGAATTTATCTTTGGGAACATATATTGACGGGAGAACTCAGTAAAAAAAGTCCATTCTATCAATATGGATTTAGAAAAGTTGATCGATTTATTGTAAAATTTCGCAGTGGGCCATCTATAACACCACAATCATTAGTAAATTATCTTTTTTTCGCTGCTAGACCAAAGGATTCTAAAAACATGATTTTTGTTTTAAACGGGCAATCTAAAGACAAAATGGAATTTGTTAAGCAATGGTTGGCTAAGATTCAAAATTTATCTTCCAGAAAAGATAGCCAGCCGTCAGTCAATTCTCCGGCTATTTTATATGGTCAAGAATTCGGTCTCAGCGATTGGATAAAAAAGTATCTCAAATCAAATGGTAAGTCAATTAGGAGTCTATAGATCATTTGAAGAATCTTTACTTATAATCACTAATAAATTAATAATATTCCCTTAGATGTTGCTATTTATCGGAACTTTCCTGATCTGAACAAACTCATATCTTCAGCGGAAAGATCATATACCTGCGATTTTGACGGGACAGTGTCCAATTCTTCTCGAGTTGAGCTTATGAATGTACTGAAAACTTTTGATAAAGGAGTTTGTATTGCGAAAAGCCGCCCAGAATGGAAAATAAATGAAAATAATGAAGCTATTGAGCTTTATTTACAAGCTTTAAGGTTATCTAACCTTACACCAATTGGAATGAATTATGAATTGCATCGTGACGCTCAAGCTTTATCTCATGGATCGCCACCAGTGGTAAAACAAAATTCAAACCAACTTAAAGATCAAAAATCAAACTATGATCCTTATTCAGCATACCGTTTATTCAAAAAATTTAACGCTCCTGTGATATACATTTCAAACTGGACTCATGAAGCCAGAAAGAAATGAATTCATCATTGGAACGAAAAATTTCAAGAGGAATTCTATTGATTGGGTGATATCTCTCTATTTGTATTCAATATTCGTAAACATCAATTTGGTATTATTGGAAGAAATTTTCAATTGTAATTTAAGTGCAAAACTATTTAGAATTTAGTTAAATCTATTAAAATAACCTTGAACAAAAAAATGCAAACTTTCAAGTTCCTACTACAAAAAAATGTTATTTAATGTATGTTCAAATTAACATGTTTGTTCTAAACAATTGGAATAGGGATTGGTTGGTTACAAAAGATGAATTATAGACAAGTGTGTGAAGAAAAAGAGAAAAGGTTTACAAAAATATGAATTATCATTCCACCAAATGAAATGAATCAATGGAAAAGAGATGAATATTAGTGGCTGAGAGAAGTCTTTTTACAGGTTTACAGCCAAGGATGCCAAGCTGGATCCATACGACAAAGGTTATCATGACTATTTGCAGCAGCAACCAGGGTTATAACTTTGCTTTCCGCTCCGTCAAAAGTTGCTAAAGCTGTAAAGAGATGAAATTTCATTATTAAAGTAAATATTATTGTTTTTTGCCATTTCAAAAGAAAAACTTACATGATAAACGGTTCATTATCGACTGAATAGATCTATTTACAACAGTTATGAGAGATTCGCCATCCATAGTGACCTCCCCATTGAGAAGAACATCTTCTTGAGTCTGTAAAGAATAAAGATAAAATTTTAAATGAAATCCACGAAATGAATGCATGTAATATAGATCTTACCTTTTTATACCAAGCAAGAACTTCATCCCTAAGAATTACTCTTAAAAGGGATTGAATTTTGAAGTTAGGTTGTACCAAACATCTAGATATGGCGATCATTGAAGCTGTTAATGGACCAGCAACACCAATTGAAGTTATCAATTCAGAGATGTTATGAGTCAATCTGAATGGAACTGGTCGATTAGCATCTATATCGCCTGTGGAAGATAATTTATTTTTAGTTAATTATTTTTTAAAATTTAATTTCTTCTATTTTTCTTACCAGTTACATCGTCAACATCAAATCTAAAGTATGCTACATTCATCAAACCAGTATCTTGGTGAATGTACATCATATCAGGATTCAAACGAGATAAACATAGAACATATTCAGCAACATTCGCAAGTGCCATTTGAAGAGTAAACTGTAAAAATAAATTAAAATTAAATTAAAGTTTTCTACCTTTTGAACTAAAATGTAAAATAAAAGGCAATAACTTACTTGTTTCCTAAATGTCCAAAGATCAGTAGCTCCAGGATAAGTTAGAATTGCCCAGTCTTTTAGTAAATTAGAAGGAACCATATTTGTTTGAATCTCTTTCAGGATTTCACGAAGAACTTGATGACTGGCCTGTGTTCCACGAGATTGAATTGCTGAAAGTCGTTCATAATATCGGGAAATAGGAGCATCATATTCGAGATCTCGTTGAACACAACGTTGTTTATAAATATCTAACAATGATATTGAATTGGGATTATCTTCAACCAGTCTTGTTTGCGGTGAAATAGCAACAACTCGCGGCACAGTGAAGTGCAAGAATCTTTTCAGCGTTTCCTTTTGTTTTCCCAAATAATTGTTTAAGAGTCGGAAAAGTTGTAGAACTCTTTCCTCTCGTCGAGCATCGCTGAGACAAGAATCATTCACAATAAGATATGGATAGATTTTACCATTATGGCCTCTGATATGGAACCGTCGTGCTGCAGTGTTGTGTTTGTTGACAATTTCAACTCTCGGCATGAAGCGAGCAATTCTAACTGAATAAAGGTTGTGTTTTGGGATAAGAAACTCTCCAGGAAGCTCAACGTCAGCTGTTTGCTGTGAAAAGTAACTGAGGAAGCGACACTTTTCTTCCATTAAACACGTCTTTGGTAAAAGTTTTGTCTTTGCTTCTAAAATTTTGATCCATTTTTTAAGTTTAACAATTAAATTGTGAAGTTTCATGGCACCTGGAGTTGAGAAGTCAAAGTCAGTAGAAAATTGGCTTTTCATTTTTTGGAAAACCGGATCTTGTGCTGTTGCCTGAGCTCGTTTCGCTAATGATTCAGAAGCCGCTGTTGCAAAATTAGACGGTAAAGTAGAAATATTTTCAACACCAACTCCGAATGTGGCAACAAGTTTGTTGACAAAATTCAAAGTGTGAGGAGTAACAGTTGCTTCATCAACAGCTGCGCGATTTTCAAAAGCAATGGCATAACATTTATTCAGTCCTTGACGGAGTTGACGTAATATCTCTTCATACCAATTTTCTCGGAACCAAACCATTTGATCGACCATTCCTTCCAGAGATGATAATACAGTTGGATGTAGATCTTGCTGCTTACGCATAATCATAGAACAGCGTCTAATTGATGCAGTAGCTCTAATTGGATTTACTTCGGTTGTTGTTCTACCTGCCACTTTTTGCTGGAATTGAGCATTTGAAAAGGTTTGCTGTTGCTGTTGGGTAACAGTCTGAGTTGTCCCTTGGATTTGTTGATTAACCACAATTTGTTTGCCTTTTAAAGCGTTTGCATTTTGTCCCGCAGCTATTTCGCTACTTCTCTGTTTTTCTCGTTGTTCCATTCTCAGAGTTAAGAACAGAGTTCGAACAGGGAAATAAACAGCTTGTGGAAACATTCTTCCGACTTGAATAAGAATGTTGACTGCTAAATCACCTTCTTTTTTAATTAAACAAGTTAGTAGTTGAGGGATCCACGGTAACCAGCATACAGGAGGAACACCGTGACTATATTTTTCAACGGCATCAGCTAAACAGAGAGAATCGTCATCGTATGTAAGAAGCCAAATAACTTTAGCTAAATATTTTCGAGCCTTTGTCTCATTTTGAGAGCGACATGCATGGAGATAACAAGTAATTGCAGAGACACCAATAGACATTTGACGACTTTCCCATTTTTCTCGAGTAAACAAAGTTTCTAGATATTCACCCCAAAGAGCCCAAGCTCTGTTTAATCCATCATGTAACTGAGCTCCTGCACTGAATGCACGATTGGCCTCTTCTGATCGCCCTAATTGAGATAAGAAGAGTCCTTTCAAACCATAAAACTCTGCTTTCATTTCACGAGTAAAGTAATTCAAGTTTGTCGATTCGATGATTTCAAGTCCTTCTTGTAACTCGTTTTTACCTCCAGTCGATGCTAGCTGTAAATAACACTTAACCTGCTGTCTAATTTTTTGGAAACAATCGACGATTGGTATGCTTGGTATGGCATGAATTTTAGTCAGTGCTTCTAAGCAAGCACCGATGAGTCCATGTTTTCTAGCAATCCTACCAGTGTTTATGATTGATTGAGCAGAGGCGTGAACACCTAAGACAGCTTGGGATGCTTGTGGATCTGTTGGTTGATTTGTTATGTTGGCTGTCAAACCTTCGGCGACAGCAGTTCGTGTTCCCAAATTGGTAAGAGCTGTATTGGTAGGATCATAGAATTGAACAATTGCTTGGAAATGATGTTGTCGCCAAGTAAACACATGACTCCAATGAGAAAAGTCATCAGATAAAACTGGAAGACGGTTTTTCCAAGTTTTAACGATAGCTTTCATATCATGAATACAGGAAGCACGCGTATTATTAGGGGTCAAGCTTTGGTTGATTTGACCGGCTTCTTGTAATTCCATAATTAGCTGTGCAGCTTGTAAAAGATCAACATGAATGTGAGAAACGATAGAGGGAAGTCGCCTCCATTCTTTGATGCACAAGGTTGATGCAAGATCAACCATTCTATCAGCCATTGGTAAATTATGATCTTCAACATTACAGATATGATTGTAACCTTTGAAAAGGGCAACTTTCCAGGCAAGTTCTTTAGGATGATTGGTTTCTACTTGATGTAAGGCTTTTTTCATCATCATCCACTGCGGTATCCTCCAAGCGCTTTCCAAGACTAAGAATGGATTGGTGCAACCTTTAGAATTACCATAATCAAGAATGAGATCCCATTGATTTAACTCTTTAGAACATCGAATCCAATGTTTCTCCCAAAGACGATACTCTCCTTGAAGGCTTAGAGGTGCAGGGTTAGTGTTGTAGTCATTGCGAGCTTTGGTCATAGCCAATTCAAAAGCACCTTGAGCTTGTTCAAAGAATCCTTGCTGTTCATAGGCAATACCGATTAAAGTTTCTTGATATTTAGCTCTCTTTTGCCACAAACCGGCCCAAAGATCTTCCTCTTTCAAAGTTTCATAAATTTCTGCTAATGAATCATTAGCTTCTTGAGTCAAAGACATTGACGGAACAGGAGCTGGCTCGGTATAATCAGTATCACCTCCATCGTGTTTGCGAGTATATTTGGTAGTGGTTGATGTAGTGTTTGTTGTTAAAGCTCCAGCGATAGATTTGTCAAAAGCAATGTTTTCGAGCATAAGAGCAACTCGATGCCAGATATTATGTGACTTACCCATGTATTTAAGAAGAGATGGTCGGATGGGTATGACAGGACTACATTGGGCTATTGCCTCCATGAAACAGCCAATCGCAGAGGGATGACAGTCTTTTTGAATAATGTGACTTCCACTACAAATGAATGGAATTAATTCTGCAGTTAATAAATTCTGCTGTCGTTCACTTAAAATTTTCCATAATCGCGGAAATAGTTGGATCCATGTATGGTAGGCTAAATTTGTGTCCATATGACATAATTGAGCAACAGCCATTAGGAAGTTAAGAGTCCGAGTTTCTTTTAAACTGTTCAAAAATTTGTTTTGTTTTGATATTAAAACCCGTAAATGTTGTGTAGGATCACTCGGAGTACTTGGTCGTCTTGTTCCTAATAAATTACTACCACCGTAAATGCTTCCTCTACTGTTGTTGGATTGGTTTTCTTCGGCTGAAGATAATTCAATATCCATCACTTCTTCAGCTTCTCTAACAGAATCAATTCCATTCGCCATTGCACAAAACATATCAATGTCCATCTGATCATTAATGGAGTTAGCTAAAGATGCTCGTTCTTGTTGATCACCGAAATCAATCACAGCCGTTGGAGAGGGCAACATCGCTATTGGATTCCCACTAGTAATGCACAAAGTATGTATCACAGAAACCAGAATCAACTCGATACACTGTTTGATCCAAAAATGAGGACCAATAGTTTCCCAGTTTTGAGAGCACACAATATAAAGTAAACGATCGTGTAATCTTCTACGAATACTTGCGTCAAAAACTTCAAAGAATTTAGCACGTATTTGTGGCTGTACACATCTTAATCCTGACATAAATGCTTGTTCTAACTTTGTAGCCAAGTCAGTGTTTTTCAAAGATTCGTCACGATAAACATAGTTGATTAGTTCTAAAAATTGAGCCATGAGTTCATTGTCATCAGCAAATCGTTTTTCCACAAACATCATCATCTTGACAAGAAGGAGTGTCTTTTCTCGAAGAGTTGGAGCTTGATTTGCACCGAACGGCCCCTTGTTTTTAACCCAGTCTTCTAACATTTTAGTAATGGCACGTAAAACTTTAACGTCAGGAGATTTTTCAATCAATCCAACAAGAATGTTGGTGAAGAACGCTTTACGCATCTCTTGGCCCATTACACCGATTCTATTCTTTACAAGATCTAAGCTTAAAATCAATAGTTCACTACCCATTGGGTTTGGTTGTTCATTCGGCAAAGTAGGACTTAGATGTTCTCGAGCCATCTTTTGTAACACACGCATAAAGAGTACAATCATTCTATCTATATAGCATGGATTGTTACTACAAGCTGCTTTCAAAATCATGATAGTACCAAATAGAGATTGAGGCAAAGTTGGTCCAGTGGCCTTTTCGTAATTGCTTAATCCTTCAAAAATAACTTTACTAACAGCAGAGTATAAAGCTTCGAGCTCTTCATGCTTAGAGGCTGTGGTAGATGTTGCTCCTTCAGTAGGGAAGAATGACATCAAACGCGTTAAAAGGTTGTGAACACAACGAATCACTTTTGTATTTGTACACGTCATACAAGCAGCAATTCCTCGTTGTAAAGGCTTGAAACTGACCAAAATTGCTTCACGTCTCAAGATGTTGAGGAGAAAACTAAGTAGTTCTAATGCAGTGCAAATATTTCCATAGTTAGGAGTTGTCGATTCAACAGTAAGCAAGAGTTTATCAAACCAGCCCAACCTCAATTCAGCAGTTGGCCAAATTTCTGGTTTCAAAGCTAATTTCAGAAGATTAACACATCGTCGTGACAAGATTTCTCCAGGAGATCCAAGATTGGTTCCAGTTTCATTTACATGACATGCAAGACGAAGTAAAAAGTTGACTATGGCATCTTGATGAGTCTTTTCAACAGGATCATTGTTATCGGTTGATAATGGTTTACCGTAAGATGATGAAGGAGTTGGCGTTGAAGGGATTTTGATTTTTTGCGATGGTTGAGCTACTGATTCAGATGAGGTTCCAGGTACATTCGCAGTTAAAGGAGTGGTTGCTGTTGCTGTTGAAGCTGTCGCTGTTGGTGTTGCTGCGGCTGTTGATTGTTGTTCTTGTTCTTCACGAGATCTTTGGAGTTCCCACAGTAAAATTACTTCGACTAAATCAACTGAAATTTTTCGATGGTCTACAGTTGAATTAGGAGTGAAGCCAAGTCTTTGGATGGAAGCAACCATATGTTGAATAAGATGATGTCGCACAGGATAATAAACTTTGTAATGGCGAATCAAAAGTTGAAGCATATGAGTTAGTTGTGGAAGTGAGTGACCTTCCTCGACAATAATCTTCTTTGTCCAGTGAGTAAGCATAGAATTACCGTCTTCCATTCTTTGAGGCATTGCTGGAGTAAGGATTTCTAATGCTTGACGAACCACAGTTCGAGCCTCATTAGCATGAGCTTTAAGCAAACTATGAAAGACTTGAAGAACTATTCTCTTGTGTATGGCAAATTTAGCGATGATATGAGCGAGCAACAGATGTCCATGATACTTGGTGGCTGGATCAACACAGCTTTTAGAGAGAAGGCATGGCCAAGCAAAAGTCATTAATCGACGGAGTTTAGTACCTTGTCGTTTATTGGCAGCATCGTGAATATGTGGTGAAGCTTGTTCAACCAAAAGACAGGAAAATTGAAGTAAAAGTATTCGGACAGCGTCAGAATAAAGTCTGTACTCTGGTTCAACTACTCTGTAAATAAAAACACTAATAAGGTTGTCATCTTGGTCTTGCTCTGGCGCTGGAGGACCGCCAATGAGTCTTTCACCCTCTCCTCGTTCAAATGTGACAGCAAAAGATGGTATTATAATGTATTGAAGGATCTTTGCTTTCAATTCTTGAGGATAGTTATCGTCATAAAAAATGTTAGCAAACTTAAAGAAAGCTTCTCTTTTCCATTCAATTGTATAATTGGTGACAGTCTGTTCAAGAAAATCACGGAAAAAGTCGAAATCGCAAATATAACGATTGATGAAAGCTCTTAGAAGATTAAAAAGTAGAATTATGCTGTTTCCATTTGGATTTTGTTTGAAATAATTAAGCAAACATTTCATTAATAACTTGGGTTCCCTCCATTGCACATAATCAGATGATTCAATCTTTGAATGTTTTTTGGGAAGTTCGGGCGAGTTCCATATTTTGATCAGTGCTTCTACCAAAGGAATTTGACCGGACAACCACTGTTCGTCATACTTGACCAATATAGAAGTAATTAAAATTGCTTGATATTGTAAGTCATAAGTCACAGTTACAGTTTGTGTTTGGGCTTGTGGTTGAGGAGCAGCGGCACCAGAGCCATCAGGTTGAGCAGCTTGTGGTTGAGGTATACTGATTTTTTCTTGAATTTGAATAGGTCCGGAAGCAAACTTCACAAGCCTTGCAGGATTTTGTTGAAGAACTTGTCGGAAAATGGCTCCTTCGGGTCCTTTCAAGAGATATTTTACAAATCGATAGATCTGATCTTCATTGATATTTCGCTCGGTTAATAGAAGATCCAAAGTATGCTCAGGGTATCTTTGAAGGAATTTTCTCAGTGGGTCTCTAAGAATTGACCCAGGTTCAATTGACAGCGCTTTTTCTGTCTTGAAAACATAACACAGAAGAACTTCGACATACTTTGTTCCAGTAGCAGGCACAATATGGAAAAAATCGATGAGAGCAGCACAAACTTTCATCTCTTCAATATTTTTCTTATGACTTCTAACAACAGTATCGAGCCATTTCTTCAGATTTTGAGCCATTCGATCACAAAGTTTTTCGGTGAAAAGAACTGGGAAAAGTTGTGCAAGGTAGTTGATTCGTTTAATTATATTCAAGTTCAATTTCTCATGATCTGCCATGTAAGAGCGAATGCCATTGATAACAGCATCTAGATCAACTTTACCAAAAGTGAGAAATTTTTTCAAACATTCAAATCCAGTTTCTTGAATTTCACTATTTGTTGAAAGTAAGGCACAAAACAAAACGGGAAATATTTCATCTCTTTTGGGATACAGAGGTGCATATGCTGTCAGTGTTTTAAGAACGGACTTCTTAAGTTGAGTGAGATTAGGGACATTTTTATAGATTGCGAACTTCATCAGTTGGGCGTCTTCAGTCTTACAGAGATTTGTCAATTCCTCGACAAAACTAACATGTTCTGGAACGGACATGTCCAATGTGAATAATGGTGGTTCTAGAGTCATACAAAATGTATTTCCTTCCATAAGTCCTATTTGAGTATTAACCGGTTGATGACCTAAAACATTTTTCTTGGGAGGAACCATGTCAGTTAAGACATCTTTATGTGGTCTCATAATAGCCTCTATAGTTGATTCTTGCACTTCGGCTAAAACTTTTAAAGAGTTCATGGCTTGTTGTCGAACACAGGTGTTTGGTGAAGTTACTTGACGAACGAGTTCTTGAGTGACTTCATGAAGAGATTTCTTTTGTGCCTCAACAAGATCAGAATTGCTACCATCCATAAGTAATTTTATGGGTGCAGCACACAAAGTTATCATCTTTTCCAAATTGGATTTGGCCATGTCAACGGCACCACTAGACACTTCACCAGTTAAATCCATCATCACAAATAACAAAGCTTTGAGAAACATATATTGGTGAGCGAAAACCCATTTTAAAGTCATTCGTTCAAATAGAAACTTGATGGCAATACATCCTCCTAATTTCGCGTACCAAGCTCGGTCATAACACAGCGCACACATTCGTTCAACTAAATACTCAGTTAATGGTAGTTGACAAGTTCTTTCACGAGATCCAAGGATAGCAGTACCAGTATCTAAGATGATAATCAAAGCTAGATGTCCAGGTTTACATAGTTCCTTCTCTTCGTGGCCCATGATGGTTGCTACAGCATCAATTAAAACTAATGCATCCATTCCATATAATTTATGCTGTTTTCCTCCTAAATTAATTGGACCAGATTGTTGACTTATTGCTAGAAGAGTATAGTGGCGAACAAGAGAAACCATGAAAGGTAAAACAATTGAACGAAGTTCTTTAATTGCTGCAGCCACAAACATCCCTGTTAAAGCCATTTCATGCACTTTTCGAATTTGTGAATCGCTAGATTTGTAGAATGGTCCATTTAGAGGATGAATTTCACCTTGACTAAAACTTGGGTGAGAGAAAAATCTCTGCAAGTTATATTTATCTTCATCTGGCGGAGGAGGTTGAATGTGGGCAATGAGAAAACCTTTGATAACTTCCCAGCATTGTCTACGATAAAATGGATCTGTGGTTGATGATTTGAGTGCATTAAACGCAGTTTCTATAACTTTGTCGATAGGTAAATTAATTGAAGATTTGTGTTCGGGGAAACAAACAACGATTGAAGTTGATCCATTTACAGATCCTTCTTTATGATCAATGAATTCAATTTTTTGAGGTTCAGTCATCATTTTACGATTACCACCACCAAATTTACCTAATAATCTAAACGAGACTCCAGCAATACTGTCAGAAGGGTAACGAAGTGTTTTCCATAGAGCTTGCATAAGCCCAGCACGAACTGGTTGAATGTGATCATAGAGGAAATCAGGTTGTAAATTGTCGACACAAAGTTCCAATGTCCTCAAGCCTTGACTGACTAAAGTCTGTGAACCATTCAAAGCAGCAACTAAAGGATCCATGAGCATAGGAAGATAAGGAAGTAAACTACTCAAACGGACAGGAACAGTGAGGCAAAGTTCCACAAAAAGATCGTGCATATGTTGCTTGTGTAAACCACTTTGAAGACTATTCAATCCTTGAAGAAGACTAGGTAAAAGTGGCAAGAATTCTTGATATAAGAGATCATGACTGCCTCCACCGATAGAACGGAACAAGGCTCTTAATAAAAGGAAATAATTGTAAGGTTCTTTGGCACTTAATGCTAGTTCGAGGGATCGGTTCACGATATTGTGAAGATGAGGCTTAAGCATCAACTCATTTTCAGCAGGAAAAAGAGAGACAGATCCAAAAACCAATTTATACAGTTTCAAGTGGAGGTTAGATTTCTCCAGATTTGTTCCCATCTCTTCCATTCTTTCAAGTAAATACTCGACAATAATTGTTGCAAATACGGGTGATAGAACCGGATTTCCAAGAAAAGAATTGGCCAAAGTGAGAAGTGCGATATTAGAATTTGTACGTTCAACATAAAAATCAATGAGTGTGGAGAAAACTTCGCGAAAGCTTTGAGGACTAACATTCTGAAAAACACCAGCAAAATGTTCTAAGACTTCTTTTTCTTCTTTCGGTCTTACATTGGACATTAGATTGGCTCGGAATATTCCTGTGGTTCCTTGGACAACATTTTGATGAGTACTAGTCGTTAAACTTGCAGAAATATTCACTGGACTAGGAGTGATGGTGTAAACGTCTAAAGCCATTAGAGCATACTTCACCAATCTGATGTATAGTATAGTTTCTTTGGGATGAAATTGTTTTTGTTGAGGTGGAGTTGTGGATGTATCACCTGCAGCTCGATATGATGGCATGCCGTAAGTGATAGTTTTCACACCAACAATTAATGTCTTAACCAAACCTTTACAATCACTAATTGAATAATTGTCTGAAGGTATTGTTGGAAAACCAAACTTGGGCCTATCATCGGCACCAAAATTTTCCCCAACACCACTAGGAAAAGGTTTAGATTCATCAGACTTTGTCTCACTGTTTGTCGATTGTGGCAATGATTGGGTTGAATGCTGTTGTGTTTGCTGAGATGAGTTAGAGGAATGAGATGCTTGTTGAGTGGTTTGACGGTTAATCAACATAGGAATATGATGCTTAGCAATATGTTTGAATTTTAGAACGTAAACTTCCAAGAGCTTAAGCAAAACCTCTCTTGACACTTGACAAGCTTGAGCACCATGTTCAATTTCGGCCCGAGTCCTGATGCATTCAACCAAATTTAGAAGTAATTTACAAGACATGGTATGAATTGAATTAGTAAGATGCTCATCATGGACATTTTTCGAGAAAACATTAACAGCAGAAACCAAATCCTTGAATTTCAGTTGAGTTCGAACATGATGAACTAAGTCAGCGATGGTACTGTAAGCAAGTGGACGTAGACTGTTTTGAGCAGTCCAGCCCTTACCAATTACAATATTTTCATCAAAAAGCTGATCGATGCAGGGAATGAATTTTGTTTTGAGATCCGTCATGAGGATGTGACGAGCTGCAATCAGCAATTCCTTCCTCAAATGAGCTACTTCATGTGGACAGTTGACAAGAATGCTAATGAAGCCCGTGATTAGCTGATTAACATTAGCGTTGACGGAATCCTTTTAAGAGATACACAGAAAATTAATAATTTAAAACTAGGAAATGACTTTTTCGATCATACCTGATAAATTCGAACCATGTATGCTAAGAATGACAGGGTTTTAATCTGAGCTGCAACAAAATCGACGAATACTTCTTGATTAAACATTGCGTGGTTACGCAATTGTGGAGATGGTTGAAGGGTCAGAGCATTCATAATTAATGGTATTAAAATTTCGATTTCTTGTTGGAGATTAGCTTTGTATAACTGGTACATCAAAACAACTATGATCGGCAATTCAGCCAATACTTTAAGTGAAAGAGTTGCTTTGGGTATCAAGTTATAGATGAGATTATTTTCCGAACTCTTCTTTTCCGACATCACAGGAGTAAGGGTGAAAATTTCATTGATTAAAACTGGAAGTTGAGTAGTAAGTTCCGAGATGTCTTTAACTTTTAGCGACTGCTTTATCTCGAAAATTCTATTCATATTATTTGGTAAATCTTGATAAATTTTCTTAACAAAGTTCAGAAACTTTTGAATCTATGATGAGAGGGAGAGAAAAAAAGAGAAATAATTAGTAGAAAAAAGAGATTCATTTTCTTCGAAAGTATTCTCATGATGAAGTCAGATCTTATCAGCTAAAAGTATCATTGTTGCTAGACGCCGAACACTTTGTAGAACTCAACTATGTTATCTAGTTATCATCATGAAAATAACAATCGACATTTGATTCGAAACACTCACCTCGGTACTAAATGGAGGGCGATGACTCTTATGCAATTCAATGATAATCCTGAGTATCACCAGAACATTTTCTTCGTTCTCGATCTGTGTGCGAAGATTAAAAAGATTTTATAAATAAACATCCAACAAAAATTTCCCCAGAATAATGTATAAACCAATACAATTTTTAAGATAACTTACATCTAGTAATAAAAACATCAGGGAAATCAAAGTGTTGGAATGCACCCGAAGATGCTCATTGACAGGTAATCGTTGGATTATTTCTAGAATTAATTTCCTGAGCTGTTGTCCCGTATGTTCCACAATAAATAAAGGTTGTCCATCGGCAAGAAACCGCCTGAAAGTATTGACTGCATGTTCCAGAAATGATGGATACTGAGGACTCGAAATAATAGCCTGAAAAGAATAAAATAAAACATTTTCATCATTTTGATACACAATTATCCATACTAATAGTATCATCATAGATTAAAAACAGTATAGTAATCATTGACATGATGAGACAACAAAAGTTTACATAGAAAACAAAACACATTAACTCGAAGGTTTTTTTTCTCAACATGAAAAATACAACATTACTCTTACCTCAAGATCTTCAGCTATTGCTTGAGCCGCCTTTAATTTGCTGTCATCACGAGCATTAGGATCCACCAGCAAGGAAACATAAGATTTACAGGCATTCACCTTATTTAATACATCACTGGCCATTGTCAATATTTATAATTAACTAATTAGGATGTAAACATATTAACAAATTTAAGATTTAAGCAAGTTAGAAATGCGATTCATTTTGCTAGAAAACCATATGAAATGAATGCGGTTTTCGGTTTTCTTCGAGCGCCATCTATTTTCTAAACTTTCAACCATCTCGAAACCGCTCATCTTTTTTTTCTGTTTGCTGAAGATAATATGATTCATAGCTTCTCTAATCCTTCAACAATCAATTTATTATTGTCAATAAAATATAACAAATCCACAATAATATTCATCAATAGCCTAATAATTAATCATCACTTGTTGCCAATCTTATCGGTATATCTTTTTATTAATCTTTGCAACTAAGTGTATCCTGAACTGGCCTAGAACCATGGGTTAAGCTAAATTATTTTAATCTTTGGTGTTGGTTAAATTGGATTTGGGTTATTTTGGGCAAATAAGATTAGGAAAAATGTTTTGCGCTAGGACAAGAGCAACTTATTAGAGCAAAACACAATTTTCAGCTCAGATTTCATCCTTTTAATGATGATTTCGATTTATTATTTCAATGAATATTATCAATTAAGCATTTCTGTTAAAAAATCGACCATTTTATATTAGTAAGAGTTGAGACTTGGTTTGTACAAGCATGAAAACTGAGTCCATTAGTGCTAACAAAACATTATTTGACCAGTTATTAGATTTTATCATCGGGCAAATAATATGGCTGAATACCTAAGAAAGTCTGTTGGTAGAAATGGATAAAAATTGTTGTATAACTAATGGCTCCAAGCCTGAAACACTAATGTCTAAGCTATATTTCCAAAGCCTCAGCTTTATAGCCTTAGAATCTCTATTCCTGACTCAACCCGGTTGAGTCAATTTTACTCACAATTCAACTCGGTTGAATATAAGTTCAGAACTTGAACCAATGTAGCTATAACAATAACTCACAAGTATAACAATTACACTAATAGTCCAAGACTATTGAAACACAATGATTCAACAATAGAATCTTCCAACCAAGTTGGAACACTGAGTATTCCCGGAATACTCTTAACCGATGAGAAGGTTCTCGGAACCTAATGAAGCTTTTAGACACACTTGATTAATCACAAAATATCTTTTACTTAACCAAAGGTCAGCAATCACAGAAGCTTAATTAATTACAATTTAGATTCACTATTTATACAAATTATAAAGGAAATACATTTAAAGGAAATACTTTTTAGAATAAGGAAATACCGAGTATTTCCAGTAGCAACAGCTATTGATGGCAACCGGGTTGCCATCCTCAATAAGCGCGAATCTTAAATCTTACAACATTCCCCCGTACTCAAATTAAACCGTGGGGCCAAGTGAACCAAGTGAAACTTCCATGGTTTGTCCATCCGTCAATCTTTGACCAGAAGGTAAAGCTATCCAAAAACTTGGACGATGCCCAACTTGATGTTGGCGCAGAGTCTGGTGACTGCCAAGGACTGTATAATCGACTCTAATTATTGAACCTAGTTCAGTACCAAAGGTGCGTTCGATCCGGGATCGAAGTTCGGTAGCTCGCATTGTAGGATCCAAATTAGCAAATCTCTCAGCTCGATCTCCATATCGAACAATTACGGTTGGTGCAGTTCGGTACTCACCACGAACCCTTATATTATTCATCATTCCTTGCGGCCGAGTCACATTTCTCAATCTTTCAACTTCAGCTTGTAGAGTCTCATTTTCCATCATCAGGTCGATTACCCTGACTGATCGCTCTTCGAGTTGACTTTGAGCAGATCGAGCTTTCTCTTTCAATTCCTTGATATAAGCTTTACAATCATGATTACGTTTAGGAACTTCGCAGGTTTCACAGAGTTCACATCCTTCAATATGTCGAGAATAATCTTCGTATAATACAATCATTCCACATGTAGGGAACTTGCACTTGATCTGAAGCTTATTCATTATCCGCATACATTTCTTACCATCTGGAGCGTCCATTGGTAACGGGACGATTGCTCCTGGAGTAGTCAAAAGTTCTTCACTACATCTGAGCGGACATTTAGGTCTGTGCTCAACGTTCGGTTGATTAGCAGTCCGAATGTAAGACTCAACACACTTTCGACAATAGATTCCAGCGCAACCGGGTTGCGGAGACGTTCCATGGATCACAGGATCAATGCAAAGCTGATAACACATTTGACAAAAATATTCTTCAGCACTTTCCGCATTCACTATCTGACTTTGATCGA